AAATGCATTTTCACTCAAAAAGAATTACTCGGTATCTATGTCATCCGGGGGCGCACCCGACGCGCGTCCCCCGTTTGGCTGGACAAAAAAGATTTAGACGACTGACCAAACACAAAATCGCAGAAAAAACATAACACAAGGAATGGAAAGAAAGCCTACGTTTATGACCAGGTCTTCACGGACATGTATCACGGACTGTAGAAGTACAGAGCCAGGGCGACAGAGCGCCGTGCACGTGTTAATCCAGATTTTACACCATGAAATTAGCGGACATGCCCCACCACGCCTAGACTCGATTGATTAATTATTTGTTGAGGGCCTGCAAGGGGGGGTATTGATTACGAATTACGCCAAATTTTCGCCGCCGATTACGAATTACGTTAAACTCTCAGAGCTGATTACGAATTACGTTAAATCATGAGGATTCCAGACCGTCTAAAACACAGCAACTAGTAGTTCAACGTCAAACTATTGCCTTTGTGCTGATTGGCGCATAGGCGGCATATCCAGGAGTTTTTTTAGGAGTGAAGACAAGTTCTGGCGGGTGCCAAAATCACCCGAAATCGGGTTCGAACCGGTGGCTGCAGCGAGTTCGGAGCGCGCCATAATTGTAGGTGACGATTAACCTTTTCATAACCACTGAGCCATGGCGATAGAGGAAGAAACATTTATAAATATTATACATGCTGTGGATACTGGCTTCCTAGTCGTAGACCGGCCGGCCCCGATTTATGGTGTCCCAACTCACTAACCTGCCAGAACGGGGGCAATATCACTACACAATATCGCTCCACCGAGATTAGAAATTGTGATGGGGGGAGGGCAAGATTTCGGGCGCCGAAGGCGTCCGCCAGCGAGCGCCGCAGGCGCGAGCCTGTTAGGGGGGTCCGGGGGCATGAACCCCCGGGAAATTTTGAATTTTTAACCCCTCTGAAACGCTATTTCCAGCATTTTGAGACCTAGATTTTGACTGGACGACAATTATCGGTTGTGGATTGGACCATTTTGAAATCAGCCTATGATCTCATGGATTACGCTTTACGTCGCATAAAAGTAACTAATTACGCTTTACGGAGAATAAAAACGACCAATTACGCGTTACGGCTAATGTACCGATTACGAATTACGATGATTTTGGACGGCCGCCTACGGATTACGAAGGCTAAAAAGGCCTGATTACGCCTTACGAAAAAGGGCTTGCAGGCCCTCTTTGTTTGTTAACTCACTACTGTGAATCCATAGCCTTCGCGCCTCCCACCAGAACTTAAAATACTTTATTAATAGACTACGACGAGCTAACTTTTCTGTGGTCCAGTCATGTTACAGCAGGCACGGTGGCCCCATTCACCAACAGATGGAGAAAGTCCAAAGAAGAGCAACAAAACTTCAACCCTTAGAGACATGACTTCCCAGGAAAGATTAAGGGCCCTTAGACTCCCTTCTCTGCAATACAGACGCGTCATGGTGACATGATTCAACTGTACAAGCTTGTAAGGGGGCTGGAGAGACTTCCACTAGAAACCATTTTGAAGTAATGTCAGCTGATAGCTCAACAAGACTAAGAGGACACAAGTATAAACTCAAAGCACCACTAGCTAAGAATAGGGTCATAGGACAGTCATTCAGCGTTAGAACTGTGGAGGACTGGAACTCTTTGCCACAAACAGTAGTGGAAACAAAAACAGTCAAAGAGTTTAAAAGACGACTGGATAAGACCTGGGCAAATATTATGAACGTCTCAAGTGAAAGTAATAAGGACCAAGATTGCATAATTCATCCTCAAAATCAAATCAGTTCAACCACAGTGACTGCTTCATACAATAACAGATATAATTTGGCAATTAAGTATAAAATCCAGTAAAATACCAATGTGACAACCTCTGATTCAAAAGCAACGATAAACCAGCAACAAAACCGAAATTTAATGTATTTTCACTTGTGCACAAATTTAATTTTGGGTGCTCAGAAGTAAATAATATATGCACCCCTTGGGAAGTCTTGTTTACGTGACTTTTTTGGCGGGAACGTTGAGTGGGTTTTAATTATGCACACGTGCGGTACGTTCCAAAAGGTGTTCACTGGGCCACACTGTGGAAATTTCCACCAAAAAAACGTGTTTATAACAGTTTTAGCAGCGAAATTCGCTCCTAGCTTTTTTCAATGCCACTCAACACGGAAGAAATATGTTCAGTGTTCCCCAAAACCACGATAGTCATGAAAACAACCTCCCTATTAAAAATATTCAAGTACAAAATGGCCCACATATCGTTCCACAAAACGCAAATTTTTACGGAGTATAACGGTTAACATAACGAATTATCACGTGGTCTGTTGTTTGTACAGGCTTGTTGGAAGTACACATATGTACATTCGAGGAGCTAATTTGTTGTCTTACCTCGCATTCACGTCGCAAGAACGAGTCTTTTTCAGCACCAGGCCGCCATGGTAGTCGCCATTTTTCGTTTCCAGTCTCCGAACTCCGCCCGCAAGCGCCAGGAAAATTACGAGTTTTCTCCCTCCAACATCCAAAGAACGGCACATATCCGAACTGGAAACGCCCAGACGATAAACTGTACACTTGAGACGGATAATTTGCGGACAAAAAGCCGAAAATTTACCCCAAAAGTTGGAGAGAAAATTCACGCACAACACACCGCACGAAAGCGTGGTACTGGTACTCGCGTTACATGTGCTGCCTGCAGCTGGTCGAATGGACCGTACCATGTGTGATAATTGCATAGGGGTGCAAACGAGATTAATCATTATTGCTTTTGATGATTAACCATCACGATTCCGCCACTAATCAAAGGAATTATTCTCGTCGCCGAATTTTGGACTTGTTTTCTGTGCCAAACCCAACGATCACGATACCGTCTGCCACAGCAAGTGTTTATATCCCCAAACTTGTGGATGCCCCCCCCCTCCATTTGTACATTATAAGTGTGGACCTCTCCTTGGTGCTGAACTCCCCATCAGTTCCATGTATTAGTATATTGCAGTTGTGGCCGCAATATTGTACTAGACGCTTTGTTTGACACAATAGTACACCCATTGAAAAGCGAGGGAGATGTATTTTAGTACATATATACAGTATATAGTACATTGAAGCCTGTATATCAACAAGATCTTTATTTTATCAAGTCACATACATTTTCTGAGGATGAAGAAAAAGTAACAGCAGGGTTTACGGAAAAACCTGGTGCCTGCCAGGTCAGGCTACCACAAGATTAGGTAATATTTCTTGCTTAACAAGGTTTATAATGTAAAATGCCAATACCAATGCCATTCAGGCAACATTATAATTCCATATTGTATGTCTATAATGTTGGTATGGAAATAAAGAATTGGAATTGGAAAAAATGTGAAAATGAAGGAATCTTGTTTTTTTAGCCTGCCTTGTTTTTTTTTGCCCTACCCCACTAGATTTGGAGTCTGCTGAGGATGTCATCCATAAAATTTACTTGCTGTGGCCTTATTATATGCTACTTTGATATCATTTGTATTATTTTGGTAGATTCATTTCCCATTTTCACCATTGGAAATGTGCGTAATTATGCATTCAGCACCAAGGACAGGGCTTTTTTTGGAGCTAACAAGCTAAATCTTTCCAATGACCACAATGTATTTGGCTGTCTTTCTCTCATTAGGTTATGCACATAACTTTGCCATGCGCAGTCTTCCAGATGCTATATATTAACGAAGAAGATGTTTACCAAATATATTACTGATACTGTTGATACAATGACAAATATGCATACTAACATTACCTGCTAACATTAACTACCAACAGCTCAGAATGTACTACATGTATGTCCAACTACACATCCTGTATTGTTTTTGTCAGCCAGGCTAGTGCTTTTGCAAATGACACTGGCAAGCTAGGTAGCCCTGGCTATACTAGTATGTTTTTCACAGCTGAACCAATAGATATACAAATAAGAACATTTTGTGCACTTCCATTACGTTTATTTGATATAAATATGAGGTTGGTGAATCATGCCATAAATACATCAAGCCTGAACATTTGTAATATTATCTTTAAAAACACAAAACACAACTGCAAACAATACTCAAACAAAACAAAACAGGTCACTTTTGGTACCAGACAGTCATGTATCATATGAGAAGTATGCAGGAAACTGCAATGATAGTACCGGTAGGACAGAACTGCAAATATGCTACTTCTGGAAGATAACATGGTAAAACAACCTAACAAAGATGAAAGTCTGAGCATATTGTGTGTACTTTAGACCAAATCCCTGGTACACATTAGGAAGACTTGCTGAAATTATCAGACAACCTGACCACGCTAGGGTCCTCCACAGTGCCCTTTCAACCAACTAATCCAAAAATAACCATAAATCGAGTGCCAGTATTTGGTAAAAAGAACCTCCACATACATGCATGCTACTTGAGAAGTTCATACTGGTACATGAAGATGCAAATGAGTCTTTAAATACAAAAGACATTACTAAATAGGGGGCTATATAGAACATAATGTCTGCTCACGTTCTGTACTCAAATGTAACCATGATGCTGAATAATGGTTTCATAGACTTAATCTTTAGACTTTAACATAAGATTCAACAATTAAAGGTGTTTCTTTTTGGATAGAATTTTTATAATGTTCATGTAAGCCCCTTTCTGATCATAGTTTCAAGCAATTCAATATCTAGGGTTCTAAACGTTATTTCTAGGCGTTTTGTTAGGCAAAACTACATCCTTTATTGTTTTTACAGTTTAGGTAATACTCTGATATTCTTGCACACATTCAACTTGCTTTACATCAGCATACCGTTAATATACCACACTGTATTAAAATTTCCTTACGGTTTAAAATATATATTAGGATATTATGTTGTTAGAACTTAAAATCACTTTACATTACATTACTTGACTTCAAAGCAAGAGCAATTCTATTTTCTGGATGGTTTGCAGACTTCAAAATGCTATCGATGACACAGATGCTGGTAGACTCAGAAATCACAGAATCCTTGTTGTACCGTCTTCACAGTCATAAGATGTGGTTTGATTTATTCAGGGATTGTAATACAGGTGGATGTTCTTTCTCCATCCTCCTTGAACTTGGCAAGATGAGCAAAATCTGTTCCAGTGTTAATTTTTGAGTATAACAAAGCTGCAACTGATTGTTGCGCCGTGAGCATGCTACAAGTACTTCTGGACCTCGCACATGAATATCCACGGCTTGATGCCAGCCTACTTCTGGACCTGGAACATGAATATCCGGAGGTTGATGTTTCTGGCGGCGAGCAGCTTGTTACACTCGGCGGCGGTGACCAGGGGGAAGTCGTAGTAGTCCGTCTCCAGGCTGTCCGAGGAGAACTGGAAGCGTTTGACGGCGGCTTCGAGCTTCACGTCGTCGTATGGTCCCTTCATCACCAGGAAGTTCATGTCTATACTGGTGTTCACCTGTGTGAGGAGCAATCAGTTCACAGTCAAGTCATTAGACTGTGTTTTGTAATTCCATCATGACAAATCGTTAAGCACGAGTTATACTATATAAGATGTTCTGGTCTTCTATTACAGGACTAATTCAGCAGTCATGAACCACATTTGTTTTCTGCAGCAAGTGTGAACATTTCAGCACAATCTCTCAAACTAGGTGTTACAACAGTTCATAAAGAAACTGCATGTGTTTACAAAGCCAAGCAATTTTTCACCAAAGCTTGTTACTGTATGTTGGAAACTGACCTTTGACTTGAGGATGATCTGGTAGCTGATCTGGCGATGTACCGTCAAGTTGGGCTCGCGATCGTTGTTGTTGATGCGTGCCTTCACCACCCAGGTCTGGTTGAGGACAGTGAAGCGAGGGCTCTCGTAGTAGAGACGTGTGATGAACTCATCCGTACGGTAAGGGCGCAGCTGGATATCTGCAACACACCCGCAGTATACTCAGTGTCAGTACCAGGCAAGACCCTGGGTTACACATGGACATGAGCTCAACAGCATTGGGTACAATTGTTATAAAGCATTTCAGGGAACATGCAGTGGCATTGATGGTGCTAACAAATTGTTTCTTGATGATATCAAGCTACATGTAGCTGCCTTTAGATTGTGATGTTTTTACAGTTTTTGCATCTGAGATGGCAGAGAAGTCAGGCTGCAACAATGTGTGCAACATGGAAGTCCTGATAAGAATGTGTTCAGTTGTGATCATTTTTCTACTGCAAACACCAAATACTTTCAAATTATTAATTACCCCCTGCTTTCACAACATGCTGATGAGAAAAATTTATTTGGTGCCAAACAATCAGGTATCTAAAATTTTAATACACAGTACCAATATCAATCACCAAGACACAACTTCATTGTCTTCAACCAGAAAATTGACACATTCACTTTTAAATCAGTGCAATTTTTTTTCTTAAATATTTGAAGTAAGTCTGCAACTTTAACTCTTGTGACAACAATTTTAATAATTGGACAAGAACTTCATTGGAAGAGATGGATGTCAGTATACCATGTGCTAGCCAATTTGATAAGTTCTTTAAATTTGACTGTTCCAAGAGACAAAGGCATGTTTCTCACATTAAATTAGGAACAATGGGTTATGTTCCTATTGTCCTTGGTAATCATTGCAGAATTTCCAGTAATGGAAGGACCTTTCTGTCTTTATCATTTTTCTGATAGCGCCTGATAGAATATGTAACTTTTTACTACATTGATACTCTATGCATGAGTAGGGTCTGATTCTTGTCGTAGTTTGTACTTGATTCCTTAGGCATCAAAGTTAGCAACATCCAGCCATAGCTTGCTCCCTGAGTGCATTGCCATGAATCAGAGTTTATGAGTAAGGGTAATGTTGAACATGTGGTCCTGGACAAGTCAAATAGTTCTGGCAAAAGCATACCATAAACTGGTACATAAAAAAATCATAGGAAGAGTTTTGTATGCAGCTCTTCAAAACAGTATACATGTATTAAGAGCATATCACTTGTCACCATCATGAGCAGGATGGTGTTACACAGAGAAGCATAGCTAAAGTATAGATTTCAAGATTCAATATTATAACCCTCCTAATGTCATCCAAATAGAGGTTGACTATTTGTCTGTAAATGTTGTTTTCCTGAATAGCTCATATTTCCAATTTGAAGTGCATGTTGACAAGAAAAATCTTCTGGTGTTTGTTCTTAAGTCACTCTATATTTAAAATCATGTGCTGAAACTTAAAGTAGCACAATGTGTATTGCAATTTGGAGAACTGTTAGACACATCTTTAGATGTGAATAAGGCAAAATTATGTCTTATCATATTGCATTTACTTATTACTGTGTAACAGTATCTTTTTAACACTTGAAAATTGTACAATGTCATATGCTTTCAATTCAAATAGACTAGTTGATATTTGTTCTTTTCAGCTTGAGAAACACAAAGCCAGAAAATAGGTTGTAGTTTGTAATCAGGCAATTCAAACAAGGTAGCTTTTAGTTTTAACTTTACCACTGCTGATCCAGAATAAGCAAATTAGTAATATCCTAAGCTTCAGTATTTTATTATGCAGTATTTTATCTTTTAAGTTAAGTCCAGACTGGTAGCTCCACTAATCTGCACTTGGTAACAAGATCCTGCTGTGTCATCTCATAACACCTGTGAATCTTGATGCAACACATTGGTTGAAGGCAAAACATGGATTCTGCTACTTGCATTTGTAGATGCAAACAGTATGGGAGTTGTGACAGTGTTTGGAAATTGTTAACCTCCACAAACAAAATTTAGTTGCCAGGTCCACATGTCAACATTATCCTCAGTTTACCACTCCACTCAAGCACACAAACAGAATAAGTGCATAAACTAAACTCATTCAAAGTTCTCTCACCACACTCTTTATACTCACATGTACATTGTACAGTTGCCCCTCTCATTTCACACACAGTTAGGGCTTTGTTGGCTCAGAGTGTTCAAGACAGTTTACTTTAATTTGTACAATTTTCCAAGTCACCTCTCTGGGCCTCCATTGGCTTGTACCTGGGCTTTCACTCGACGCTGATACAAAAATGCAAACATTGTGTGACACGTTCTTTAATGGAAGGACCAACAGTCATGAGAATAAACTATTGGGATTGTAAAGGAAGACTAACTGCTCGATGCTTGGTTTTTGTGTCATGTTTATTATGATTATTCAATTTAAAGATTACATGTTGCAATGAGTCATACAACAACTAGCCTTGATGCACATACTGAATTTTTTCCACGATTTTAAGACATGTATGACTAGTGTATTGAATGTAATACACCTTTAATACATGTACATGGCTATTCATTATGTATATCCATTGCAAAGCGATAAGGACATCATAGATCAGTCCTGTCAATGTGTCATGGAAGAAAGTGCAGCCCAGAGAGAACATCTGATGAGGCTGCAAAATGAGCATGTAACAGCAGAAGTTTGTTTCTTGTCTTTCCTTTCCAGTGTAGATGGCTGCTGCTTCTGGTCCACATCTTCTGGGTGGATGTCCTCTGGATGATGATGATGAAACAAAGCAGTTCCCTCACTGCCAGAGCCAGAAACTGACACCACCAGACTATCAATGACAACTGTCAGAATATCTCCTCTGTAAAAGTGATGTAGACTTGCACCATTGGCAAACCGATTATTTTTACCTATTTCTCTGTGTTAGACAATTATTTCTCCAAGCTGTCATTGAGTGTATCCTGCAGTGAATTCTCCAGTTGTCAACTCTGACTTTGAGATGGTCAAGTGTTGGCCAACTCAGATGTACTTGGTCTGGACAATGCAACAGAACAAAAATTCTGCAGACAGCATTCACTCAAGCATTGACTGCTCCAAAAGTGACCTGGGCTAGTACCTTTTAAGTTGATTCTCACAGTTGATTGACACGCAGCTTTTCCTGGTAAAATGGTCCATAGGCTCATCAGGTAACTTGCCTCTTGCCCTTAAGAATGTTGGCTCTTGTACAATTAATATTTTCTCAAGATAGTAGACACCACTTGCTTCCAAGCACAACACTGACAATCATGCATCAGATTCTGGATGCCCAATAGACCACTGTGACCCATTGCAACACTGCATCTGCCACCTGACACAGCACTCTTCTCATTCACTGGCTGTAAGATCTCTTCCCTGCTGAAGTCTCTGAGCTCTTGTAGCTAGTTCTGAGAAGAAAATGTGATGAAGCCACAGCAACTGACTTGACAAGCTTCCCATCTTCTGTCTCCAAAATGCTCTCACCTCAGCATATAGGATACTAGTACTAGGTCAGCACTCGATTAATACGTCCTTTACACTTGCACACCAGAGAACAGATTCTTCAGTGTTGAACTGGACTTAGTCTGGTGTGTTTGACTCTTGTCATGCCGGCCTCAGCTGTTGACGTTGTGTCTCCATGTGTACTTGAGAGTAGAAAATGATGCTGCATTATGCCTTAGAAACATGCTGAAGGATGTCCTGAGTACTGCAGCAGTCTGACAGGTTCTCGTCCCCTGGCTTGGCTTTCCTGGTGTTGTTAGCTGGTCAGAGGTTGATCACCACAGAAATGAGAGGTTCTATATGCCAAAAATATCACTTCCAAGCATGTCCATTGTTACCGGGTACTTAGGCTACCAAAATCAGCCACTTTTGCGTATGGATGCACACAATGTTTCTATCTCTGTGCATTGCCACAAACTCTTCCGACATGGTTCTGCAGGCTATTTAAGGGAAAAGAGGAAAAAGCTCCATATTCAGGAGACAAATCATTTAGCTTAAAAAGCTGGCAGAAAATTGTCTTGCTGATTTGAAGGTTCATTAAAAAGTTATTCTCCTGGGATTTTCTACAGGAATTTTCAGTATTTGCAATGACAATGTAAGATATTACTTCCTCCAAATGTAATCAACTCATCAATAACTGAATACTAAAGCCAATATTTCACTAATTTCTTTTCATCAATGAATTACAAAATTACTGCACATTATAAGCCTAGTGTGAGGATTGTTGTGTACTGGTCTCAAGTTGGGTGTCATCATTGAGATATACTGTATATTCACACTATTTTACTTTTTAGTTTCTTTGGATGCCAAATAGTAGCACACTTCTGGACAGATGAGGTTACTTCTGAAAATTTTTCATAGATGTTGACTGTAGAATTTGCAGGTATTATATCAATCTTTTTTTGCAGAATTTTAGTTTTTTTTTTAAAGTTGAAATCAAAGTTTTATCTTTTCAAACTTGTTGTAAAGTGCCTGATGGATTGGTGTTAGATGTAGATGCAATGTAATCAAAGGAATTGGCTACCAACTTAGAGGAGTTATGCTTATGACCACTTAACATTGTTTGAAGGAGCTTGGAGATGATATTACTTCAATCTGAGTCCTTTTCTGACTTTCAAATTGGCAAGCCTAGAGAACAGTCTGACTATGAAGGATTTTCATTCACTTGCACCTGTTCTTCTAGAACTCAATGCAAGATTAAGCAGCTCCTGTGTTCAGCCATTCCACCAAAGGTGTAAAGCTGATGAGACAGCTGAACACATTATGCTAGCTAATGTTGACTGTGACCTGCACTTAGTAACACTGGATTTTACAAAATACAAAACCTCAGGCACACCCAGAGAGGTGACATCACGTCAAAATGGAGAAAAATCTGGAACACTCCTGCAAGAGAAGAGCAGGAAAGAATACTTGCTTGGATTGGCTACTTTCTATTAATATTAATAAAATATCTTCCAAACAAACCAAATACACATTCAAGTGTCAGAGGATGAATGGATGGTTGTCTTTCACTTATATCAGTAGACTCCTTAGTAAAACAACTGCAGACATTTCGTTAGAAAAGAACTACACAAAAACAAGGTACTCAGTAAGTGAAAAGCTCAGCAATCAGTTTTCTAACCAGCAAAGCCAATCTTCTCAAAGGAGAGGAGGTTGAAAATATGGTTGAACAATTCCAGTTCCTCCTTGTGCTTTAGGTCTATTACATCCAAGGCCTCCGTTATGTCTGCCCCACTCTTTTTTGGATGGCAACAGTCCTGTTCGTGTTCTTTGTGCTCATGGAACGGTCCTCTCCACTGGCAGCCAATGCGACGGTACTTGCAATTTGTCAACCTATTGATGTTATGGTTGTTAGAAAGGCATACTTCATTGTTACAAAACGTCAGCAAAATCCATAAGGTCTGCTCTTTGTCTCACAAAGTTGGGACATAGATACACATCTCAAAGTAAAAAGTAACAGAGAAAAAAAGAAAGTCATGGAACAGAAGATGCATGCAACTGAGCTAGGCAAAGTTGCTAAACAGCACGGAAAAATCAAGAGACATCTGTGAACGGAAGCAGAGGATGAACACCGCACTGTACATCTATAGGAAAGGATGTGAACACCTGGACATCACAGTGCCTGCATCATTCACTTCTTTTGTAAAACAGTTGATTTAAGTTAATGTTTCTTTGATCATGGAACAAAGTGGTTCCCAATGTCCAGTGTCAAAAGCTTGACTTTTAATTTCCCTCTACTGAAAGCAATGAATGTTGTCAAAAGTTACTAAAACTAAACATTACCACTGAAAAAATTATTCAAATTTGCATTTTGGGGACATTGAGTTTTGGACATTTACAGTGGGTTTTATAATTTACTGCATTGAAACTTGAATTATAATTTCCATGTTGTTTGGTGACATATGTTGCAAAAATTATCTTGTTGCATGAGTTGACCCACATACTTCCACACCGTAAACGCAATTTGCTGCCATCTTACACTGGAAATTTTCCACATACTCCCCTTCATGATTTGTGAAACCAATTAACTACTGAATAGGTCTATTGCAGATTCTTTATCATTTCAAAAACAGGCTTTTAGGAACTCTTCTAGACTTCTTCATTTTAGAAAAGAGAGACAAAGAGTATGGGGATTGAAAGAAATATTTTGGGGACTTAAATTGACTGTCACAGTGAAATCTCTATTAGCCTGGGAAGCTATGCTTTGTAGTCTGAAGCCTTAGTTACCGGTGAGTACACTCAGTAATACTGGGTTTACACAGCTTTTATCAAAATGAACCTAAGTTTGGAAGCCTGTGAAAATTTCACACACAGACTTTCCCAGTGAGTGATGGCATTGATTTGTAGAAGAAATAGCTTAGTTAGAGGATTTAACTTGAAATGGAATACAGGAAATGTTTTTTTTTTGTTTTACAAAGACGTCAGAACTCATTTGCCAGCTAACAGTTGTTCATTTTGTACAATTTTTGTTCCTTGATCACCGGGAAGTTCCATGATTTTAATGACAGGCAACTGTTGTGTCCATAACTTTTGAGTATATATATAGCTGCCACCTGTCTCATGTGTCTGCTCAAATTTAAATGTAACATCAATGTGGTAAAACAAATTGGATGAAAAATCTGCCTAAACCCAGAACATGCATCGAAGATGATAGCACATGAGCACATTGCACTCTTACAATGCAATTTTTGCCATTATAAATACTTCCTTTTTTGAGCCACTCTGTGGATAACTTTCAGCGTCTAAGTAGTAACTTCTCTATACTTTGTATATAAGATTTTACAAAACACTATTGCAATAGTTTACATTTCTAGAATGTATGATTTTATAAAGTGAACTGGTTTGCAACAATTTTGACTCAGCTGTTTGAATTTCAGTGCCAGGTTCTTTGTTGAAGTATGAAGAAGTCATTACTTAATGAGATGAATTTTCTTGAGATGTTTGAGTCTGTGTGTTATCGTGACTCTAATAAGAAGAAAGATCAGTGGGATTGCAGCCTTTCTCCAGTAGACGTCTTGGACTCATCATCATCATCAGGATCATCTTCATAAAGGTCGTCTAGTAGCTGACCACAGGTTTATCCCACTTCTGTTGATCTGAAGGAAGCACAGGTGTTTGCACAGGTGTTGCAAGTGGCTTCCACCCTCTTCTGAAGAACTGGTTCAGGCTGCTCACAGTGTCCTACCAGTGGTGGTGGTCTCCAGCTTCCCAAGCCCGTAAGGTAAGTAGGAGGACGGAATCCGCAGTCTCCAAGGTGATGCCGAACATCATCATCATGGTTCTGTTGTCTTCCTCCCCAGGCAAATTTCTACATAAGCAAGGATTGCTCATTTCACAAGTTCACTGCTTTTGTAACAGCAGCTGGTGACTGACCTAGTAACTGCTGATAGCCTGCGGTGGCTACATGACTATTGAAGTTAAGTTTGAGTGGTAATGTCTATTGGCGAGTACACAGCAATCTGGTGGTCTTAATGTGTCTTCAGGTGGCTCAAACAAGGAGGTTTGGCAGTTATGACTTTGGTTATAAGTTAAGGCTTGACCATGATTTTTGAGATTTCACTGTGACAATCAATCAGCAAAAAATAAAGATGTTGAACCTCTTTAATCCAAGGTTTATATACTTTAGATGCTTCAGGCACCAGGAAAAAAAGGAAGGATAAGTCCATCATCCTTCTCACATTTTTCATACAGTATAGTTGCAGTGCCACTCTTTGCTTCCATCTACAGATGCTGTATAGAAAATAACATGCACCTCATCATCATCATCATCATAATCACAATCAAACAGACAGCAATTTGGCAATTGCTAATGTCTCTGTGCTACAAGATGTCCTACTTCATTCAAATACCTATTGGCATTCTCACGTTACATCATGATACAAAACTGCCCTGTCCAGATCAAGGCTATCAGTATCAGGTCATTCAAGTGTTTGTTCAAGCTACTGCAAAGATGACTTCCATGAAAAACAAAATGTTATTAAGTTTTGCAGAATATTTATGCATGTCCCGTATGATTTCATGATGGTTTGTGCATTCCTCAAAAACTTTGACCAACACTTAGCAAAATAATTTTTTCAAAGATTTAGCTTTAAAAAATCATTAAAACATGTGACCTCAGAAAAAAATAAAAAGTATAAATCTTTCCTCTTTTCATTTTTGAAGTTTCATTGGAGTAATCGGCCAAATCATGCCTTGCCAAGTGATATGTAATCACTGCAGGTGAGGTTTTGATTGAAATTTTATCAATAAATCTACCTTTCTTTACCTTCCTTTTGTAATTGGATCAGTGTGATCCTTCAAGCATGAGCTTGTAAGTAAAAAAGAGTGATGAAAAAACTGCAACTAACTGTAAGTGATATAAAAAAATCCTAATTTCAAAGGTTTACATAAAAATGTATAAAAAAGGGTATACTGTGTCATTATACCTCTGGGGCCAAAACTAAAACTGCATTAAATATGCATGATTTATTGGTTTAAAGTGATGCACTGCTTACAAATCAATATCCAAAACAATGATACATGCCTGCAGTATCATTGATATGCAAATTATGGTACTTTTATCGACCAAATTTACCATGACCCAAATGTAAAGCTCTTACTCTGTGGGATCAAAATACTGTGAAAAAATACAGTAAAGAGTAATTTAGTGAATGATCTGATACAACCTAGAACTGGACAGAGCAATTTTAGTGGCCCATGGCACCAAACAATGTTGGTCTTATTCCAGTCTAAAAACTTGAAAGGATTAAAAAATAATAGCACTGTGTTTGCAACAGCCAGATGCTTCAATCTTCTCAAACTAACACTTATGACAACTGCAATGTACAGTGCTCAACGTTGCTTAGTAACTCCAGAAAATTACCTACTGACATTCATTTAAAATGCATGCGACAACAAACTGTGAGACAAAAAACTGTGAGAGCCAGATGGCCTGACCAAAATTTCATACTAATCATTGTACCGGACCAGATTTGGTCATATCATGACAAAAATTTTTATTAACCAGTTTGTATCAAGGCCAGGCAGTTAGATTTTCAAAAGCCAACATTCAAAATTTTACTCCTTGTGCTCAATATTGGAAAGAGGACCTTGATTGCCTAATCAAAGAGAAAATGACTTCAAATCAATAAGGAAGTGTTATTATAATCTATTATAGCTTTCACCAAAAGATAAAAATTTCGCACTGTCTTACAATGTATGTAAATGGCTAACCAGCATGCTAGAAAGGGCTTATGATTATATATAACAAGACTGGAACATGCTAATTGTGACCTTTTTACATAACTAATATATGTATATCAAACAAACCAAAAAAATTGTGAAAATTTCAAATATTTCAGCTGGCTGAGCATGGTTTGAGTCACACTGATTGTCACAGATTAAATTGTTCAGTCTTCATAATTACTAGCCTGTGTTACACAATCTCTTGCTGCCAGGCATTCATTGGCCATTCAGTTGGGCAGGTTACTAGGTTTCTTTTATCCATATCTGTCAAATTTTCACAATCATGGCTGAATTTGTAAAAATGGGGAAGCATGCTGAATTTGATGGCAAAGGTTGTCCGAGTAACTTATAATAAAAGATAAACATTTTATGAGGGGAGGCACCATGTTTTTCAATGGATATGAAATTTTATTACCTACTGGTACCACTGAAATGAAAATGTATGCTAATCACAATGATTGATGTCTTTACTTGCTTATGTTTATCATGAAATTGAAAATCCAAGTTGTACTGTATCTTTCTACTGTATTTTTGTGATCTACGAAATATGAATTGCGATGTGCCCATTTCTGACCTAATAGGCAACTCTGCCTTATGTATACACTTTCTGGTATTTCAAGCATGACTTTCAAAATTTGCATGACCGAATGGAAACTCATGACATATTTTCATTTCTTCAACAACATTTTTCTGATGCCGTTAAAGAATGTAACATTCACAGCAATAAGGGCCAGGCTAGGATACAACCCTACGCCTTCTTAACAACTTTGAAGTGGTGAATTTCTGTCTGCTGCAAACACAGTGTAAGAAACTTTAAAATCAGTGTATGGTGCAACACATGGGTTCCAGAGCAGTAAAGTGTGTACCTATCTAATGTGAGTGTAGGTGAACATACAGGAGATGGCTGGGCACAGGTACACTCCCCCATGGCCCACATAGACAGACATACTGTACCTGTCCTGGCACTCCTCTGTCTCATGCTTCTCTAGCTTGCTCCGAGGGTACTGGCAGCTACAATACTGACAGTTTGCTGGCAGCTCGCTCACTGCCTTCTCCACGGCCAGGTTGCGGGAACAGTTCCCGCGACTGATGTCCGTGCGGCACCCTGGGCAGGACGCCTGCTCATCCTTCAGCCTAGCATCTGCTAACAGGTGTGTAAAACAGCCGGCACACATCAGGTGTCCATTTGTACACTGGGGGATAAAGTAAAGAACTGCATGTTAAAATTGCAGGCTTTTTTTCAGCAATTTTGGATTTTTTCTGGAAGTGCTTTCACAAGCAGAAAATTGTAAACATTTCTCATGAATGGCTTCCTTCTAAAGAAGATATGCTATTGATAAAGAAAAGAAGCCATTCAACTATCTAATCTTACTTACTGTATAACAGAGACACAGTCGTTTTTTCTGTCCTCCTTCAGAAATAATTGTGTGATTGTGTGTGAATTTGTATGTACACAGAGATGTGTAAGTTGTAAGACAGTACTGTATGTAAGACTGTTTTGCAATTCTCCGATTTGCCTAAATGTAATTTTTTTTTCAAGTTGGCAATACTTGAGTATCTCATTTTATTCCAATTAGCTTCCTTAACCATTTGCATCAGATTGTATTGTCCTAACCTCCCATCAGCTACGATAGCGTTGCATTTTACAACTACCTGTATCCATTGATATTTGTTTTTCAGCACACAATAACACAGGTTTGTTGACAGTATGATGTAATCCCTATCACCTGGATCATGTGATCCAAGTTCTACCATGTGATTGGTCAGGTCTAACCAATCAGGAGCGTGAGAACCTCCAGGGGGCCAGTGAAGCCAGGGGTTTCATCATCACAACAATGTACCCCAAAAAGCTAAATACAACAAGTATTCAGTCACTGAGAATAATGTGAAGTGGATTACATACAATTGTATTATGCAAAACTTAAACCACAAATCCATGCCCCATTGATAAAAGTCTTAAGATTATCATGCTAGCTCCAAATTAGTAAAATCCACATTTTCAACATAGTTACGGCCAAGACCATAGGAACCATTTTAGTTCACAGATGACAAATATGGTAAGACAACCAAAAAGTCTGAGGAGGCCAAATATAGCACCGTCAGCATGTGTAATCAGCACGCCTTGTGACCTACAAATATTTAAATTAGTCTGACTTGACTGCTCAACTGGAAAAGCAAAACATTATGACATCACCGGCCTAAACAACTACAATTATAATAAAGAATGCTGACAACAAACAAGATGTTTATGCCAAACAAAGAAAGATCATTGTTATAGGGAATGATGTGCTTTTGATTTCACACAGAATATATGCATGCATCCGGCAGATGGAGTTTGATCGGAATTTGTTTGTGAGACCGAACCTGGTAAACAGCAGATTTGGGCAGGTCCAGGCAAACCGTGCAGCACAGAATTCCGTTCAGTCTTCTCTCAAGTCTGTCTTCCTCGGGCCGCTTTCCGTCCCCGTATTCCTTCTTGGCCCTTTTCTTGACTGGTTCGGCGATTTCCACATCTTCCTCGCGAGAAGTCGACGGTTGTTCGGAACTTTCTTCAATCTGCGGCAGCTCCTCCCCTCCGAGGTCAGCCATTTTTGTTGTTCTGTGACGTCAGATATTTCGTCATAGATATGCAAATTTTGTTGCAAAATACGCGACTAGCCAGTTCTCAATATTAAAAAAGAACTTGTCCGGATTTTCAATGCAATAATCAACCCACCACTCCAGAGTTGTAAATTCAAATTCCTCGAATGGTTCCAGCTCGTAAATCGCTGGTTGTGCTGAACAGGTGCAAATGCCATATAGCTTGAGTTCATGGTCTCATGGGACAAACCATAATAACATGGGGCGCATGCAGCCAATGGGCTCCTTTATATATAATAGCGGAACATTCTCCTAATGACCATTCTCTTTCTCATCATCGAAGTCATTTAAGAATTCGCCAATTTACCTAATTTTGTCTAGCTTTGTACGTCTCTTCTCGGAATGGCACCATAGCATCTGCTTGGAAATTTAGTCTTGGCCTGCACTGCTGCATGCATGTCTAGTAAGCGTCGATAGGAGGCATGCATGAACAACATACAGTTGTAATCTTCAAGCAGATGTTGGAAGGGAAAGTCTGAACGTGTTAACATTCTTTCCTGCTAACGGAATATTTGTTTTGGGGTGTTGAATTAGTCGGATTTTCAATAACAAAAATAGATGATTCTTTTGATTTTTGTTATAATATTATTTTTTTTAGACATTCGTGTCATTGCGACATCGACGGTCACGTGACGTATGAAGAGAGGCGTGTCCTGTCTCCAGGTCACCAGAGATCATATCCGGTCAGACCCCCTCCGTGAGCAGCCCGTGAGCCGTGTGCCAGGTACTGCAGGTATTCTTGCTTTAGGCGTACCGGAGGAACGCACGCTACGCAGGTAGGTTCTCGATCTCGAGTTATGAATAACTTAACAAGATTAATACCGATGCGTTGAATACCCATCCCCATATAAGGTGGATATAACGGTCGCTGGGGTTTGGGTTTGTTGATGACGGAATGAAAACATAGCATCGTGAGTCCTGCGTGAGGGCACGCTGAAGTTGTTGTTGCAAATTACAAGATCAACAGGCACTTGGACTAGTCGATCGACTGAACACGTTAACACCTAATGTATTGAGGTTGGGACGAAAACAGACCCAGATTGTAGTACTTTGGTACATGTAGTTTTGAACCTCGTACTTTGTTCTTGTGACTCACTTTATATCTGCTTGGATCAACGATCAAGAGGGTCAAAAACAGACTCTGAGACGTGCTATTATTTTGACAGAGACACAGTGTTTTACAGATACTATGTTACAGGGCGTGGGTGAGTCATTATTTTGTTATTGGTATGTCAGTATTTGTTATTGGTATGTCAACACACCAGTCTACCTGGCTGTCTACTATATTAGTTCATAATCATATTACATAACTGTTATATTTGCCAACGCATTCTAGGTGTCAGAAAAATTATGGACCTGTCAGATCAGACACGGTGAAGATTTTGTGATGATCACAATTACCCAGTAACGAGATATTTGTTTGTGTAAAGTTAGGTTTGTCACTGATAGTGCTTTTAAGAAATTAACATTACAATTACATGCATCTTTCCTTTCATTTTATTTTTGCATAACAAGATTGGTTGCAGTAATAATTTGATAACATGTCTTAGTAAACCTTATCATTTTTTTTGCTCACAATTCAGCCTTAAATGTCTTGAAGTGATTAACTCATTGGTTTTCCTCTCATTTTTGTGCATAATGAAATGGGTTGCAGAAATACTTCTAAGTAAACCTCATCATTTAAAAAAATCTTTGGGCACATAATTTACCCTATCAATGTAGCATCAAATGTCAAACATTTCTCAAATGTAGCAAAGTAACAGTGCACTCTCGCCCACTTTTTCACACTGTCCCATTTCCCTGAGATTTACTCAGTATGGCTACATCTCTGATTGACACGATTATTTTCTGACCCGAGTTCATGTATAAAAGGGTCACAGTAAATGGGGAGTTTGTCTTAAAGCGAGACCAGATTGGTCAGATTTTATCATGGCATCAACAGGTCATCTGAACATTGTACCACATACCTACGTTCCTATTTATCCTGATCATGTGAGAAAAGTTTGCTCACGTACACAGTACGCATACATGCATACGGGGAGGTAGAAACCTGGTAGGTTTGCAAGGGCTGAGTATTTCCAATTTTCATAGACTTTCTTTTCATTCCATATTTCTTTCAGTTTACCAATTTGTGCTCAAGACTAGTGTGTGTAAATGTACCATTATGACTCATGGGCACTGTATCAAACAAATTATACAAAAGCAATGTTTCCTCTGAGTCTAGACTTTGGCAGCAACAAAACAGGATTCCTGTACTATTCCGAGTATTCAGTATTGTGCCTGTGTTGGTTGTATGGGCCTTTATAGCTGTTTTGTTGTGACTTCAAAGTAAAAAGATTTATTGTTTTCTTTGAAATGTCGAGTGCTTAATTGATACCAGCAAATCTGCTTGTGCATGAAGCAGGTGGTTAAAAAACTGAAAGGGTTTACATGTATCTACCATATGTGATGTCCTGTAATTTTTTTAGACTCTAGATAAACTTGCTAGTAACTGAATTGAACAACAACCATCAAACAGATGAGTTCTTACAGATTTAAGTGTGTGCAGGTTAATTTTCAGTGAACAATGTATCATTCATGAAAAATTCCTTCATACCTCTGGTATTTGGCTGAGTGCTCTTTTGATGTTTGGCCAGACTAATATACATGTAATATTTATGATTTCTGTACGTCTTATGACTACATGTATTTGAGGTTTGTTCTAGACTGCGTCAAGTCGTGTTTCAAGTGAAGGTATCGTACTGTGCCATAATAATTTATGGGATGCCACCATATGTTAATTTGTATAATACTAGTAGTACTTAAATAGTCGTTATTGTACTCGTAAGGCACAGGTAACATGTCTCATTGGTGCTGTCTACTTGTTGTGTACAGCAATGGTATGTTATCAATGCATTGATTCTTTTCAGCATGACTTTGCAGCATTTTAATGTGAAATCAGGCATCCTTTTTGAAATGCATACCAGGTATGTGCAGGTGGAAATAAAGCAGCCACCACCAGCATTGGAGAACAAATATTATCTTTCCTTTCTCTGTCTGTTATTTCATCATGTATATGCTTGAGGCCTTCTGTGATAAACACCTGCTTGTGTGAAGTGCTGGGTTACCACTTGATCAGTCAGGGAGAAATATTAGAGCATGCTCCCAATAACGTCGTCACAAAGATTTCAACACTGCCGCTATCGTAACCACCTCGGCAGTCTGAAGAGCCTCAAGTGCTGTTGTCACAAACTCATCACTGAGGCACATCGTGTGTCATTATCTCGGCTTACCGTGGTGTTCAGAAGGGCCAGGTGGTACGTTTGAAGAAGTCTCATGATGTGGCATTGATATCTTCAAAGGACTTTAAACAATTTTTCTTTTTCTTTTATCATGACAGCCAACATATCGTACATGCATATAGATTTAATACATTTTAAACTTTGTCTTTGTCCCCACTTTTATCTACAGGAGCATTTAAACTTGGTTCAGTCTTATCTAACTGAGAAGGATTATATGTACACCAATGTTGTATCTTACAGACAAGATGAGGGGACTTCTGCTATTGTGTGGTGTCCTGGGGTGTGCTCTGGCACAGAGAGACGCAACCCCTGGGCCAACTCCTGGTACACCAGGGTGAGTATATCCTAAAAAATTTGGAAAGTTTTTGAAGGTCAATGGTCTCTGCTATAACAACAGGGCATGCCGAAGCTATATAAGCATGGAATCAGGCAATCGGCCAATGTAAAGTTTTTTCAGCCCTGCAGAATGTGTGTCCTCCACTCATGCATTTCAGATGCATGGTGACGTGGTGCATTGTAATGAACTAAGTCAGTATGAAAACAAAGCCTACATTTTCCATGTTCTTCCAATGTACGTGCTGTTATTACCATCAAGTTGCCCTGATGAAAAATTCTTAGTTTTACTAAGATAGAATATGACACATGGCGGAGATCGTACATGGCATACCATCCTGTTTTATTTGATGATTACAAATCTTAACTCACGCAAAGACACGACAGCAGAAATACTGAGTAAATATGAATGATTCACTACCTCGTGTCGTGAATTTTTTTAGATGACCTTCACTTAGCTGGAAAGGTAAGGTGCTCAAGGTTGATTAAACTAAAGGCACAACAACAATAGCACAAAAAGTGTAACATTGCTCGAGGGCCAAAAACCTGTTTTTCTGGACAGGAGCTGTTATTTTGAAGTTGGACATGCTTTGTCTCACACCATTCCACATAGTTTCATAATTTTATGTTAAACTTTGTACGGTGATAATGACATATAGGGAATAGAGACCTAAGTCTTCTGTGATGACTGTTAAAATTTGGCTCAGGCCTCTGCTACGTGGCAAATTTTAGATGGTTAGCGTGCCGTCGGTCAATGACACTTAATTACTAGGCTACTGATTCATGGGTGGGTATGCCAACTGTTGTTGAACAAAATACCATGCCTCAGGCATAGTCATGCCTGTGGCAGTGGGAGGATATAGGCTGTAACTGTGTTCCACAATCTCTCACTGTCAGGCACTTATTGGCAGTTAGTTGGGTGGGCCCCTGGGAGCACAATTTTAATCAGGCTAGAGTCGCTAGACTGTAACATTCTTTTGTGTATATGAAACCTCATTGTTTATTAAGTAAAAAAGTTCTGTGAACACAAGACTCTAGGTTGTATTTTTTTCACCATTTTGCACTTAAGCTATAGTCAATCTGCCCTCAAGTTTTTATTCGTACATGTGACTTTCCTTTAAGACATGTAAAGTAACAGATACTTCATGTACTTCTTTGAAAGAAAATGATCAAAATTAAGACAATTAACTTTTCTACCAGAAATTAAGACTATCTTTCCTACATTTATGATCTTTTAGGCAATGTCTTACTATCTGAGTTCAAGCAAAGATATTGCTAGCATGACACTCTTATTACTCCTGTAATTAAATGTGGAAAAGAGTCAAGATTGTGTGTAACAAGTCGTTCGGTATTATATAGCTAGCTGCCGCCGTGAAGCGTGCCTGCGAACCTGGTGTGTTACGCCGAAGGGTGGTTATACCGGCTATACCGATACGAGTACAGGAAAGCTTTAAACAACACAAAACTACATACAGTATTACATTATAGGTAGTTCAGCTGGTACACTAAGCAACTTTCTCTGTGATATACAAGCATTCAGTCCTGAATCAATCCATCATTGTCACCATCATCTGACCAACAACAACCTTTCTGTTTTTGTCACGCTCCTTTCAGGACTTTCCTGATCATGGCCCCCAAAGTGGTACGTCCTGGTCGCCCCCTGACCATGAGTGTGTCCATCCTGGACCCCGCTGCGGCCAGTGTGCGGGTGACCGCCACCCTTCTGCAGAACGGCAGACCGACTGGAACACCAGTGTCTGGAGACTTCAGTCCAGGTAATCATCGCAAATTTGTCATTAAAAAAATTGTCATGATAATAACCGATTTGACTGAGGATTTGACTTCAGGAAGAATAGATTTCATGTAAATCTATTGGAGATCGAATAAACAAAAAAAAAAAACAGACTGAGATAGAGCATTGTGTCGTACAGGTTTAGCAACAATTTTAAACTCATTAGCATTCAGATTTGGTCATTAAAGATGTAAGTGCTTCCTGTAATTACTTTTACTGTAATTTACTGTATTAAATGCAGTGCTGTTGAGTATATTTCAAATATTGCACTGTAATTATTAAACTTTAAGACTCACAACTGTACGTGTGTTGCATACCAAAGTGAAATGAAATTATAAGTAAAATGAAATGATAGCAAATTTGGTTGTTTTCAGGTGCTGAAGGAACTCTAGATTTAGTGGTAAGTATTTGCTATTCTTTTGAATACATTGCAAGTTGAAGAGCAGTTTAAGATTGTCTACTTGGTTATGTAGGTAAGGCCACACCAATTTAATTTGTTGGTTCTCGGATTTTTTCAGAAAAAATATGAAGCGACAGGGCGAAAAAAAATAAAAATAAAAACAGGTCTAGGCATCCTATTATAGGCTTAAATGCTACAAAATGAGCCATGAAGTCAACACAAAGGGCTGGGTTAAAATTTAAACATTGAATTTTGAACTTTTAATCAAACCACTGCAATGATAGATGGGAAAACTGTAACAACTAGGAAGAAAAGGACTTTCCTCAACTGTTGGGGGCAAAATATGAGCATTTTTCAGTTGATTCAGGACCAGAATCAAATTTTTTTTTTTTTTGCAAATCAGAAAAAAACGAAGAGGCGAATCCGAGAACCAACAAATTAAATTGGTGTGGCCTAAATGTAGGTAAGCACACATATCACAGTATGTTCTTTTATTATGACATATTTCACTTACATATAATATGATAATACGTTACACTGTCATATAAAATGTTACACTGTCATTAAATTGCCAGGCCCTTGTCAGTGTGCACACTATGATACAGGTGTAGCGAACTCACAATAGATACGTGTAGATGAAAGATAGTAAGTATTAGGTTGTCAAGCATACACATTTCAACCATGAGTGACTCCCTGCAGAATCAAACTTACCAAACTTACTACATTATGATACTAGTTGTCATTACAAGGTATAAAGATTTGGTTATAGAAATAGATATAGAAATACTAGTAGATAAAACATGGAAATTCTTTGTTTATGAAGCTTACCAGTGACAAATTGTTCTGAAGTCTGACAGTGATACTCTGTTTTATTCCAGGTTCCCACAGATCTGACAGCAGGCAATGCCTACAAGCTGCAGGTGGAGGGCACCGGTGGGCTGACCTTCACTGAGGAGAAGGACCTGACCTTCAACTCCAAGTCCTCCTCCATCTTTGTACAGACTGACAAGGGAAAGTACAAGCCTGGACAGACAGGTAGAATGGGAAAAATAACATTAAATGTACCTTGGCATACGTACATTGTATGCACATGTCTACAAGTAACCTTACTATCTCACCCTTTAATACCTCCCAAACTTTTCCTTTGCCACAATTTTTGCTGTTGTCAAGGTTGAGATTGTCCTACAAAGTGTCTCACAGAAAACAAGTTGTATTTATGATACAAGGGATCGCTATGCACTCTGTTAGTAGAGAAGCAAGGTCCAAATGTACATGTACGTAGTGAATGTCAAGTTTACCTGCTGATAACTTGGATCTCTTTGTATCAACAGTAAAGATGAGGGCCCTTGCTGTGGATGCAGAGCTGAAGACCAAGAAGGAACTATTTGACATTGACATATTTGTGAGTATCCACTGTAGTTAGAGGAAAAAATATTTTAAATTAAAATGTAGAATGAAGTGATGTAAAGTACAGACCAGTGTTTCCGCCAGACTGCAGCTGAGAGGCCGTCCAGTTGGGAAGGGCCGGGTCGCGAAAATTAATTACAGTAACTTAGTGAACACGTCGCGAAAATTAACTGAGGGGGCGGGGCATTTGTTTACACTTGTTTACAAGTTGAAACTGTCCACAAGCATTCCACATTTTTTTGTATTGACATAAAAACACTGTTACAGATGGCAAATGTATCGTCAGGAAATTATACTGTTGCAAAACCAAAACTCTGCTGCAAAACTCCAAACATCGGCATCATTTAATTATAACCTCCGGTAGCGCCCGCGCTAGCCGGATTTTCAATAGTGAAGAGCCTTGCTTCGTTCGTACTCATACTTCTTCCGTACATTTTCGCTACGAATTACTAGTTGATATTAAGCCAAAAATACGTCAAAACATGTAAAGAAACGTCATCTTATCTCTCATACACGAGACAAATTTTGCAAAAAAAATGGCTGTATCGTAGCTTTCATTGCTGTTTCATTCAACAAAAATGCTCCTTGATTGTAAAATGATCACTCATCTGTTGTCTCCAGTACAGTGTCAAATGGTAGCGTGATCGTAGCGTGCGAAAAATCAGCGTTATAAGTCAGAAAATCGCCGGAAAAATGAACTCGCAGCACACATTCTCAACCTCGCCGGAGAGAAGGAAATACGCGCCATTTTGTCATTAATATGTAAGTAGCAGCGTGAACTCTACGCTCTGATTGGTTGACCTCATATGACCTGCGCTCTGATTGGATAGAGCCATCTTTGCCGGCATAGCTGCAGAATTTGTTTGTTGGCGAAGAGAGTTACACTACGCTACTTTCTACGGTGTTTCTACCGCTAATTAGTAACATTCCACGCCACGAAATTCATTATGAAGAATTTTTGGGAAATTGTATGCATTCATATGCCGATTTGTGGTGCCTTTCGCGTATTCAAGCAAGCCGGAAGTGTTAGCGAACCGCGGCGTGGATAGCGAACTGCGGCGTGGATTTTCATGCAACCCTCCCGCTACAAGACCATCAAAAACAAAAACATAACTCCCAAAAGAGAATTTTCACATCCGAAATGATTCTGTTCGAGGAAAAATGTTTGTGGATACATTTTACCGGATGGAGACTTGAAAAACGGGTTTTAATGAGATTAACGTATGCGAAAGGCGCCGACGTCTATTGTTCGTCAGCATGATAACAATAGCAAAACAAACAACGTGTGTCTTTCTTGCCTTGGACGGCGTCCTCGTCTACAGCAACAAAACAAAGACTGTCAATTTCTCTGATTTTTCCGAGTCTCGAAATTTTTTAAGAGGACGGCCTCTGTCCGAGTTCAGGCCGTCCAAAACGACACCAGGCCGTCATATGACGGGTGGACGGCCCTCTGGCGGAAACACTGGTACAGACAAAATCAACAACTGAATTGAAACAAGTTGTAGTTTTGAATTCATGGAACAATGAAACAAAGAATGTAGACTTTTTTGGTACCTTTTGTAAATGAAAAATGTGACAATTTGTTCATTTTAGGATCCACAAGGTAACAAGATAGTGCAGTGGCGTGGACTGCAGAATGATGATGGCTTGGTAGAGAAGCAGTTCCCTCTGTCTGATCAGCCACTTCTGGGAGAGTGGAAGATTGTAGCCATGTCTGGGGTAAGTGTCTCTGTCAAGGTGACAGTGGACAGGTCACATTTATCACTTTTATGCAAGGCATAATATAATTATTATAATGTTCCTCATATATGGCTCAGCTGTTTGATTCAATATGTGCACAGGCATAGTTGTGACAGTGTGAGACAATGTTGAACGTTAAGTGTATACAATGTATTTAATTCACCAATTTCCTCACATATCTTTATTATGTATCTTTGTCACATATTTTCCACCAATCTAGTCTACAAATTTGATTACTATACATTATTACCTAGATGTCATTAATAACAGAACTTGATACATTATTTAGTAGTTGTACTGGCCCTAACCCCCCAAGCACAGCTTGGTATCTATCATTACTAATAGTCTTGTTGTTGTCTTGTCCTCAGGGAGATCAGGTTGAGCAGCCCTTTGGTGTGGAGGAGTATGGTGAGACTTAGGTTTCATACAGTATTTTATAGTTATTCTGTACCGTATACCAGGTTCAGTAGAGTAGTCATGTCACATTTAAGTCTGTGTAGTGGAAAGTGGGAAGGATGAAGAGATAAAGGATGCTGTTTGTACAATTACGTGTATACATGATAAACATACTAGGTATTCCAACATTCTGCAGCAAAGAGAGCAGAACAATGATTCTAGATCATATTATTTTGCTAGTGATTTATGTATAACTTTTGTATCTGATTGATGTTTGATATCATTTTCTCAGTCCTTCCCAAGTTTGAGGTGACCATCAGTACCAACTCATTCTTTATCAAAACCGAGGATAACCTGCATGGCACCTTCAATGCCAAGTAAGTGCCTCACAGATGGAACTTAAAGTTCTTTTCGTGGAATCACAGCCCTGACATTCATGACATTCATACATTGTAGATTAACATAAAGGATAAACTATAATGCTAACAATTCTTCTAGCTCACGAATGTAACTGTTGCCCTTCTCATGAACACATCTCATGATGAGTTTCTCCATGTAAGGTGTAATGAATAAAGAAAACATAGTTACAAGTATGTGAAACAAAATGCAGGAACTCTGGAACTGACTCTTTGAAAATGCACTCTTCTCATGAAGCAGACTTGTGTGTAATGTACACCTTGCTGGGATGTACAAGTTTCAAAATTACCCAGGTTAGAAGACTAGAAGTGTATCCTACATTTTATATAACTAACTTGCTTGTTTGATTTTACACACAGATACACGTATGGAAAGAATGTTGAAGGTCAGGGGAAGGTGACTGCCATGCTGAGGAATCCAGGCAGTCCCTTTAGGCCAACTGACAATAGAATTGAACTTCGTCCTGTTGATGTAAGTCGCTACTTCTCATAACCAGCAATAGAAAAGGTTCCCTTTTATGTGTGTGCTGTTTCTGTAACGTGTTACACACATGTTAACATACAATTTCTATTCTAGTTGTGTTACTGTTCTATTCATCTTTGATATTGTAGTATATGTTCCCATACATATGCCCTGAATACTTGATGCAATTACTATAGTTATAAACCCTGAATAACATTTCACCCCAATTTTCCGCTAAATTCTCAATGAAAGGAAATTATATTGTCATAGACTCACAGTAACTGTGTGTTTCAGCTGACTGATGGAAGTGGAAGTTTCCAGCTCTCTCGTGGAGACATTGAGGGCCTGTATCATTACACAGATCTGTATTATGGTGGCTACCAACTGGAACTGATTGTAGAGGTGACAGAGGGTCTCACTGGTATGTATTAAAGCATCATGTGACTAGTGATGCCTTCTTAAGACATTTGGTTAGTGTGCTACTTGTAGTGAAAATAACATTCATGTTGTTCTGTTGTGATTTACCAGAGGGCTTTCTGTTGTTCTCTCAACCAGCATCATATTATGTGCTGTGAGTATACAGAATATATTCTAATGGTTAGGCTAAGAACAAGCTTATGTCTAAGTATTTCTACTTCATGCTACTAGGAAATACACAGCAGGCTACGAAAGAGTTGGACCTGGTACAGACCAAGTACAAGCTGGAGTTCTTCAACACACCTGACAACTTCAAACCAGGGCTTCAGTATACTGCTTACGTATGTATTCTACTTTTTATGTATCTAATTTTCAGTTCAAGCCCCTTTGACATAACAGTATGATTATGGCATTGTTGTCTCATGGGTTAGTAGCAGATACAACCCAGGCAGCACATTGAGTATGTCTTATTATGTTTGTTTTTTTAACTTACAGGTGAGGACATCGTACCATGATGGCACCCCCATGCTTGGAATGGATCTTTCCCGACCTGTCACTCTGACAAAGCGCTATGGCTATGACGGCCCAACACCCCCTCCTGCAGAGGAGCTTACCATTCCTTCATCAGGGGTGATCAAGATAGTCATGGATGTGCCCTCTACGGCAAGCTCTGTGTCACTTAGTGTAAGTTGGGGTTCACTCTCTGATGATTTGGGTCTTCAAATGTTAAATGTCTGAAATTCTTGTCACAATTCAGTGTTATTGGAAGAACATTATAATTTCATTAAAGATGCACCTGCATTGTGAATTTTACAGGTAACGTACAATGACATGTCGGAGACAGCAAGTTCGCATACTGCCAACAAGGCAGAGTCACCCTCCAGCAGCTACATCCAGGTCACTACAAGCACTCCAGAGGTCACGGTAAGCCACATATACTTAATGTATCCTTTCTGTCTGTGTTGCTTATTTGTTCAGATGAGATTTGAAAAGAACCATTTTTCCAAAAAAAAGTTGAGGCTAAGGGTAAAAATGAGTCCTCTTCAGTTTTTCATGCCAACATGTTACATTTATTGTTTATTACCACAGGCCGGAGAAACTGCCCAGTTCACAGTCAGGAGTACCACTCCCATTGCCTACTTCTCCTACCAGGTGAGCTCACAGAGGGTAGAAAGTAAAATAACACAGTACTGATGTTCTGTCCAATACATGTATTTTGATGCTTTTTTAAATTCATCAGTCATCTAAAATCGTGTAGGATTGTGTAGGATGTAGAGTACAAATTCTGCCATCAAAGGCCATCTAGTTTGTCTTTAATCCATAGTATGGAAAGTATCATGTAAAAAGATAGCCTCTTGTCTATGTTCATTCAGTGTCAAACATGTCTTTACAGCCAACCTGTATTGTCTGTAGGTTCTGGGTTCATACCTGTTTTCTATGAGGTTTAATAGTGATGAACTTAAACTCAGGTTGTAGTATGTAATGATTACTACATAGAGACACATTGTGACGATAATGCCACCCTTTTCAGGTCCTGTCCAGAGGCAACATTGTGGTGGCAGGCAGGGTTGATGTGACTCCAGAAGACACGCTGAAGTCCTTCACTGTTCCCACCGACGCCCAGATGGCCCCCTCCTCCCGTATGGTGGTGTACTGGATGACTGACACAGGAGAGATCTGCAACGATGGACTGTCGTATACAGTCAAGGGAGCCTTTGAGAACCAGGTGTGCTGTCCTGCACTATAATATGAACTTTCATGGTATATTGAAGTATAGCTAAAATTATGCTCACAGTGAAAAGTGCATGACACAAAAAGTGGCCAAATGTGAATAAAATGAGATGAGCCAAAGAGAACCCTCACCCAGCCGCCTGTAGACCTACAGGTCTGTCAGTCATCAGCCTCAGGGCCAGGTCCCACTAAATTAAATACAATGCAAGAGAGTGTTGATAGGTTTATCTGTAACACTTCCAGGAAAGTCATGATGATTGTGATTACTGTTCATCAGGTTTCCCTGAGCTATGACAAGGACCGTGCGGAGCCTGCGGAGGACATCGCTGTGACAGTTCGTGCTGACCCTGACTCACTGGTGGCTCTGCTGACGGTGGACCAGAGTGTCCTGCTCCTGGCAAGTGGCAACGACATCACTCAGGACAAGGTGAGCATGATCATGCTCTATCACGACCTTATTATATTGAATTGCAGCATGTTAAGTTTTTCACTCTATGTTCTATCATTTTGATTAACAAAAGGTACATCGTATCATACACAGTTTTGTTGAGATTGACTAAAGGTACAGTATAAAGAAAATTAACAAACAGGTGTCCTACTTTACTTCCATTGGCCGAGCTCCCATTTGATATCTAGTATAAGATACTGGTAATAACTAACTCACCGACAAGTTGCCTGTTCCTAAAAATGCCATTTTCCTTTTCAGTCATAAATGTTGACTTCGAATCTTTGTATCATCCAATTCTCTATTTCTTTTTTTTGCATCTGGCCCTTGACCAAGTGCAATGGTTCTGCAGTGGTCATGAGCATGATGTCCTGTTTGTGTACTGCAGGTATTGGCTGAGCTTGACCAGTACGATCCTGCTGAGGACAGCTCAAACTCAGGCGGACCAGAAATCATGTGGCGCCGTCGCAAGAGGTCCATCTGGTGGCCCATGCCGACATCTGGTGAAGATGCACACAGTGTGTTTGAGGTACTACAAGTTACTTGGAAATCTCTCACCACCCCATCAACTTGCATTGATCACCATTCAAAAATTGTTCTGATCATCATTTAAAAGTTGATTTGATTGCTAAATTCATGCTGGATGGTCCTGTTGGTGTGCTGTTCTGATTTGTTGATAGCTTGAGAGATCTTTGGATGTCATTTCCTGATGCTATCACTTGTGAAGGGAACATTATTGCTTGTCATCTGGTTATCCTAGTTACTAAAAATCCTTTAAGTTACGGAACTTAGATTTTGCCATAAGGTGAGAATCAAGAGGATGTGATGTCTTTCAGTTTGCGGTTGAAATACATATATTGGGGTGTGAACCGTGTGATGATTTTGTAGTTAGAAGAAAAAAAGGACTATCATGATTTACTTTACCTGGAGTAAATTGTGATTTTTAAACCCGATTCTTATCCAGAATGCTGGTGTGATTGTCATCACAGATGCCTTGGTGTTCCAGAAACAACCTGACTACTGTAAGTCCATTCCTATTATGTCTATCAATGATTTGCTTTTTGAAAATCAGTTTTGATTTGCTTAATGTAGATCAGACATCTATAGAACAGATTTGGTTGTTCTGTAAAATTGGGATTTTGCACAAAAGTTGGCATAGATTAAAATGTGATAGTTATGATTCATAATGTAAGACAGTATGTTTTATAAAGAATTATTATGTGCCTTTATTAACTTACTAGCTGATTGTTTGTCCTGTTGTGTTATTTTTGTTTTTGTATGTGTTGCCACCATGATTTTGTGTCTCAAGAATCTGATATAAATTATTAAGCATCTGGGATAGCTGGGATGATGCTAGAGGATCTTATTACGTGTATAAGGATGCAATGAGCAAGAATTGCTGTGCTAATATTGAATAACTTTGCACTGTTCCTTTGCAAATCAAGACGCAACACCTGCCACCAAATGTGCCAAACTAGTCTGATAATGATGTATCAGAAAAATGTTCTAATTTCAACATTTTTGGTCTGATGATCTGAAGTGTTCCAGGTTATACACAGTGTAATTTTTTTATTGAACTTTGGAGGGTGTCACAATCTTCTAAAATACCAGCCTTGTGCTATATTCTCTTTAAATTTTTGTTTTAGCCTTCAGCTCATATCATAAAATAGAACATGATGTTTTGAATACTTGTAAATAGTATTCCACAAGAAAAGATGAACTCATTAGACTTAAGTTATATATCTTAAAGTCTTCATCTAAAAACGGTCTGCCATCATCCAAAAATTCTATTTCCTTATTGGTTCTCTGTGAGGTAGCAGGTTAGTCATGAAGAACATTTTCTCAAACCATTTCTATTGTGACTCCAAGGGTGGGATTTTGGTGGTGGCCCGTTTCCGGGAGTGCTAGACAACATAATGTTTGGACCTCAGTTGGAGGCTGCTGGTGCTGGTGGTGAAGTTGAGTTTGTGATTGGTGGAGGTGGAGGTGGCTCTGCTCTGCAGGAGGTCAAACAAGTGCGGTCCTTCTTCCCTGAAACCTGGCTGTGGAACTGTACAAGATCTGGGTAAAACATCCCAAACAACTCCAATCCTACCAAAAATCACCCAATAAACAATATTTATGACTCTCAGGACCAAATTTTTAATCAAAGAAGACATATGATGCAGCAATTATGACCAATTGATCTTTAAACGATTGATCACAGTTTGAATGAAATGTATCAATCTTGGATTTTAGCATCCTTTTGCTTTGCCTGTCCCTTTCCAATGTGTATGTATTTCACACACCACTACAAGTGTTACCTATTAAAAGGCCCAGGGGTGCAATCTGAACATAAAGCCATGCAGGACTCTCTTGAGTTGGTAGTCCAGACTAAACATCCTTGGAGGAGGATGTGGAAGTAGCAAGATTTGGTTGGACATGCCTGAAGACTTGGTACTGAGAGAACATAACAGCTTACTGAATTTGTTCTTTGACCATGACTTTGGTGGCAGGTGGAATTTTATGTGGCTCTTGATTTGCAAAGTGACAGTGGGTTGAATGGAAACAACGTGATAACTTATGATCTTATAGAGCCTGCATCAGCTGTTGATGTGGCAGGTTGAGGACGACTTGATTTCTACCTCTTAAAAGTCTGAGGACAATTCCTTTGTGGCACGACGTCAAAACAGATGACCTAAAAACTGATGTTTGGCTGATGAAAGATTGGTTTTGTCATGATACAAAGGGTGGCAATGGGGAATACTACCAGTGGCAGATTTTGACTTGGGAATGGTGCAGGAGTCCCTTGCTGGTGGAGTGGGTCCTGTAATGGATCTTGGAGGTGGCTCTGCTCTGCAGGAGGTCAAACAAGTGCGATCCTTCTTCCCAGAAACCTGGCTGTGGAACTGTACAAGATCAGGGTAAAATTTGAAAACATATCCCGAACAACTCCACCAATCTTTCTCAGGATCAGCAAGTTAATGAAGTGATTCTCGGAAACAAAACTTCAATCAGACAAATTGACAACAGGCAGGTTCAAACATAATGTATCTAATGACCAAAGTTTGAATGAAATATGACAAATGTCACTAATTTGATCCAATTTTTGTACTCTCCTTCCCTGATATGTCTGTCCCTGTCCACTGATTCCTAGAAATATTTGTGTCAACACAAACAAAAATTGCCTGGTACCAACCACAAAGATTACCTGGTATACATCACACAGGTAGCTAAAGCAAATTCCATTTCAAGTGTTGAATGTAAAACATGGACTTCACTCAGAGTTCATACAGAGGGTCACATACATGTATGGTCCTATGGAGAACAAGTTACCAGCTCGTGTTTCCTGGTACATCAAATTGATAGTGATTGTTCAAGGATGGTAGAGTATGTCGATTATGATGTGATCAGACCGGCTTTCATGGACATTCCTTCTCTAATAAGATCTGATTAGACAAGAACAATCTGATGGCGGTCCTTCCCCCAAAACCTGGCTGTGGGAGAGCACAGTAGCAGGCTACAGAAGCTGTTACTCAGCACATCAATGTGTCATATTGGAACATACCTCTCATCTTTAGATTCAGTCATTATTGACTGTGGCATTCTTGGTGGCAGGCAATAGTCTTTGACATGCAATTCAGTGACAGTGCAAAAAGTAGATTGATTATTAGTTTAATAATGCTCATTGAAAGGCTCATGGAAATGAAACTACTGGTATATATAATACTCCTTTCAAAGAAACTGGTCTGTGGCTTTTGAAGTGCGACCACTCAGACTAAGTCATGGGACAATTGTGGACATTGTAGAGTATACTCCTTTCAAACAGCCAATTTTATCATGACACAAAGGGTGGCAATGGGGGATACACCCAGTGGCATTAGAAGACGGCATTCTACAACCTCCAATGTTGGTTGGAGAGTCTCTTGCTGGTGTCATGGATCCCTCACAAAGTATGGATGGAGGTGGCACTGCTCTGCAGGAGGTCAAACAAGTGCGATCCTTCTTCCCTGAAACCTGGCTGTGGAACACTACAAGATCTGGGTAAAAACATCCCAAACAATTTCACCAATCCTACCCAGGATCATCATATAAATTATCATTACTGTAACAGTGATTCTCAACATTCTTGTTCCAATGAATCAAAAAAACATGGTAGACGTTTTGGGAATGAAAGATAAATATCCATTGATTTGAACCAATTTCTTGCCTTTGACAATTCCTCAACTATTGCTACATGTGACTGTTCTGAAAAAATTGATTTGCCCCCAATATGCCAATCAAAATCAGAGGTTCTGCTCCCAGCAAGGAGGCATGATCATGAATGAAACGTATTCTCCAAACTGCAATTGTTATGTCTGCTCAGGTTGTTTCAAACAAAGGGGTGTTGGGAATGTGACTCAAACAGGACAGATGAAGTTTACTTTATGCTGCCACAAACAGGGACAATTCTTCAACATTCATTTCAATATCACGAGCCTTTCTCTGCTGCCTGGAATTCCACAGTAACTAGTATGACCTGAGGTGCTTTCCCAAGCCCAAAGGTGTTGATATTTGTAATCCATTACAGTCATGCACTACATGTACAGGGAACATAGAAACTGGTTGGAACCATTTGACTGTACATAAGTTTCAGTTTCTCACTACATGACTTATAAAGACCTAGATTGTCCTAGAAACCAACTCAAAGTTCATACATATGATGAATTTCTATCCCCCCACAAACACAAGACTGGCCCGGGATGGAGTATGATCATGTAGAGTATGATGATTACGATGCCATCAGGCCGGCCTTCATGGATGTAGCAGTAGCAGGCATGGGGCCCGATGAGATCCGATTGGACGATGACCGTCTGATGGAGGTGTCAAGAGTACGCTCCATCTTCCCTGAAACCTGGCTGTGGGAGAGCACAGTAACTGGGTACTACTGGAACTGGAACACAGTAGATGTTACTGAAAACATCAATGTGTCCAGTGTTTAGAACACAGATTGAAACATCTCACCCTTTGATGAGGATCGCGTAGACTGCAAGGAGGATGCATGGCTCAGTAGGACTAATGTTGGCTAATACAAAAGTCTATCGGCATATTCTCTTACTCTGAGAAATGCTGTTCTCCTGTCCTATTTATGTGTATGTGTTTTGTTAGTTTAATAAGTGTAGATTATACTAGATACAAGTCTTGTTTTCACTAACTTTGTAGTCGTTTTTCAAAAGACATGATGGAAGCAATGTCATTCATTTGGTGCTCTGGATTTCCTTTTAGATATGAAAGGAGATTATATAAAAAGTAGTAGCCTGGATGCTACCCATTTTGTAACGGGGCTCTTGCACTTGCTACTTTTTTTTTCAGGTCCAAAAACTGATGGCCCCCAGGCTAAAAAAACAGGACTGGTTGTGAAGAAAAAATTACTAACTTAAAGTCTTATATGCAGTGTTAGTTATAATTGCACCCTCAGACACATGCAAACTGTTTTGAACATTAGATACACAATCTTTCCTGCCAGTTTATCTTGGAAGAGTACCTGTTATGGAGTTTGCAGAAGACGGTGTAATAATGAGGAAAGGCGAGTCTGGAGTGTCGCAGCCCCGCGGTGGTCTGCAGGAAGTCAAGCGTGTCCGCAGTTTCTTCCCTGAAACTTGGCTGTGGACAAATGCATCTACAGGGTAACATAAACAGAACATAAGACTTCCCAGAAAAACTTTCCTTCCCCTGCACAGTTGCACATAATTGTATCTTCTCTCCATACTAACAGATAATATATGTTCCTGTGAGGGGTGAGTTTCACATTCAGTGTCATGAAGGAGGAACTGGGAGGGACAGAATAACAAATATTATTTCATTATACTAGAAAATGACATGTATAGCATACTTGACATGTCTGACATTATCAGATTGATGTGCATGTCTGGACAGTGAGGGTGGCTTCACTTTGCTTGCTGTGATGGCTGATTGTCCCTGATGAGATGTTTGATATGGCAGAGGAATCAGCCAGCTTGGAAGTTGTTTTGGAAGGGTTGACGTGATAGGAAGAGGATGTTGTGTCTGCAAACTTAGTGGATACTGCTGAAAGTGTGATGAAGGATGACTTGTTGGAAGAGGAAGTGGCAACATTGTGAGAAGGACTAATTCTCTGTGCCTGGATGGGAATTGCCTGACAGCTAGATCTGCAGCAGGGTGTGGGGGTTCATCTGCAGGATCTTGCTCTCAGTTTCTTCCCTCATGAAAGTTGTCTACTGGAGGAAACAAGGGCAGCAAAGCCATAGCCTGTGGACTCACCACTTCCCCAGAACATTATTCTCATATGGACTACATGAAGCTTATACCAGGATAGAGTATTAGGTGACATTCAAACATCAACAGTAGCTGAATCGGTAAAAAAAAAATAGGGAGCAGTAATATGGACCTGTTGGTCATGGGAGGTCATTTGAGTCAAATAACTATCACATGTGATGCCATATATGAAAGACTTGTGAATAGGAAGTCATTAAAGTTGAAAACTGATGCTGGTAGTGTCGAGAACAAAACGTTCCTACCTGGTATGTTCAGGTTGAACCTTACCAGGGATCTGCTGCAGCCAACTACTGCTTCATCGCCTTTGAGCGGTTTATGGGAGCCACACTGGATTGTTCCCTGTAAATTGAATATATTGACAGTTTTTCGACTTTCCCTGATAGCTTGGCCAAGTTTTGGTCGAGGAGGAGTGGAGGAGGACGTGTTCATGCGAGAAATGGTGCCACTTGCAGATTCAGCTCCAGATTCTGACATGGGCGGAGGCAGCAGTGGGGGTCTGCAGGAGGTCAAACGTGTCCGCAGCTTCTTCCCCGAAACATGGCTATGGACAAATGCAACAGCAGGGTAACATTAACTCAACAAAACTCGTCTCTGGAGATGCACCACTTTCCCTGCTTTGAATGCACAACTTTCCCTGCAATGAAATTTCTTTCCCTCACACTAATGATTACGTGGTCTGTACTCTTAGACCAAGGAGCAGGGATGGTCGAAATTTCAACTGAAAGGGACAGAATTTCAGAACCTGATATCTACCAAGGACCTAGTATTAGAAATGGCAAGGAATCCAAACTGAGTTAACTTAACATTCTACTGTTTCAGAAATAAGCATCTACATCAATATAACATACCGACATGTGTATCAATAATTAGACTGTATATCAGAATTCACAGGCACTGCATTCAACTTTTGCTTTGGGCTCTGGTCCTGAAAGTTGATATTGTATTTGTTGAGTTAGCAGGAAAAGGGTTAAGGTGACTTCTCTGCATGGCATTCTGTGGTGGCTTAGCCTAAATATATGCTCCACTTATTGATACCAAATTGATCGTCTGCCTTTAGGTGTAACAGAGTAGGCACATGCACTGATGCTTGAATGCCTCTAGTAATTACATGTAGCTACCCCAAGTTTTCTTCCAGGAACTTAGCTTTTGCCTCCCACTTGGGAGGATTGGTAGTAACCTAAGATGACAAGAGTCAGGTGAAAGAATCCTTAAATACTGGCATTGGGGTCTTAGCTGTCTTGTCTGTTGTCCTAATGCCTGATTTTTCTGCCTGGTTCATCACCCAGGGGTATCATATACAGTACTGTCTGTAGTCTTGGTCTATCATTAGCCTAGTAAGTGTTGCCATGTGGCCTTGGGATCATGTAGGTTGGAGATTTCTCTATTGAAGGAGGAAAGGACATAATACATTGCTTAGAAATTTATGAAACAATAGGTGGTGTTGGGGGGAGGACATAAAAGTGTGAAATACTGCTTCTACCCTACAAAGATTCTTTGCAGAGCCCCATATACTGTAGTTGAATAAGGATCCAAAACAAAGTTGCTGAACCAAAATGCAACTGTTACGGTATTTGTTCTGTAAAGAACAAATTGACCTGCATGGCTTTATTTGTAGCAGTTGTACTTTGTTACCAACCCTTCGATTTTTTCCTGTATACAGCACACAGTTTCAAGGAGTTAACAATTTTCAGGTTGGACATCATGATGGGACCTTCTGTTATGTCACAGACTACTTCGTCATTGCCTGCCAGCAGTCTGTAGGGGCTCCAGTGCACTTATTTAAATATCAAATTCGTTCTTGTATATCTTGACAGATGTTATAATGACTTTCCTAACAGTTTACAAAATGTATGATGAAGGGTTCATGGATATGGATGATGCCTGGATGGAGATGGACATGGTGCCAGTCGGGGCTGCAGCAGAGGGGGCAGGAGGAGGAGGAAGAGGAGGCAGCGGGGGTCTGCAGGAGGTCAAACGTGTCCGCAGCTTCTTCCCCGAAACATGGCTATGGACAAATGCCACAGCAGGGTAACATTAACACAACAAAACACAACCCTGGAGATGCACCCTTACCTCTGCTATATTCTGCATTGAAGTGTCTTTTCCTCACACTAACCACTTGTATTCGGTTCTCTCAGACTAACAGTTGCACACGTTTGACTTTCAGTGATATGGTGGAGGAACTGAGAAGCCCAGAATTGCAAAGAACTAGACGCTTTGGGATAGTATTGTAACTGGGAAACAGCAACTTTCATTCTACTCAGTCTCTTCAATTTATTTGATATTCATATATCTTACAATGTGACACAACTGCTGTATAAACACTGAATGTTAACTGCCTATAACTTTTATCTGTCCAACATTCAACTACAAACATGTAGCTGTCATATTGACTTCATCTGCTGAACCTTTTCCTGGTGTGGGCTCATTCTTTGATATAAGTAAATTAAGTGACCAGGTGAGGGATAAGGTTTTTTCTAGATTCTGATCCATGGTGACTGTCTGGTGTTGGCTAGCGCATTCTCTTTTTAGCGAACGCCCATGAACGCCCAGGATTTGTCGCTTAGTCAGGCTAGGTGTTGGCAGTTTTCTACTGCATGCACTACATGATGCGATGGAGCAACAGTAACTTACCGAAGGGTTTGTGTAATACATGTACATAATGCTGATGGCCTCATGGCTATGTATAGAGCTGTAGATTTGTTGCAGACAGCAATCTAACATTTCAGAACAAATCCACAGCTTTGTCAGTAGTATGAGCTTTGCACAGGAAGGTCTGCAGCTTGCTTTTATAGCCTCTGGAGAAAGTTGGGTACACCAAAGGTTACACTGACTGGCTTTTCCCATCTGATCTTCAGAGAGTTTCTGGTCAGGATCAAATCTCCTTGCCCAGACACAGATGGAAGCTGTCTGTATCTTGTCTGACTGTACATGTATGTCATGTATGTTGAGTTTTTATACATGTCCTTTATATATAGAAGGAGAAAGAATGCTATCTGTTGTTGGTGTGTGTGAAAGAATGAGGAAAAATTGTGCTTACATGTACTAAATTCTTCCAAATTAAGGGGGCCTAGTTGTGCTAATCAAAAGATACCAAATAGCTTTGGCAAACATAGCAACAACACATCGGATGACAATTTTTTTGTCCGTAATTTCTTGCAGATTAACAGTGACTGCAATGTCATGTCATGTCTCTGTTCTGTGTTTGTCTGTTGTCAACCCTCCTGGTTGTTCTGTTCAGTTTTGTAACAGTCGTTTGTTACTGTGGGTTGGATTTAAAATATTGGCTTTTTTGGAAGATAGTTTCATTTTCAACATGCATCAATTCAAGGCATTAGACCTGTCTAGTGGACCTGCAATTCATTTGCAAATAATGTCTTAACCATTTGAACTTCAGATGTATATCGGGATCCAGTGCTTGGAGTTGCTGTTTCTGATGAGCATGTAAAAAAAGATGAGGGTGATAGGTTTTTGTTGTTAAACCAAGGACATGATAATGGTGGCCTGCTGGAAGTCAAGCGTGTCCGCAGCTTCTTCCCTGAAACTTGGCTGTTTGACAAAGCAACTACAGGGTAACAGGCACTATCATCATGTGACGTGTCAGATCAAGCCTTTCGGAAGTTGTCCTTCCTCTGCAGTCTTCACTGATGTGTCTTCAAACACCACCTTTCCTCTTATAAGACAGTATAAAACAGCATGAGGCAGGAAGAGTCAAGGAATGTCAACTCTGCGTTTTCCTGTTCTCTGGTACTTGATGTTTTCAGTCTGCTGTCTCAACTAGTTTCATACAGGGCGAGGCTACATTGTACTTGGCCATAGGATATAGAGAATGAAGACTGGTACATGTGCCAGAATTCAGTTACATGTATAAAGACCAAGGATGGAGATTGAACATCAACTACAAAAACTTTATCAGGATCAAAAGACAAAATTTCCCCTTAGATGCAGAATGTTGTATTAAGACTAATCATTATGGTGCTTACTGTTTAATCACTTATTGCATGTTACTAACAATTAACTGCATGGCTATGCCTCTGGTATGTATGTTAACTAACTGCATGCATGGCTTTCCTGCTAGTATTCCGTGGTGGACCAGGTATGGTGTTTGCCATGGCAGTTCCTGCAGTTGCATCAATGGAGTCAAGCATGATACAGGAAGGGGAGGGGGAGTCTTTAATGGCTGTCAGTAAAGTCCGGACCTTCTTTCCAGAAACATGGCTTTGGACCAAAGCAAGAGCAGGGTACAGCTAGATGACTGTTGGTAGTTACTTACAAGTTAGTTAGTTAGTTCCTCCAAGCAATACTAACACTTTTAGCACAGCTAAATGTTTCTTATGTCTGTCAGTATCTGTATCTTCTGAACTTCCCATTCCTTCTGTCTTGAAAACTTGATTATGTAAATACATGTATTATGTAGTTTGGAGAGGTAGAATCCAAAGTCTTTTCAATTTTGTAGCTCTCCACTAGTTTGTTTTATTTTTGCCTTGGAATATTCAGGGAGGTTTAAAAACTTGGAATATTGAAGTAACTAAAAGAAATCAGCTATACCATTCAATTTTCTTTTATCTTGATATACCAAAAAAATGCCTAACATGGCAAAATGGATGTCACAACATTCCCTTAATTGAAGAGACTTTGGTTATTATGGCATGTCAACTGATATATTTTCATGGTTACAATAGTTTTGTTGACGGCAGCACATTTACAAATGTGTATTAGATACTACCACACTAACTCACAGACTATGTAGACTGCTGTTGTTCTCAAGAAGTTTAATACTGATCAGTTTGTAGATTTTAAAGCCATTTCATCATTGAACATTACTGAAACCAAAACAGTATGAATTTAAGCACTATTTACTGACATGTCTTACGGGTGACTTACTTGTGGATGTCTTCCTTAGGGCTGATGGTACAGCTGTGTTCTCCTCGACAGTGCCAGACACCATCACATCCTGGGTAGCCAGTGCATTTGCTCTGAACGATGTCAGTGGTCTTGGGGTGGCAGATACACCTGCTTCGGTAGGGAGAGTAGTAGGAGACATGAAGTACTACATGACTATATGGTATAGTGACAGTAGGGCAACTAATCATAGGTCTGGAAGATTACATTGTCTAATTTAATAATAAATGCTTTTTGACAGGATAAGCAGTTGCTGTATATATAAAAAATATTTACACCCTTCAACTATCAGCAGACTAGCTTTTTTATCTTGTTGACTTTTGCTTTAGATAGAGCAATTATGGCAAGTCATAGTACATTTTGTAAGTGGAATGACCAATTATAACATTAAAAAATTTTGAGACAGTTTAAAAGCTTAACAGTACCTTAAGACATTGCCACACTTGAAGCTTTTTAATGGTATTTAGCAACTTTTCAAATCAAATCAAAGGTAATGTAATTCTAATAGTACACACATTCCCAATGCTGTTGTACATGTAGATGGAGGCTTTCCGTCCATTTTTCGTGTCGCTGAACCTGCCCTACTCTGTGGTCAATAAAGAGGAGACAGCAATTCAAGCCCTGGTCTTCAACTACATGGATGTGGACATGGATGTGAGTCAACCTACTCTTTACTGTACAAAGCCTTCAAGTTTTAAACAATAAAGTTTTGAACCTAAACAATAATTTTCGTAGTACGTTGTTTCGTAGTTATTGCGGCCACTCCTGTAGCGCAAACTTATTATTACCGTGAATAAATAATTTGTCAACTCTCTTTTTGCTACACCTGCTGCCACCGCGAAGGTATAGTTCTGCAAAGATGTCCATTTTTCTCAGACCGCGAACTATTGCTACCACAAATATAAAGTGATTTACAGTATGTCCCTGTCCTACACAGGTGACCGTGACCTTGAAGGGGGACAGTGGCTTCAGGCATCTTGTGATGGACACAAATGATGTCAACGCCATCGGCTCTGAAGTGGAAGGTGATCAGGCCGTGGTACTGACTGTTCCAGCTGGTTCCTCCAGGTCCAAATCCTTCCCCATCCTCCCCAAGCATTTTGGGGCTATCCCCATCAAGGTGATGGCCCAGTCGACACTGGCTGCTGATGCTGTGGAGAGGCAGCTGCTTGTAGAGGTGAGGTCTAGAGTCAAGGTCTCACAGTGATGTTGATGAGGAGTTTACTTGGTAGTTCTGCTGTTTCAGTTCTTATTTTCCCCAAAATTTTAGGAACAGAATTTGTTGCATTTGCTGCATTGGCTTATTATGTTGGAGGAACTAAAAAAAAAGAAAAAATTAGAAAATAAATCCATAGCAGTGGCATTAACAATTACCTTTGCCATTAACTTATTGTCTGACATGTTTGTGCAGCCTGAGGGAGAGCAAAAAGAGTACACCAAGTCTTTCATACTTGACCTTGGTGACAGCGGTAATGGTGACATCACAAAGGACATGTACCTGTCTGTGCCTACAAATGGCCTGGTGGCTGGGTCAGCGTATGCTCGTGTGTCTGTTATGGGTAAGTTAAGTACTCCTATTACCTGTTATTGAGCCCATGATTAAGGAGCCTTTGCCATGTTTATACACAATTAATGTGAATGTTCAGTGCAATTTTTCTGTGAGTCCAGATTGTTCAGTATACTATAGTGTAGAAGTGAGTGGAAAAGGGACATTAAGTTGTTCATGTATTGTAAAAGAGCTATGCCAATTAGTATGGTGGATGGAAAGGAATCTGACTTATACACCAATCCTATACAGAACGGGGATGATATGCCATGACATGTTTTTTTGTTGTTGCAAGATGCAGGTAAATACAAACAAAAACATGGCCTATGTTTTTTGTGTACAGGTGACATGATGGGCTCGACCATCAGTGGGCTGGACAGTCTCCTGCAGATGCCATATGGCTGTGGTGAACAGACCATGATCACCTTTGCACCCAATGTCTATGTGATGCACTACCTGAACGAGACGAACCAGGTCACCCCAGAGATTGAGGACAAAGCCTTGAAGTTCATGGGCGCAGGTAGGGGCACTGTGTCTTGAGAGTTGGGATCTGATAGATTTGATTTATTGAAATTGCAACAGTGCAATACACGCGGAACAGAGGCAGCTGTTGCTGGTGTTGTGTCCCGCACATAGAAACGAATAGTGGACAGACAATACTCATCAATTCAGTCTAGTGAAGAAAGTCATGCAAAGTGCATTTCCAGTCAGTGGCATGTCAGGACTCGAACCCGGGACATCTTGATTCCGAGTCGCGCATGCTGCCGTTGCACCACACGATGTTTCATTGGTGTCCGTGTCAAGTTTATGAAAGACAGTCTTTTGATTGAATTATACCATTTATTACACATATGACAGTAAAATGTGTCTTTTCAGATTCTTTATTGTCTAATCTGTTTTTTATCACGTTGCCAGGTTATCAGCGTGAACTGACGTACACAAAAGATGACACACATACTCTCATGTCCTTCAGTGCCTTTGGAAGCAATGATCCCTCTGGAAGCACATGGTTGGTGATGTCTACTCATCTTTTCCATATTGTGAATTATTAATTTATGACAAACTGGGCAGAGCATGTGCCAACAAGCAAGGCTACATCATTGAGTATTGAGAAGAAGGGGCAAGAAATATGTTGAATGTACAACATGTACAAGACTGGTAAAAGTTATGTTGCACATCCCAACAACATAGAATGCACACTGTAAATTGTGAAATGTTTCTGGTGGCTTCATTTTTGCAGTGACCTTTTACCATGAAATCATAACACTGCTAATATGTGTTTTGTATCTGTGCTATACTACATAATAGCTTCAAGCATGAACTCCAAGCACAGCAAAACCTCCCTTTCTGTAATACCTTGAAATAAAATGTGAATGTAAGGGCATATACTGTTCTGTTCATACTTACTTGTACTTACAAAAATGTACTTGAGTAGGTCTCCTCAAGTCTCCTCGATCTCTGTGAGTGGCCTGCGTCTCTGTCAGCATTCGTTCTGTTCATAGTACATGTATATTTATTAGATATAGTTTTTTGGAGTGAAATGTTGTTAACATCAGTGACGGACCCATATCCTTCCAATCCAGGCTGTCAGCATTCGTGCTCAAGTCCTTCTCGCAGGCAGTAGATTACATCTACATTGACCCAAAGGTTCTGGCCAAGACCGTTCGATGGCTGATGAACCAACAGCTGGACACTGGGGTTTTTTCAGAACCAGGCAATGTCATCCATAAGGAAATGCAGGTAAGAACTCATTATGTATCTCATGGAAGGAAAATTAGGAGTTCTCCAAGTGGTACTGACTTAGCAGAATGTAGCAGTCAAATGGCCACTTTGTTTTTCCCCCATGATTGCAAGACACAGCCTCATGGTACATGAAAGTTGGACGACTGTGAATGTGTAGCACATACCTAGCTATAGGACAGAAAGTGTAGCAATTAAAAGCTTGATTTACTGTTACAGTATCATATGCATGCATCCACCTGCTTGGCTAAGTTTGGATGTGCCAATCATCAGATACTAGAAATCTTAAGAAAAGACCTCAGATCATCTAGAATTAGGGATTCACAAAATAGGGTTCAGATGCAGCCAAGGAAAATACTTGTCTAGGAGTAGTTCTTAGCATCTGAATTGGTAGCAAACATTGCCTGAATGTCTGTCTGTTGGATGTAGGGAGGGCTGTCCTCTGACGTGACGATGACGTCCTATGTTCTGGCCGCCCTGATGGAGTACGACAAGATTGCGGCTGATAGTGATGTGAGTGTGCCTCCTTTGTCCTTATGACATTTTACAATACAGAATACACAATTGCATGTACTAGTATTCATAAAAAAATAAGCTCATAAGATTGGCAAGGGTCATCAACACAACAGAATTTTCCTTTAATACACTAAGGGAGAGTCTTCTGAATATGATGTATTACCCCGGTAAGACTTTGTAAATTTTCATTTCATACACAGTTATGGTAAAGCAAGTAATGTATGGCACCTATACTTTAGTTTGAAAATGTCTGTAATGTCTTAGAAATAGAACTTATAGAAGTATGCCATTTCGCATGTGTAATTTTTGTCAAACCATTATGCTGAAACAACAAGAAAAACACCTAGTAAATGTGTAAATGATGCCCATGTAATCTTGTATGTATGTCTGCCTTTAGCAACACCAGTAATGTATGCCAACAACAGATTTGGCACAAGCATGTTGAAACATAGTCTAGTAAATGAATCTTATACCATCTTCTTTTACAACTTATATTTGTAGAAGGTGGATGTGACCAGAGCCAAGGAGCGAGCTGTAGCGTTCCTGGAGGGTAGACTTGACAGGGAGACAGATGTTTACACTATCGTCACCATGACCTATGCCCTTACGCTGGCCGGCAGTAGCCAGAAGGATGCTGCCTTCCAGAAGATGGACAGCTTGGCAACGACAGATGGTAGGAAGGGCAATTCCCTGTTTATTGTTTGACAGCCGAAGATTGCTTAGCATGTTGACGTATGTCACATTACAGGTACACTTCTCAACTTCCATCCTTTACTTTCAACTTCATCTGACGGTCATGATGGTTTTGTAAATAGCGACCATGTCGACGTGTTTTAGGGGGACAGAAGTACTGGACTAAGGGAGGAACAGCCACTCCACCCCCAGTCAGCGATGACCTGATGTGGAGACCTCCGTACCACAACCCGCCCTCCGCTGACGTGGAGATGACGGCGTACGCCCTGCTGACATACCTGGCCAGGGACAGCCTGATTGATGGGATGCCCATCATGAAGTGGCTGACAGAACAAAGGAATGCGTATGGAGGGTACTCATCCACACAGGTGGCTGTCTACATCATATCTTCGTCAGAACTCGTATCTATCCATTCATTAATTTGAAGTCTGCATCTATTACTGCATACACGTAATTCTCTCAAAACAAATTGCTAGTCGATATCAGACCACATTTGGAACTTGGTGAGAAATTATTACATGAAAGTTTGCAGTTACTGTAGTACCCTAGGAAAACAGCACTTTTCCTGTCTGTATAAAATAGGGAGAATAAAGTGTTTACAGGTTGCTTGGGAGGATCTAGCTGTCTTGCCAAGTTGTTACTGTTCATCCACAGGACACAGTTGTGGGGCTGCAGGCGCTGGCCTACTTTGCTGCTGCAGTTCGAGCTGGCGGACTGGACATGACAGTTACCATCACTTCAAGCACAGACTCTACCTTCTCTCACACTTTCACCATTAACGACCAGAATGCCATCGTGTTGCAGCAAGTGGAGGTGAGAGCCTGACGAGTGTAGCCTATATAGGAGACACTTTCATTGGAAATATATGTTGAGCACTGAGCTTGCTATATATATTGATGCAAAAATATAAAGTAGAGGTAGTTGCACTCTTTTGGTACATTGTACATATGTTATATGTTGTTGTTTGGCATCATAATCTTTGATCATTGTTTGTCTGGAATTTTTACTGCATTAAGAAAAAACAATAAATTTTATACTAAGGAAAACAATAGTCATACGGTCCTCTTCAGGTGTTTTCATGAATTTCAAATTGCTTCATGATCATATCAGTCACCATTTGCATGTCATTATAGATTTGTGACACACTGTAGTACTTGAGGAGATAACTGTACTATATTTTAAGTTACAAACTGTGCTTCAATTTGTGTTTCAAGAGTCCTTTCAGCTTCAAACCATCTAAGATGAACTTAGAACAACAGTAGTTCATTTGAAAGATATACCGTTGTTTGTCCTCCTTGTTTTGACATGTTTTATATCCATTGTTACCGTTTTTGTCCAGATCCCTAATGTGAGTGGAACCCTTACTGCACGTGCCCAGGGACAGGGAATGGGCCTGCTGCAGGTATAAATTCTATTCCATTCTAGTCTTCATGCAAACATTATTAGACATACTGCAAGAATGATCTGTAGACATAGATCTATCACCCACGTGTGTTCACCTGAGGGTCTCACTACATTTTGTTAACAAGTTGTTAACTATTGCAAATATGTCAGAAACATGAGATGAACAGCCTACAACCCTGCTTAAGCTAGTTTGGTTACTGGGTATTGTACAACATGAGACTGTGTGGCACTATTACATGTAGCTATGGAGTCAATCAAAGATTTTTTTTCTGTTCCAGCTCTTTGTGCGGTACAATGTTGACATGGTGGAATCAGTCCCTTCCTTTGCTCTGAGAGCCACTGTCCAGAACAGTGACACCAACTCTGTCACCTGTGAGGCATGTGGAACGTAAGTAGCCCTGACTGTTGGGTAGCCTTTCTATGGAGTTAACTTCTTTGTAGCATAGTGTAAATGTATTCAAAGCATTCATACCTGGGTAATGTCTCACACAGTATGATTTGTAGGAATTTGCTGTTCAAGCTGCAAATTAGGGGAAGTAAGCTGGGCATGTCAACAATTATTACAGCTCAGGTTACCTGAAATAAGTTGCCTTTTGTTTAGCCTGTTAAGGAAGAACTCATCAGAGGCAAGGCAATAAAGAATATTCAAAATCACTACTTTGACTTTGAGTATACCATCATTCTATTATAACGATCGTATTCTGATTTTTTGGGTGACTTTTACAACCCCTGTACAGGTACCAGTTGGGTGGGAGCAGTGGCATGGCAGTGATGGAGATAGGCATTCCCTCTGGCTTCTTTGTGGAAGATGCTGACCTGATGGCTCTGGTGGCGAACCAAAACTTGCCAACTCTGAAGAGAGCTGAGCGCTCAACCGACAACAAGAGGGCTGTTCTCTACTTTGATGAGGTGTGTTGAACAGTCGAGTCCTGTTCCATCATACAGTCCACAGTGTCAAGCAGACACTACCAACAACATTGCCAGTTTCACAATAGAGTAGGCTGTTCAGTTTCACATTTTGTGTTTTCTGTGCCACCCAGATGAATGCCAATCCCACCTGTGTGACCCTGACATCCCACCGTTCCATGCCAGTCGCCAAGACTCAGCCGTCTGTCGTCAAGGTGTATGACTACTACAAGCCAGGTTTGTACAGCAGCACAGATTATAGATTCTACTGATCATACATAATCATGTTCCTTTGTTGTCAGGAATCTGCCATACAGAAAAATTTAGTGACACTCTGTATGAAGCTTGTCCACATCAACAATTGCTACGATATGACTAGTATTTACACAGACATTACACATAATATGTGTATATTGAATCTATAATGTTTGGTACCCACAGAGGACAAGGCATCAAATATATATCAGTCGGACACCCTGAAGAACACCAACATCTGTGACGTCTGTGCCGACTGTACTGGATGCCGCACCCGACAGGGGCCAAGATCGGCCGCAGCCGCCCTCGCCATGGACACCTTTTTGGGCGTGATGCTCCTGTTACTGACCAGGCTTTTTGTCCGCTAACGGAGTAACGCCGCCCGACCAACACTCATAAGGAATGCCTGGATGTGCCTCAATTGCTAATTGGTAACAAAACTAAGATTTTGTAATTTTCAGTTTGCACATTCCATATTTTAATTCATCATGTTGTCATTCTAGTTTGATTTGAGGTGAATCTTTCACAGTAGAAAGATAACAGTGTGCAAAGCTTTTTGTGATTCTGTACTTAGGATGTAAGAGTCTGCGTAAAATTTTTGTTCAGAGGTAATCCCCGCCAATGACCGAACATTCACATATTTCTTATTCCAAAGAATTGATGCACATAATATGGTTATCAATGTTTTAGGCTGGGATCTTTTCACCTTTGTTCCATGCCTTATCAATACAACACAAGCATTTCTCCATAAAGCTACTGGCTTTCCGAAGAACTTGTTTGCATGGTCAACAATACCAATATAGATTAATATACAAAGTTTCTAATTCACTGTGCTTAAATTTATTTAAAATTACAATTGAATGTACTTTTTAACGAATTATCTTAGTCCAAAATAAAAATGTTCAAGTTTTAACCACCAGTAATAATGGCTTGGAACTTTGTTGGAGTGACAAACAAGCCTCCAAAAGTTGAGAGTTTAAATGAAGTGGTCATCAATTAAAGTCACAGGGTAATCAAGACCATCATATTTAATGTGGTGTATAATTTAGAAAGATGTGCCTATCCTTATTATTAACTGTAATATAGTCTAAAGGAAGTCTAACAAAGTTGGAATAGCTGCTGAGCAAGGGCAAAATTGCCCAATATGAATATGGGATAGATGTATATCAGCTCTATGAAATCTACTGATCATGTGTAGACATGATTTTCTCTTCTGTGCAATGTATCATCTTAAAGATAGAAGCTGCTTTAATAAAATTTGGTATCAGAAACCCTTGTCTTCCCTTGAGTGTGATATTTGTGTTGTAAGTTTCATGGTTGAGGTCACATGTAATCATGAATATGAGCTGAGAAAACTATATATATATATGTTTCGCCATTTCCTCCTCTTGTACCTTGTACGAAATGTAATCTTGTACCAGCAAAGACATGGAAAAAGAATACATTGGCCTTGGGATACACTATAGTTCTGACTTTAATTGAATTGGCACAAGAAGACAAAACACAACATTGTAATGGAAATTGGTTTATTATAAATGACTTCGCAAGTTCTTCATGTTGACCTGACTTCTGTGACTTCGACAGTTAAAAGGCTCCACGTGTATGTGGTAAACAATACATACAAGTGTACTTATAGGTCTACCTTGTTGCCATGGAACAAACAATAGGTGAACAAAAGACAACAATGTTAATTGGTCAACTAATGAACCACCACTGACCCCGAAAACTATTGGTGCTGGCCCATATTTACAAGCTGTTTCCAGTATTTGCCAGTTTGTAGCAGTTGCAGAACTTACAAAGCCCAAAATATGCATCAAACTAGACATGCTAAATACAATGAGTAGCTGCTAGGTCTATTTTAATCCCTGCCTACAGAAAAGCTAGTGGAAAAACTAAAATATTACAATTCTTTGTGTTTTCCAGATTCTGTGGACAGCATTTTTACATGCAACATAACAATGACAATCCTTTTTAATCTTGGGTGGGTCCATTGACTCTCCATCACATGCAGTCCTTTAGGAGGTCTTTTGAGTCTCAGGAGCTGAGTTACAGGAAATACAGTATATGTATGTATACAAGGATGGTAGATTAATTTGAAAATCCAATACTGTTCTCCTCCGGATAAACACATAATGTACACTTTGGTCCCTTTGCATCATCATTCCCCATGAAAAAAAATCACCCAATTCAATGTAAACCAGGGTAATATAACTGAAATAATTCAATAGCATAGTTCCATCCCTCAAGAATCAACCTTGAGCACCTAAAAACAAGTCTCTTCTCCAAGGTAAAGACTGCCAAATTTTCATGGAAACTTACAGTTTCAAATGCACAGACAAGTTATATACAAGACAATGTCGGATGCAGCTGTACTGAAGACATCTACAAGTGAAACTGAAGCCTTTTCAGTACATGTAGAGCTGATAAAATCTACAAAAGGACCGTCATCTCCACTGGTCAACACAGAAACAATGGGCTAGTGCTCTGACTACAGGTACGGACCATCAAATGTACAAGGGTAGTCACTGCTGAGCGCTTGCCGGCTGTAGTAATGTTGTAGCGGTGATTGCTTCAGGGAACAGTGCATGGTAATTCACTATTGGCACGTAGTTAGCTTGGATCATCTTTCCTGCAAACCATCTTCCATGCAGGGCGTTCACACAGGCTGCTGCTGTCTGGATGTTGGGACACTTCACATAAACGTTCCCCTGTAAACACAACAAAGTACTGTCAACTTTCTGTGTGCTGTTCTATTTGTGGACTTAGGACCCAGGAGTGAACTAATCCTTAGGGCTAATCCTTCTTATTTCTTAGTTGCCTTTTAACAAGCCCTAAATGTGATTATAATGTCTGTAATAGCAACCATTAACAATTCAATACTGACCTGTGATTGCTCTCCTCCCTGCAATGGATCAGCGGTCTGCACAAAAAAGAAGATTCATTTAGACCAAAAACTTGTGTATCAGATATTTTAGTTATTATAGATTGTACTATTAATAGTAGTATTATGTCAGGAGAATTTTATTCAAACATGGAATGACTGATTAACAGAAAATATCTGTAGTTGAAAGTATAATGCACAAGAGCAGCCCTAGAAGGATTGAGTATTTATGTTGGCAGTAAAGAGACTGACGACAACCTACTGTTAATAACTCATCATATTTGCATAGGTCACAATTAATAATCTGGATGTTGAGGGTGTTGATACAATAAAAAAATGAAAATGTGTGTTAAGACTCACGTTGTCAGAGTTTTTGTCCACGAACACGTGCAGAACACCCCCGTGCTTGGTGCACTCCTCAACTACATCATTCCTGATCTCCAAGTCCCAGTTTGGAGTGTTTTCCCTGCAAGAAAGAAGTAATACACATCTTTTAATCACTCTTCAACAGTAATTTGCCCTAAGTGACCCCCAGCTATAGAAATACAAGCCCTGTAGCTTAACAAGAAACTGCTTCTGATACTTACATCTTGATATCAAACATGTTGGAGAGCTGGAAACATGGTGTGGCATACGCAGGGATGGGTACAGGTGGGGGAGGTGGTTGCTGTCCTGCTGCAGGCATGACCCCTGCAGGGGCTGCTACCCCTGGCCCTGCCCCGGGAAGGGTGGGCAGGCCTGTCAGGCTAGCCATGGGCATGTTCAACGCCGACTGGGCTGCAGCTGGCATCTCAAACCCAGTACCTGAACAGGTAAACACAACACATGGTCAGATTACAAACACATCTTGGACTGCTTTCTCTCAATTTGTGTCAACTGATGTACCAAAAGGAAAAGAAATTGGTTCATGGTCAGATTTTAATGACATTTTAAGTTCAGACTTTTAAATCCTCAATCTATGTGAAATGAGATTGAGAAAAGAAAACAACAACTACAAATGATACCAAGCACAAATGCTTTCCTGACCTTCAGCCAACTTAGCCATGAGCTGGAGACGCCCAGTTGTGCTCAGTTCGATGCCTGTCCGCTCCAGCTCATCGCTGTCCAGGAAGGACGTTGCTGCTCCTGCATCTGACCGCTCCGTCACATGCCCCACCTTCATGGGCCTGCCTGCCAGCTCAAACCCATTCAGCTGTTCAAGGGCTTTCTTTGCACATTCTGCATCGTGGAACTGCAAGGCACACATTCAAAAACAAACAATTACCAACATTGTAACAGAACTCAGCTCTTTTCTACCTGCCTACACACATAAAAACACTCTGGCTTAATTGCCACTGCGTAATTACATTTTAACATTCAACTTTACCTAACACTATGTTATCAGCAAATTGACTTACACTCATATGATGACGGTGGAAGTGGCACATGAGAAAGAACACTTCATTGACTTACAGTGATAAAGCCGTATCCCTTGGAGCGCCCCGTCTCACTGTCCTTCATCAGCTGAATGTTGTCGATCTGTATGGGGGCGACAGGGTGGCAAGTTTTAATCAACAGAACTGAAAACTTACAAGTCTACAGAAAATCTACAACAGAGCGTCTGTTGGTTTACATCAGTGAAATTTCTTTGTCAATTCTGACCATTTCTCTGCTGTTTGGCAAGTGTATTACTACAGGTATTGACTACGTAGGAATGCTAAAAAGGAATGTTTCTGTATCTGAATCAGTATCAGTATAGCCGGTATAACTGCCCTTCGGCGTAACACACCAGCTTACATGTTTCTAGGAATGTTGTGAAGTCAGTTTATTAATCATATGAAATAGCAATGGCACACCTTTCCAAAAGGCTCGAAGATTCCCCTCAGCATGTCCTCTGTGATGTTGAAGTGCAGGGAGCCCACGTACAGTCTCATGGGACCGGAGCTGCCTTTCTGCAGGTTCTGGGAGTTGGCTGCTGCCCTGTTCTTCTCTGCTTGGGATGCTTGCACAATGATGGGGACCCCAAGTAACTTCTGGTTTGTTAGACCAATAGCCTAGGGAATACAAACATGGATATAGTACTCAAAAGGGATATAAGTACTCCGCTATCTAATATCCTGAATATTAACATAACTGGGCTATGTTCAATCACATACTTGTGCCTTTATCATATTAAACTCCAACATAAAATTATTCGTTGTGAGTACACAATGCATACTTAATCCCAAATTGGACTTTCATAGGGAATGTCACAAAACCAGGACAAACACTGGATAACCACATGGACATTTTATTAGTATGTTATAAGAAGTAAATAATTTTAAAAATGACAAAGTGTCAAAGGGACTACAATACATATTTTGGACACAAAATACAGTGTGCTTGATTAATTCTTCAACATGTTATTCTGGACACTAGTAAAAATGTATGGAACTGTTGCACTGGAATCAACTTAAAATCCTCATGTCCCACAGTGATGACATGGTTTATTAACTTTGCATTCAGTACATTTGGATGAACAGTAGAAGCTGCATGCCACTAGGAGGGGGTAGCCTTACCAATGGGACTGAGGATTTGTCTCCAAACTCCACATAGCCAAAGCCCTTTGAGCGACGTGATTTGTGGTCTGACACTAACCGCACATCACGAACCTAAAACAGAGTAAAGAGAGATTGCTGCTTCAAAAATTGGACAACTGTGTCCTTACCATTGGAACACACGACGCGTCAGTAAACTCACAATACGCAATGCCCTTGTGGCGTCGGGAGTTGCGATCTGATATAAGTCGAACTTCACGGACCTGCAAAAGAACAACCAGACGTCAGCACAACCTGCAATTGAACCAGCTGGCAGAGCAGGGTCTGAAATCAACTTAAGGTTTCATTAGTACAATAGGAACATGTACAACATTGTCACAGACACTGATCTACAATAAATCTCTGTACTAGTCATTCATCATGGCTAATAAAACAATGCAAAATAGCTATCTCTGTACTTGGCTTACAAGATGCAAATCTACATTAAAAGATTGATACCTTTCCAACTGATGAGAAAAAATCTTCCAGATCTTTAGGTCTGACCCGCTGGGACAGCTGCATGACAAAGACCGTGCGCTGATCCCGCTCCTCTGGAGACAGCTGAGGCCCACTATCATCCTTGGTAATTCCATTTTCCCTGCAAAAATAGTTAGTCTTATCTTAGTCATCACTACAGCAACAAACCAATGTGGCACAATTGTGAAGTTATGAGTCCTAAGACACTGTCTAGGTCACTAGGTCTTGAAGGAATTTTCAATGTTGCAAGTTATTTCAAAATTTAATTAATCACTACTTTCTTGCAATCACTCAAGTTTAACTCTGATATTCCTTCAGTTAAACTCACCTCAAAGGACTTTTTGACTTGGACTTCTTCTTTGGACTGCGAGCCCTGGAAAGAAATTGACATGGAATTTAGTCTAGGAAACACATCAATGAACACAAGAGTGTGTATCTCACTAGAGGAAGTGATTAAAGTCATTCACATCAGGAATCAGCAGAACTATTTATTTCTTAAGGTTATTAAGACAAGATTACTGGGACTGACAGGAAGAGACAGGCTTCGGAGGTTATAGGCATGTGCTCCCAGAACAGAATTCTGAAGGTATAAACACATTCCTATTTATTTAGTTGTAGGCACCTTGCACATTTCATTCTACATGTTTTTCCTTAAGACACTTCTTTGCAGGAAGCTTTCTGAAATATGCTTCTAACAAGCCATGCATCAACTTTGCACATTTTATTGTGAATCATTTCATGTAAAAGTCAAATACCAGGTTATGTGCTGGGTTTTCAGAAAATTGCTTATACAAGTTATATGCTAGTAAGCATTGAAGCCATGCAATTTTTTTCCTCTTAAAGGATGAGGCAGTAAGCTTTTCCTAGTACACAATTTGTCTGTATGAAATCTTTCTCTCCCACACTGTTTTTTTTATATTCAACACTATCCACTGCACTTGGTCCCATGTAGCTAGTTACCTTGGTTGTTCTGCAGGCTTAGTCTGTTGTCTGCATGGGGAGACAGAATAATTGCATCTCAGCATATATTACAACCTTGCTCATCCCATATGGGGTTGGGTTGGACCAAACTTTTTATAGTGTACCAACCCACACAGATAAACTTTAGGTATGGTTACTGGAGCTCACAGCTGCATACTCAGGTAAAGTTCCACCAGGGGAGTTTTTCAATGTATTTATCACAACGTCATGCCAACAGACATATCTGAAATATATATGTACATATTTCATCCACTACTACCTGCATGATGTTGATCACATGGTTCTAATGTGGATTGTTTTCATGCATGTTTGACAGGTCTATACAGAAAACATCACTCTTGCAAACAAGCCTGACATATTTTGGCCACAGCATCTGGCAAAAAGGAGCAGTATAGTTATTCATTTTGAGTCAGAGCAGAAACTATTGGGGTCCCTAATACATTGTAACCCTAGTCATGTAATTATTCATACCTGGGTTGACCACCAAAGTTTTGTCTGCGTGTGAAAAAAATGCAACTTGTCACTACACTTCATGTATCTAACAACTTTTCCTTTGTTTTTTGGGCACGTGTAAAACTGCAAATCAAAATGCTTCACTTCAATGTTTATGTATAACTCATAATATAACAGTAATACACAGCAATAAAATGGATTATTGAGTTCCATGACCACTGTCTACTGTTCATGGATGGTATCTATGTGGCTGTGGCCCATCAATATCTTAAAAGCTTTGTATACTGACAGCAAACTATTGCATCTGACAGATGCAGTCACCTGTTGCTAATGTTTTCCACCTTCAGTTAATTTGGTGGTTTATCATGATAAATGGACTGCTCTCTTTGCTATAAGCCTTCACCTGAGGCTACCTATCCTTCAATTTAAATTATTACTGCCTGACAGAAGTCATCTGTCCATTTACAGAGAAATCCCTATGATTGATTACAACCATACTTAGCTGAGAGGAGGTTAAAAGAGTCAAGGTTCAATTCAACTGAATTGCTGCTCATGTTCATGGCTAATTTGTCCTCCTATAGGATGAGATAGTTGGCATGTGATGAGTTATTTGTCCCTAACACAGCCTGTTAATAGTTTTATGGACCATCGAATTGATTCCTTTTCAGGGACAGCCATTAGATAAGTACATAACTTTTCTCCTTAAACTTATAAGTCAATTACAACAAGGAGCATACCTGTAGCGTCCACCCCGGATAGGACTGCGGCTTCTGCTTCTTCGGAAGCGATCTCGGTAACGTCCTCGGCTCCGTGATCGGCTCCTCCTAGAATTAATTTAATCCAGATTAAATATTTTTACAGCAGTTAAATCAAGATTGCAAAAGTTTACATGTATGCCTTTGGGGGGGGGGGGAGTTCATTGGTTATTAAAATGCTGGACTGTAGCAGTTTGCATCAAAAAGTTTTCCACAGTCAACTTTTTTTCATAACTACTCAAAATGTATAAGCAGGGATAAAGAATTTGGAAAAAGCTATGTAGCAATTAGCCTTTACTTCAGTACACAATAACCAACACCTTTCAACAGCTATATTCTTTTAAAACGTGTACGTACCTTTTCCTTTCACGATCGCGGCTCCGAGAGCGGCGCCTGTCTCTGTCCCTGTCCTTGCTGCGGGAGCGCCTGTCACGACTTCGAGATCGGCTCCGGCTGTGCTTTTTCCTCTTCCTGCCAGGAGACCATCCAAACCATCAGACATAAGCAATTACACTCAAAGACAAATACACACAAAGCATTTGTAATTGTTTAATGTCCCTGCCCTGCTTTGTTTCTACTTGATAATTATGCATTGTGCTCAGGGGGAAACAATCAAATATAGATGTCATTTTCGTGTACTACTGGCATGTCAATATAAAATTAAGTGCAACACCCACTCAATATTACAGTCAAGTCTACTAGTTCCACCTCCCTTGACTGATAAGTGACAACAGGACTAATAAGTTCAATCCTTGTTAAGGTACATAATAAAGAAAGTTTCACCATGTCTATGTCAGTCGTCTTCTCAGCTACCTGAGGCCACATTTATGACATGACCGTGGCAGAAAGTCGACATGGTATCTCCACATTCCACACACTAAAAGCTTACAGCACCACAACAAATTCCAGCAGGATATCTGAAAAACTCTCAGATATGGACTCTCAGTAGTCAAAACTTGGTAGCAGATTTCCTGCCTGAATTAGTAATATCAAACTTACCCTGTGAGATATAGGGCCTCCACTGATATGGGGCTAGAGAAACGAATATCTGCCACATTGTCCTCTACCTATTTGTACACGATATAAGGGAGATGGTTATCCTTCTTGCCTGAAAAGATGCTATACAGTTTTGATGAAACTATCTACGGTGGACTTATCTTTTAGCTTCACAGGCAAATGCCAATGGAAGATTTTACCACACATGCCCACATAAAAATGACCACCCTGTACAGTGTGACAAAACTTGGGCCGGAGCTTTTCCATTTCCCTTTATGTTCCATTTAGACAACTGGGACCATGTCGACATGTACTGTCTACACATTATCTTACATCTACGACCTGCTGCCTTTGTGACATAAAGGAACAACTTACTTTTTTCTTTCTTCATCTTTGTCACCGCTGGACTTGCTGGAGATGTCCTATCAGGTCCGAAAACACAACAGCAAAATGATGTGACAACAACGGTGGGTGTTGTGATGCCAAGAAGTGGGAAGGGGTGGGAGGAAGAAAAAACAACAGCATAAAATTCAGTCAGTAATGCTGCATTCAATATAACAGTTACCGTCGCTTGAGTGTACTAACTATTCACATGTGTATCTGGTCCATCAATATTAGAAGCCACACAGCTGTGCCAGCTCAAAGATGGCTAGCATGGCTGTAGGATGTATGAGCAAGAAAAAAAAAAAACACAAGTAAAAACCTCATCTGCCTATAAAAGTAGCACTGGACAGAGACGGATGCCTGACTAGGCAGACAGGTCTGACACACCCTTGGGTGAAGGTTTAACTACACAGTGGAGCCAGTTGCACTAGTCATGTACCAAAATCATTGTCATACACTAGGCCACTCATTGACTCCCAGTTATTGAGAGCGACAGATCAGCCGGCAGGAAGTCAGCTCCCAAGGCTGCAGCCATCAGATGAAGGAGGTGTCCAACAGCTTGCTTCATTAAACCCTGGGGCGAGAGGGGGATCCACACTTTAGTCCTATAGATTAAGGTTCACTGTTTCTTTTCTTTTTCAAACTATCAATCTCAATATCTAGCTATAGCTTTGACTTCTAGGTTGACAATTTGATATCAGTTCCAATATGTGTTATCAACAATTAAATGACTTATTCAATTGGCCATCGAAGTTGATGAAGGCAAAAACCCTGCATCTCATTCTGTTAGATAAGCTCATTTGATACAAGCATTACTTTTTGATGTTTCGTATGCAGAAATGGATGACTCAAGACTGCGTTAGAAGACGATATCACATGAACAACAAAACATTATGTCCATCACGAAATACGATGGAGTTCCCCAAATGCCAATTGTCATACAAGTATTACTTTTCCCAAAGTGCTAAAATTACAGCAAAATAGTTTTATTTTTGCAAACTTCCACATGCAATCTTATGGGCCAAAAGTTTTGTGCTTCTTTGTTTGGCAAAGGATAATGTCTACGCTGTTAGGATTACGACTATACTATAAACCTGTTGTCAGAGTAAGAGAGAGCCGATGTAGGTGTGTGCAAACTTGGGGTGATGATCACTACCTCGTAGGCCTTGAAGCAAACTGTTGCTGTACAAAGTCAATGAGGTCTACAACGAGAGAATGAAATGTGCAACAGCAGTCAGACAGGGCCGATACACAAGACTTCTAATTTGTCCAGCTTGAACATTAATCCACACAATTTAGCATTCCTGTCTTCTCCCTATAACGAAGAATCATGTTTCTGATAGGTTACCAGTGAAAATTCTTTCCTTTGTCCAAAAGACAAAATATCAAAGAGGGGTCAAATAACTAAGGAGAAGACAGAAAAGATATTACTAGGCATCTTAAATGATTAACACTAAATCATGCAATCAAACTGGACAAATGGACACAAAATTCAATGCTGGACATGTTCTATTGCCAATAGTCATTTGGTTTGAGAATCAAAGATATGCAGCATGGTCACTGCTAAATGCAGCTTTGAGCTTAATTATCAGTTGTAATTGCATCCAGCATTGATAGGAAAGGGTAACTGATCAAAAATCAATGATGTTACAAACATGTAACATTAATTATTCCCATGACTTAATGTAACAAGGGTACCATTTTAACTTAAGTGCAGATCTAAAATTAAAGAATACAATTGGTGCAATTAAAAGATATCAATGCATTATACTAAGTCAGTGCTTCTGTCTTCAGAAATCAAGCCTTCTTTCTTAAACAAAAAATATACTGCTTCAAATTTTCTAAACTTTTCTACATACCGTATTTCTGTATCAAATCATGTTACATAAAAGTCAAGGTGACAGAAAATACCAAACAAATCATTGACTCTCCAATGAGCTAAAGTGAGCACTTGGAACAAAGATATGAATGGATTAATCTATTACATTATAGTATAAATCAGTGCAAGTTATACCCTTACATGCAACAGTTATTCAATTGTGACTTTTTTTTTAAACTATTGCTTGTAAAGAGCATTCATTTCATTAGTAAGAATTCATCTGCCAAGAAAACTTAGATGAAGAAAATCTGTTTTATGTTTTCAATTTTTAAATTATGCAGGTTTTATTCATGCAGAAAATTCAGGTAAAACATAATTTTTCAATACGCCAAGTCTCATAAATTACTTTCCCTAGCAACCAAACAGCAATATTTCCTGCTAACAGTTTTACCCTTGCAAATCAATGTTTCAAAGATAGCTTTTAGTTTTAATCTCATCTTCCATTTCCAATTACAATCATTATTGCATTCAAAATTCCACACAATTCCTGTATGTTCATCACATGGCCAATAATATCTGTGCTTACAGAATTCTACAGTCCAAAGACATAACCTACCTCTTTCTTGTAAGGGGCTTCCAGCATTGCTTCTACATCGAAGTCATCAGCCATGGCTGCTGTTCACTATATCAGACAGCCTGTGCAGGACACAAAGAGGTAGAAAATCACTTCAAACTGAAGACAAATAATTTGTTTACAACTTTTGCTTGGAGTCCACGCAGAAATTATGCTCTTTGAACAACTCAGGCACACATACGCAGTTGATCACTTTTCCACAGACTATACACAGACAAACAGGTAACATGGGTAAAGCCCACTTCAATTTGTGAACATAATTTCGAGGAAACTGGGGTTCTGTGGTATGGGACTGCTTTTGTACACCACATCGTGATCAGGATGTACCCATGCCTTTCTTTGTCTACACAAAAGGCAGCTCCAAAACAGAACATAATTTGGAACATTTCTTATAATTTAAGAGATATCAAATCTAATTGGTATAATTTTTGCACATTTTCGGAGGTGACCTGGTAATATTCGGTGTACGTTTGTGTTTAGCTCATGCAAGACTCATGTGACTCGCCTGGTCAGGACAGAAATCTGCGTAAGCCATAACCAGCACGCCCCCAAGCACAAGCACAGCTCTATAGCTACCTTGGCTCTGCAAAATGAAAATCTCCTGCGATCTCTACATCATACATCATACGCTCAGGGGGAAAATATGGAGGAAACATTGGTCTACGTATTTAAACCCCCTTGATATTTACGTCACCGCGACGTCCTGTCTTGATGAAAAGTGCCATAAAAATACATTTTACATGGATATTTTCGCCTTACCTTTACAAACTGTGCAAATATATCACGTATGCTGACTTCCGAGATGCAGTTTATACCACTGCAAGTGATCAGCACAGATGTACAAAGCGCAGGGTGGATTTTCACCTCAGAATCGCCAACCTGCCCTGTGATCGTCTGAAAAACACGGCGTGCCTGTGGAGAAAACAAAATGGCGCGATTTTCCTCCTCGGGACGGGCTTCACAAGATCGTATGGCAGGGGTATGAATGACGTCACGTTTTTTGGCAACGCCAAAGGGAGCTGGTAACTTACTTTCGGGGACAGCCAGGGGACAGTGATAGAATGTCTTGGTCTGTCTTCTATGATCTTCTATAACATATCACAGAAACACTTGAAGTCTAGTCTAAGGACAGAGTCCAAAACACAAAAACTGATGTTTGATTGAGTTCTCATGTGTTGGTCAGCACTCAGCAGTGTAATTCCTGAATTCCACTTGTGATGGCATCGACTTTGGTGTAAAATTATGCCTGCTACTGTGCTAGTTGTTGGCCGAATATGCAAATTGAGCCATGCCTATGACAGCAGCTAGCAGGGAATAGAGTGCACTATTTTGGGTGTATTGTCTGGAGTAAAATTCTGTCAATCCTCTTGCATAGACTTTGCATGCCTAGCCTGGTTGGCAACCAGATTAAGACGTTTCAGGATGTTACACTCACACAAGGTTAAATTTAACCTCCTTGGCTCACATATGTAACTTTAGCCCTCAGAAGCTGCTGAACGGCCAGGCCTATGTGAACGGCTTTTAATGATGATAAGAACTGTAGTTACTCACTGCTTAAATGACACTGTATAGATACCCATATACACATGCAAACATATGCCAGGGCTCTCGCCAGCACCGGAACTTTGCGGCGTGTGATGACTTTTTTTAAAAACCAATCCGTCAACCTTGACAGACAAAATTAAGAAAAATCTTGGGTAAAAATATGAAAACATCCCAAGGACCACTGACGACCAGCCTCAACACCATGATTTGCCTCTCAAAATGCGGGAAATTGTGTTTTTGAAGGCCTGAATTCCAAAATTTGCCAGGGGAGCATGCCCCCGGATCCCCCTAGATTGCAAGTGCCTTGCGCCTATGGCGCTACACTCCCCAAATTCTAAGCTGGCTACAGCCCTAACACATACAGATGCACACACAATGATTGATGTACTTCATCTTCTTAAAAAACTTTTTACTTCTCAAAGTCACTTAACTTAATAAATATTGAACACAGTATAATGAAATTTGCTAAATAAGCAAGGTTTATTCTATATAAAGTAACAACAGTTTTGTCATTAATAAAGTCTGCAGAATTATCAATACACTTTCAACATTGTCATAGTGAACAACTGGATACATCATACAAGTGCACCTATAAGCATGATGATGATGATAAGCTTGGGAATACAAGTAGTAACTGAACTTAACAAGTAGCCTCCCAAATACACATGATGAAGTGGGTTGATTCAGCTCATTTATTCAAGTACATGTATCAAGAATTCATGAAAATAAGTGGCAGTAAATCTTCTTATCATACTACAGGTATGAGTAGTGATCCATGTTTGAAATAAGTATAGGTCTAGTCAGTTACTTTTCCTGCCTCTTCAACACCTGATGGTGGGGTACACCTTGTTACACTGATCCTCTAAGTTGTCAGGAGGGGTCATACCAAACTTCCTGTACAAGTTTTCAATTTTGTCTTTTAGCTTTACAGCCTTTTTCTTGATTTTCTTTAGACGTTTCCTTCTAAGTACAAATTTCATTCGCTTCTTGAGCTTTTTCAGCTTATGCTTGTTCATCTTCTTCCTGCGACGGAACAGGTCATTCCTACACTCCATGACATTATCATTGGTGGTGTCTCCAATGAAATCTGGGGCCCCTGTTGGCTGCCTGTCTTCCACAGATGTTGGTCTCTGAACTGGAAGTTCATATTCTGTCTTAACAGCAGGATCTGTAATGGTTATTTCTGGGAAAATAGCTGGCTTGGAGCTTGGAAGGTAGTATCGAAGTGTTAGCTTACACTCCAAGGGAGTGAGGGAGGTGCTTTTGGTGAAAAGCATACTGTCTACAAGTGCACTCTTTTGTAATGATATCATTGGGACTTTGACCTCAGACAGCTTGTTAAACTTGTTGCTTAGTGATGCCACTGATGGCATTCTCTTCAATCTAGGCACAGCTGCACCAGAACTCCCAGGCACCACCAGAATGCTGGTACTGCTTGCTGAAAAAACACAAAAGTGTCACATGTTGATCAAAGGAAGGAAACTTTAACTGTCTTAAATATTATATTAATTATAATAATTTTAATTATATGCAAATTATACAGGAGACATATGAAAAAGACGTCCTAATACATAAACTGTCATAACATCAGATCAGTACCACAGGATTAATGTCTGAACACAAACACTCCTTACCCTGATGTGTTGTGACATTTCTACTGCACACTGCTGTATTCATCAGACGCCTCCCAACTGTGCACTGCTGCCACATCCTCCTACACAGCAGGGTGGCCATGGCTGCACTCCACTACGGTCTATGTGGAGAAAATAGCATGATTTAATGACTTGAAATCATATGATATTTGATCATATGATATTTGATCATATGCTACAGTAATTCTTTTGACATGTCAGCATTGCCTTGCATGGTCTAAAATGAACACTATCGGTCCACGTGTATGAGACACGGGAATCGGGAAGGTTACAACGTGCCCCCCTCCCACAGTCATTCGCGGGGCAAGTCCAAAGAAAGGTCACGATAGCAAAACTATTCGGTCGAATTGTTCAAAGTCGATACATAAACTTTAAACCTTGACATTGTGCAATATCATAAGAATCGTCCATTTACCTACCTGTGGTGAAAATGAGCAATAAAGGCCCTTTTTCACCTCTGTCTCTGCCCCAATTTTTTCCCGAGTTCGGGGCAATGGTCCTGACCAATCAGCACCCGAGATTATAGGGTTAAAGGTCGAATGATTTCAGGACCACCTGACTAAGTGAGTACAGTACGTCACTTCCGGAGAGGATCACTTCCGTGTTATTTGTTAGTCAGAACACCTGAAATATTTTCAGCGCTTCAACAACGTCTCTGGACAACAGATCTAAGATTAGCACTGCATAAAGTGGGCGATATCACTTCATAGCATAAGCTGACGCATATACTACCTTCACAATGTCGAAGATGGACGGTAAGATTTTACAGTAAATTGTTCTTGGGTGGGGAGATCTAGAGGTGGAACTTCCAGGTAGTTTATCTAACCGGAGAGTTGTCATGTCATGGGAAAATCATATGGTTCACAGTAGGTACAGAGTCTGCAGTTTCTAATGAAAAAATTGATTTGCCGGTTTAGCTTGTTAGTTGTAGGTTGATTCACTGATTGGCACAGCACAGATCAGGCCATGACTCAAAATTCAAATCACATAAATAATTTGTTTTTCATGTGTGGGAGAAAGTGTAAAAGCTAACACAAGTAAGATAGAGTTTACACGGGTGATATTAAGGAGGTTCCTTGGTGATATCATGATCAAGATGAAGTGCAGTGTAAAGAGAGTGGCTTTTTGTATCACACTGTTTTTTCACTGTTTCAAAATTAGATTGGATTTGAGCTGAACACTCTAGAATATGTATTGTACATCACATGCCATTTTCATTGTAATTGTGTAATCTGTTGCTCACTCCCTTTTTTTGTTTTCCAGAAACCCTTTTCCAGCTCAGGGTGAGAAACCTTTAGTAATTGGTTTACTTCTGGTTTTTCTTCTACCATTGATTAAGCTGTATACTGTTATTCTCCTCACCACTTACTAACTTAGCCAATGTGGTTGTCATCTATACTGTTGCACTGATGAGAAATGTAACAAAGAGAGCCAAAGTCATCAAGCCTGAGGTCACAAATCAGCAAGCAAGCCTTTGATTGTTGGCATGTGTATTCATTATCACAGAAATTTGACAATACATTCTTACTACTAACTAATACTTGCAGAGTTCTGTGTTGTGTATTACATATGGAAGAAACATGTTTGATTCATTTTTCCTGACAGTTCACTGCCAAGCAGCTGGACAGGTTGGCCAAAAAGTCAGAAAAAGAAGAAAAACAGCAGAAAGCCAAAGTGAAGAAGGTATGTGTATGCCCCTCTGTCAACAAGAAATGTCACTATCTATAAATACTTTTAGATCTTTATAACTATGGTAGCTGACTAGCTGTGTTGCTTAAGCAATGCACAGGATTGTGTGCCCCTTGAACAGTTTCTAGTACGCAAACAAGAACATGACAGTCACTGTGATGGGAAATATTTCCTCAGGCCCTGCAGCAGAAGAACGTGGATGTAGCTAAGATTTATGCTGAAAATGCCATCAGGAAGCACAATGAAGGCCTGAACTACCTACGGATGTCAGCCAGGGTGGATGGAGTGGCTTCCAGGGTACAGTCAGCTGTGGCAATGAAGCAGGTGGGGTAGTATATGGGCTGTACCAGTCCATAATGATTGCCGTGTTGTGTATGTAGCCCCTGCCATAACATGGAGATCAGACTCCTATGTTTTGTCAGGATACCAGGCTTCATGTTGATTGTGCTTTGTAGTTTGCTTTTAATTCGCTTCCCAACAAGACTTCTAATGCTAAATGTAGGTGAGTTTACCATTTATGTGACACTACAGACTACTAGTACTAGTATTCTGCAAAGCTTTTGCCATATCAACGCAGCTTCACTGACACCAGGTGACTCAATTAGTAATGTGCAGAGTATGTTCTGCTGTCCTATATTGCATACATTAAAAAAACTATACTTTCCTTTGTAAAAATATTTATAATGCATTGCCGTTTATAGCCCCTTTGGGCATGGGAACCCACTTGAAATTACTGGATCTTTTCATTTTCTCAGGTTACCAAGGATATGGGACATGTGACTAAAGCTCTGGACAAGGCCATGGGATCCATGGATCTGCAGAAGGTTAGTTTGCCTAAGTTTCTGTGATCCTGTGTTTTGTAGGCTACTAGCATATAGCAAGTGAGAGCATAGAACTCCTTTTATTCCTCTTTAACAATATCATTCATCCTATGAACCTTATACAAATGATATGGTTGAACTTCAACACAACTTTTTTTCTGACTCATAGGTAAGCCAAGTGATGGAGAAGTTTGAGAAGCAGTTTGAAGACTTGGATGTCCACACACAGGTGTGTATAACCTTTGAAAAGTGTTCATAATCAAGAGATATATACATACAAATGTATACCGGTAGTAGATTTCTGCTTTCTGATGTTGTATCCAGTACTAGTTGTATTATATCTTTCAGATATGCCTGTCATCAACGAAAGACTCATTTTCTTAACTGTTGATGTTTTTTTCCATTTAGACCCTGGAGAGTTCCATGGGTACTGCTACAACACTGACAACCCCTCAGGACCAGGTCGATGACCTCATAAAGCAGGTGGCGGAGGAGAGTGGCCTGGAGGTGATGAGTCAGCTGGAGGGACTGGGGCCTGCTCAGGACAGCATCGGAGCCAGCAGCTCAAAGACACAGACTCAGGAGGACCAGCTGTCCAGAAGGTACTGCTCTAGGGTTTTTTTTAGAAAAATTTAGCATGAAGGGAGCAGATCACTAGCATGGTGAGGGAGCGAAGCAAATTTTTACAAGAGTAACACAGTTTGTAATGCTAGAATGCTTTATGATGTTTTGTTTTCATATTTTCACTGAAAAAAGATCATGAGAAAGACTTAATGTTGTGTATGTAGCCACTTAGAGTGAGTTCAATCTTATAGAAAATTGATATGGGGAATGGGGATGCTGGTTGGTTACATGAGGGAGCAGCACCCTTATTCCCCAGTTTAGAAAAAACCCTGCAGTCCATATGTCAGGATTATATGCCTACTACAGCTGTAGAACATAAATGTGTGTGCATGTGTCATGTGTGGGCATGTTTATTCAAGCATATACATGCCTGTTTAGTGTAAATGATAGTTTCTACATATCTCTTCTCAGATTTGACTTACAGTTGTCTTCTATTCTTTCAGGTTGCAGGCACTCCGGAATTAAATCAAGTCAGCTGTCATGATACAGAGAGGTGTTGAAGATGACAGCATTTTTTAAAAGCTGACATTACCTGTATAAAATGATAGGCTAGGGATACAGTCATAGTTAGTGGTATGTGTGGGTATGTACAGTTTATGTGATATTGATAGTCACATGATGCAAGCAGTAAGGCAGATAAAAATGCTCCTTAATCCTGGTTATAATGCTTTGCAAGGTATAATATATATCGAGAGGTGGATAGGGGGAATTGTAGTACAGGTACATGTGTGTATCAAAGTAGAATTCTTAAGTAAAGAAACCCAGAATTATTTGGAAAGTTTAAGTGCATTGAACCTTGTTCAACAATTACTTTTCTTTAACTTGTATATTGTAGCAACAGCATAGAACTCTACCCTGTATGTCAGTATAGCTAGGAATGAGAATCAACACAATGAATTACAGTACAAGGAGCAAATGCCCAAGATTCTTGTTATGATTGTTCTTGTAAAATACCAGTAGTTCTGAATACACAAAAGGAAATTATTAATATTGTTTGTACACTAAGTGGTGTGGCTTGTCAGTTACTTTCTAGGAGCTTTAGCCTGGGTGCCATCCTCTGTAGTTTCCACCTGCCCCTTAGGTGTAAATTGCCAAAAAGTCAGCATGCTTTTTATCAAATTTTGTAAATTCACTTCTGATCTGTAAGCACAACATAGATTTCCAAAGAAAATTTCCAAACAGTCTTGTATGTTTTATATGTTGGGCTAAGAAATAAAGAGACAACAGTGACACAATTACAAGTTTGTATAGAAAATTGCTTTTAATTCTTTTATATGAGCCACATAGACATAAATTGCCATGAAAGTGGTAAAGATGATGGCAATATGCTATGAAGTGAAAATCTGCAAGTCACCTTTCTTCGGTATTGGCTACCTCAAGGGGTTATTTCTTGAACACCTTACATTGTTCAAAAGTTTTTTGAGTAAAACTTGATGAACGTGGGTTCCAGTTATTATATTCATCTGCATATGATACAAGCGTACTCTATCCATACAAGATTTTTGGCTCATATTTAGCGTGGTACGTAACCATTCATACCAGTTTTATGCACTATACACAATGTCATCAGCACATTCCACCATCACTTACTAGTATATATTGATGAAGCTTTTCATCATTTTAAAGTTTGTTTCCCTTTAGATGGCTTGCACAAATACACCAGATACATGTATCCATGTAGGTCTTGCTCCAAGGAAACCAACTGGCTTGTAGATGTACACTACTTCGTGGAGGCCATGGCCTGTTGGCCCTACTGCATCACATCAGGCTGCAGATGAGCAGATGTCACCTAGTGCTGAGACCACTTGATAGCCTTCAGGTCAATGCCCTCCTGAACCATCTCCCACAGGGGACTGTAAAACACAGTTCAAAATCTTATACTAGTACATATACAATGTAGTACTAATACTGTTCTTTCATTGCTTGAACTATGATCCCTTCAATATTCTTTAAAATAATGTACAGTTATGGCAAATGTACAAGTAGAGAATTTTTAGACAGATTATCTTTTTCCAGTGGCTCCATCTGATATGCCCTGAGAACAGTCAGATTACACCATCAGCCATTAACTGGCCCATTGCCTTTACACCTGCAGTATTTCTGTTAGCACAACACCCAGCAGTAAACCCACAATTTAGAATCATGTTGTCTCACCTCATCTCCCTCAGTGCTGTAACATGTTTGATGGTTTTCTCTGCAGTGTAGTCCACTTCCTCCTCTGTTGTAAACCGTCCAATGCCAAACCTATAATAACATGATAAAGTTCAAAACTTGCGGTGTCTTCTTTTCCATGAACATGCTAGCTACAAAATCATATGGCATCATGATCAAAGACCAGTGTCTTTGTGAAAGGGACAGCCAACGTACAAGGTTGTATAAACTATAATACAAGAGACTTCTTTATAATACATTGTACCTGATAGAGGAATGTGCCAGGTCTTCATCAGCTCCAATGGCTCTCAACACATAGGAAGGTTCCAGGGATGCAGATGTGCAGGCACTGCAGCAACAAGGGGAAAACCAGACTGAGAACATGGCACAGCCATGGCTATAGTTTTGTGGTGTTCTCAGGAGTTGCATCAGTTGCAGAGGTAGAAGCAAGCTTATAAAATACATGTTTTTGTATACCCTGCATGTGTTTTATACAAATAATTGATTATACATATTTGTATCAGATGGCTGTAAAGACTGAACAACCCTACCTCCCTGAAGACAGGGCAATGTCCTTCAGTGCCATCAGCAGGCTCTCTCCTTCCACATATGCAAAGGACAAGTTGACACAACCTGTAGGAACCAGCACCAGACAGTTTAAACTCAGTTTATGCGGTAAAAACAAATACACAATGTCCTTAGCATCTGCAACAGTAAATTCACTTCAGATCAGATACATGCAAAAGAGCAAACTGTACCAAGTTGATGTTTAAGGGATGACTCACCAGGATAGGACTGCTCTGAGTCCCCGTTTCTCACCACCTGGGGCAGCGCACTCATGATCTTGTTGATGAGACGCTCAGACAGGGACGTGATCCTTGCATGGTCATACTGTAGGGCAAACAGGATGAATTACTTACAGGAGAAGTACGAGTAGATCAACTCTGCACGTACAGAAGTTCCACAGAGCAGTGTTTTGAAGAGTGCAGAATGCCATACTGACCTCCATCTCCTGCTGAGAGATGCGACAGGCTGCTCCCAGCCCCACGGCCAGAGGTGCAGGCACAGTACCACTCCTCATGCCTCTCTCCTGACCACCTCCACTCTGCAGGGCCTCAATCCTCACCCGAGGTCGCCGTCTAATGTACAGGGCTCCTACACCTGTATTAACATTTCATATGTTCACATTACATCAAAATATCAACAATGACTTGCAATATCATCATTTCAGTTGTACAAAATTGTAATATACTGGTACAATGTATTCCAAAGAATTAAAGTACAAAATAATTAATGCTAACTTAGAAAACCTTCTCCCTTTAAAAACTAAATCTATGTTTATACATGTATATCAGATAGCCATTTTCATAGGAAGCATTAGCCCTGGTCAGTTCATGATAGCATCTCCCTTGCAAACTATTCTATAACAAAACAGCAAGGTTGTCAGACCCTTTGGCCCATATATCTTGTGGCCACTGATGGACATCAGGTCTATCTTCATGTCGTTCACGTCTAGCGGGATCTTGCCGATGGCCTGGGCAGCATCCGTGTGGAAAAACACCTTCTTGGAGCGACACAATTCACCTGTAACAGGAGGATATGCACAGCTTTCACTACGAATAATCTCAAAACAAGCCTGGCTTGAACAAAGAAAGAACAGTCAAAGTATCCTGTCAAAACCACAATGGTAAAAGGTATTAGCAACAAGTAACGTTACATGCAAGAAAAAAGGTTACGGCCAACCATGGATGATAGAGGGCAATATTGCACTAACCTATTTCCTTGATGGGCTGTCGAACTCCTATCTCATTATTGACAGTCATGATGGACACCAGTGATGTATCTGGTCTCATGGCAGCTTCCAGTTTCTATACATCCAGAGACAAAAATCTGTTGCAATGACAAGTTTTTAATCTAATAGGATTGATCTAAAAAATAGCTTTTACTACTGTAACAGTGATTTTTTTTTACATAACAGGTACAGTCTATCCTGTCCAGTCCTTACCTCAAGTTCAATGATTCCGTTGGGTTTGACAGGCAGGTAGGTGACATCAAAGCCCTCCCCCTCCAGAGCCCTGCAGGAGTCCAGCACACACTTGTGCTCCTATATTACATCAGAAAGAAAAAAAGATGTCACTGGATACCCAGTACTGTTACTAAAAGGCAACACAAAGATTGCAGAAGCTTTTGTGTCAATAGAATACTAGTATACATGTACTTACAATCTGTGTGGTGATGATATGTTTCTTCTTACTCTTGTAGAATCTGCCCACGCCCTGGGGGATAAAAAAAGTTACAAACTACCTGTAGAAACAGATGACACTGATATTCCCATAGATTTTCTTTCTCATTAGGTACTGGTCTATCATACAAATCAATGCAAATAACAGGTGTGCCATCCTGATAAGTATTAGTCAGACATCACCTTCATAGACCATTTTGAATTTGACAGACTTTTATCTAGTTGACTAACTAGTCACCTTAACAGAGATGTTGTTGGACTCTGTTGCTCCACTAGTGAAAACTATCTCCCTGGGGTCTGCACCAATGATGTCTGCAACTTCCTGTGGAAGATGGTAGTAAGGTGCATTAGTGGCACTTTTGAAGTAACAAAAACTGGCAGCAAAGCACAACATGAGCTGTCAATTGCAGGATGTTGCATACATAGATAAAACGTAATACATGTAACGTTACATCATAAGAGATCTAGGTCTGTACATACTGACCTTTCTGGCCTCCTCCACTGCTTTTTCTGTCTCCCAGCCATATGCATGAGTCCTGGAGTGGGGGTTGCCGTAGTAACCAACAGTGAATGGCATCATGGCATCCAGCACTCGAGGGTCCTGTAAACATGTCATTTTCATAGTATCAAGTTTCAACTTATGAATCATATTTTTAGTTCATTCCATGTAGTAATGATTTAATCAAAGCCAGTCTTGTTGTTTACTCACCAGTGGAGTGGTTGCTTGTGCATCCAGGTACAATGGCCGCATTGTATCTCCAGTATCTCCTCCTTTTCCTTTGACAGCTGAAGAAATAAGAAGTCTACCTTGGTATCGACTAATTCACATATAGGTACTAAATGTTACAGGTGCCATCCGTGCCCCAATGAGGTTTAAACACACATACATGTAACGTTAACTGTTACAAAGCTTCATATGTGTGATGCACATTCATAGATGATGTAAGTTGTATCAGCTGGTTGTATACTTTAAATTTTGTGATTGCATTACTTTGCTGCTAATGCAATGATAAATCATATTCTCACATGAATCTATCCTACCTGCTGCAGCCTGTGCTGCGTCAGCAGACGAACTTTTGGTCTTCAGTCCCCTGCACACATGCCGCCCTCCCACCCTCAGCACCTGCACGGACGTTCGGCACGTATTCGACAGCATGATCAGTCTACAGCGTGGACAGGCCACAAACTTCGCTGTCAGGAACCTTCTAAACTGCTTATACTCGTATTTAACCTGGATTGAATCTCCTTGTTATATATAACCCACTACGAACACACAGCGAGACCCTCTGTCTGTTACGTCACTGTGCCCCCATCTGTTTGGTAACTCCTCAAATGTGGTATCTCACCAAGGTTGTACATAGAAAACCAGAATGACATCGTCTGATCAAAGGAATTCTAACAGGTTACATACGTATCTTTTATCGATATAAATCTAATCTATCACTCTAGCCTATTGAATACTTCGGATTTAGTCAACGTAGAGGGAGAAATGGAAAATGTAAGAATTTAAAACACCAGTATGAGACACAAGGGTCACCCAGAAAGGTCACCGTGAAGGAGTGTGCCATTTTGTTTGTACACTGGACGTGTTTTACGTGTGTCCTGCTTATGTTATATAATGGGGCGATTTTCACAGAACTAGTAACCCAATGTTTTATTTAACGACGTTGTTTGAGAATGTCAGCATTCGCTGTGCCCGTGCGCCGAAAGGCTGTTCTGAGCGGACTGGGGCGGCTCGGGTGGCAGGTGATGATGAGGGGGAGGGGCGGCAGTACAACAACATTCCTTGTCCATTCACGCACAGTGGTTTCATCAGCGGTGCTGCAACAATATCAACCGGGAGGTTTTCCTCACGTTCACCGGAGCAGCCTGGCCAAGCTGACGCCGCAGCAGGTCACCAATGTCCTGAGAGCAAACGACGCCTCCTTTGTCATGGACTTTGACAGTCCTGTTCATCGTTTTGACAGGTGATCGATCTTAAAGAGCTGTCATAAACATTCGTTTGCATATCAGTCCTAGTGGTCATCTGTATTACTTTTTGATGGTTCATTGTTACCAAATGCATTACGATTTGCAAAGTGAAAACTAAAGGTAATGAACTTTAATATATACATGTAAATACATGTTATATTTAATAACTTAATTGAGCAACAACAAGGTACAAAGTGTGGCATCAGCAATAATATAAATTTGTGGTTCTTATCTTTCAGCAATCAGCTGGCTTCCAACAGCCCCATAGAGGACCGGCGTGCAGCAGGCAGGTGCCTGTACTCAGGAGATATGCTCTTTGGTGTGTTTGATGGCCATGGCGGCAGTGCCTGTGCGCAGACTGTGAGTGAGAGACTTCTAGACTACATTGCCGTCTCTCTCATGGACTACAAACAATTATGTGAGTACAAGTCATCCATGGAGTCTTCGGCTGGGCGAGCAGAGGCCGTGAGACGGTTTAACTTCGCCAACGACTACTCCTCACAAGAAGGAGGAAGACGTTACACCGAGGCGCTGTACAAATTTGCACGGGAGGTTCTGGCAGCCTACGATGAAGAGGCAGATGCAGCAGATTGTTTAAGACATGCATTTGAAAGGCTGGACGAGGACATCTCTTCAGAAGCGCAAGCAAAATTGCCAAATGGGCAAGTCAACTTTGAAGCCTTACAGGCAGCATATGCAGGTGCAACCACAGTGGTGGCCTATGTACATGGAACTGATTTGTACATAGCCAATGTTGGGGACAGTGGAGCTGTGTTGGGGGTACATAATGAGTATGGTACTTGGGAACCACGACAGCTAACCTCCGACCACAATGCTCTCAACCCTTCTGAAATACTTAGGATTAGAGGAGAGCATCCGAGAAGTGAGTCAACATTTGTGGTCAAGGGTGGCCGATTGCTGGGGTACCTACAGCCTCTAAGGGCATTTGGTGATGTTAAGTTTAAGTGGAAAAAAGAGTTACAGATGGAAGTGCTCAACACTGCCTACAATAAGAACCTGATACCTGTGAACTACTACACTCCCCCTTATCTTACTGCCATGCCCGAGATCACGCATCACAAGTTAACTAGTAACGACAAGTTCCTGATCCTGGCTAGCGATGGTCTCTGGGAACCCATGATGAAGCAGACGGCAGTGAGGCTTGTAGCAGAGCATCTCATGGGAAACCACAAGGGTAGATTTCACTTTGATGGCATCAAAACATTGGGGGACATCAGTGCCATTCTGAAGAAGAGACGAGCCAGCCACTCGGCAGAAGTGATGGACCAGAACGTCACCACACATCTGATTCGGCATGCTCTGGGGGGAACTGATGATGGAATTGACCACAGTAAGCTGGCCACCATGCTCACACTGCCTGAGGAGATTGTACGTCTGTACCGTGATGACATCACCATCAGTGTCATCTTCTTCAACTCTGACCACATTGCAAGCTTGGAGTGAATCAACAGTAGTTTTGTGACTTTTTTTGGAAAAGGTTTTCACTTCCAGAGGGAGGACATTTCTGTGTAAGAATCTATCTATGCATGCATGCCTGTCTTGTACCTCTCTTGAACTTTATTTGGGCTGTTTAATCTTTTTGATTATGGATTCCAGATTCGGGATCTTACCGTAGATTCCTAACTGTATTATGTTGTTAGCCATTTCGTTCACACTTTCTTGATTTGTTCTGATACAAGTAGTACACCACAGGTCAAGAGGCCTAAGCCTGACTTTAAACACACACAACATTCTTAAATTGATTGTGCAACTTGCCGAATGGCAGCATGTCTTTGTAATGCCATGTAATTTCCCTACATTTTAAACTCTTTTAACCTATCCTTGGCCAATGCCTGCTTAAGTGTTTTTACATACAGTGACCTTCAAAATCAAACTCCAGTATTTCCACTACCGTATTCACTAATTGAGTAATGCAGGACGCAATACTGTACTGCTCCAGCATTAATCAGACAAGAATGAATTCAAACCTAAGAATGGTTCAATGTGCTCTGGTATTTTTAATGTATACTATTATGTGTAATGTGCTGCTGGATGAAGTAAAGATACCATATTGCAATTGTACTCTGCTATGTGTTGAATTTACCTGTACTCAGTGCAATAGTCATTTAAAGGTATTATATTTGTACCCTTGCATACAGAATATAAGCAGTAGCCATGCTGCAGTCTATGACCAGGTGTAATGTACATGTATCCTGCAGTGAATTCTGACTGTTGCTTTTATACTTGTGAAAGCATGTAATCCTTTCAAACAAAATAAAAGATGAAGCTCAATATGTATTAAAAGGTGAACCTCAATATCAATATGTATTTGTGTTCTGTATGTTGGGATGTGTAAAGAGAAAACATGTCTTTAACCAGGAGTGTATTGAATCTACTGATCATGATGTAGGCAGTTGCTGAAAAATCTGCTACGCTTCAGAGAAAATCGTCCAATAAAATCATGATTAGGGTCAAGGTTAAAAATTTTGAAGCACTGGCAAGCAATTTAGCCTGAAACCATAAAATGTCAGTCACACTGTAACTTAACCATGAATGAGGGAGTGTACAGGGTATTTGGATATTTTGTCCCTGCCCTTGAGGTCATCCAGTTCCACAACTGCAAGACACTCCACAATATTGGCCTGCATACTCTCCATCAGCTGACAGGCACTAGCCATTGTTCCTGTATATGGGGGAAAAGAAGATATGTACTACTTTTTAGTATTCTTTATAGGTAGACTTTCATGGCAGTCCAAATGGATTAACCAAAGGGGATAAAGATTGCTGACTGAGGCAGATTGTATACGTGCACACTGACCTCCCGTGGCAATAAGATCATCGACTATCAGCACATTCTGGTTGGGCTTTATTGAGTTCTTCTGCACCTCAACAGTATCCTGAAATTACACAAAACAAAAGAAGCAAACCTTATTATAACTTTAAATCCAATGCAACTGGTTTCAAATAAGTCATACATTTTGTTTCAACTTCTTGGCTACTTGCCTGGTCCAAAATGACATCTTCTAGTTCAAGAAGTGTAGGAGCAAAAATGATACATGTATGTGCTCTGCATTACGTCTAAGTACCAGTAGTTTAGTTAGATTTCAACAGTCACTTCCAACTTCTTACTGGTAACAACTTATGAATAGGAGTGGATATAAAGTACCTCAGAGGACAGCTGAGTATATATGACAAGTTACAGTACCTTTCCATATTCCAGTGTATAGGAACACTTCACAGTTTCCCCTGGGAGCTTGCCTGCTTTCCGTACAGGTACAAACGCACAGTTGAGACGAAGAGCCAACAGTGGACCAAAAAGAAATCCCCTGGCCTCCAGACCTGAAAGGAAGTTTTTTTTCTCCTCATTAATAACATTATACATCTTTATTGTAATCATTAGAAGGTCCAAAATACATGCAGTGTCCAATGGTTGAACCATGTAAAGCATTTGAGGTAACATTACTTGTGTTTAAAGACAAAACAATGAAGTACATTTACTTAGTCACTGTTTGACTCAAACACCCTACCTACTACTACGTCCACTTTGATCCCTGATTCTTTGATGTGCTCTTCCAGGAGAGTTACAGAGTCTGAGAACACTTCTGGGTTCTGCATGATTGGCATGATGTCCCTGTGAAAGGCAGAATATTATATTATGTTTATGTTAGAACATCTTACATGTCTTATCCCTGTGCAGGCTCCCCTGTGTCATGTGGACATTCTGTCCCTGGTATTAGGCATCAATGTAGAATGGAAAAATATCCATCAAGCTTACCAGAAAAGGATGCCTGGTTTGGGGAAGTCCGGGACAGTCGGTATGTGGGCCTTTAGTCTGTCAATCCTGGCCTGTTTGGATAGGACGTTTTCTGTAGCCATGTTGTCAGAATCTGAAACACAAAATCTGAATATATTTAACCATGGAGGTAGAAAATGTCACTGACTTTATTATCTCTGGGGAATGCATAATGTAGTTAATGCATACATAACTTCCAGAGGTTTCTTGTTAATACAGCCTTTGATGATGCACATCGAAGATGATGTTAACAGTTACGTGAACACGGGTGTTCTGCACAGTCGCTGTTATTCAACGTTAGTTTTTATAATTTTTATTTTAACGAATTATATTACGTCGTATTACATCATTTCATCAAACTTTAAATTATTCATACGTCACTGCATACTTTTCCATAGTTGGGGGACCCGTGACACTTAACATGCTCCCGCAACTGGTTCTTCAAAAAACGAGTCCCGCTGTCCATTAATTGTCAAGGCGTGGGGGGGGGGCGAGGTGTAAAGACTTTGCCCTTTAATACCTGGGCCCATATTACAAAAATTAATTTATCTACCTTCTTACCGAATTAATGATGATGTACCCTTCTCTGCGTGGTGTTGTAGTGCAGCCTAGAAAGTGCAGATCGCTACTTGTACTGACTTATTAATCGGCGTGAGTGTTTTGGACTTACAGCATGTAGTGTGCCAAGCCAACACTCTAGGTCACAGTGCAATGACCTCATTTGACCTCATCTGACGCCTGCTTACCCACAAGTAGAGAACTGGTCTTTCTGACAGCTGAAGGTGTAAGCTAGCAAGCTGTCTTACCTGGTCAACTTCACACACAGACTTATTTAAGCCATGCTACAAAGTCATGACTAATGTAGACATCTGATCATATGAACATTTTCTTCTGATCAAGCTTTTTATTCATCAGGCTCTGTTTTCAATTTTGTACATCTAGACTGACTGTAACATATTTGGTAAACTTAGTGTGTTGTACAGCAGCAAGCTGCTTGCTGAACCTTCTACAGGCACTTATCGGACACATTTTATTTAGCAGACATCATCAAACACCATACTGTGTCTATTGAGTTGGCTATTTCCTGTGCATTTTCCTAATCTACAGACCAATATTATCTGCTCCTTTAACTTGAAAGCTAATCAAATTGGCAACCATACATGTAGGTATGTAACATACGAAAAGGTACTGTAGGTATGTAACATATGAAAAGGTAGTAGCCTACTGGTTTTATACATTGTCAACTGCAGTGGATTTTTATTATATTACTAGTATCTGATTACAATAATCATTTTGTTACACAAGAATCAAGTACATGCACCATGGTCCAATTAAGTCATTACAGCAAATATAAGCTTAAAAATATATATTTCTCCTCAGCAGAATCAACAGTACAAGCAACAAAGTGTGGCATTTCACCTGCCAACAGCTGCCACAGTATCTAGGAATAAAGTAAAACCAACGATGTTGACAGTGTCTCACTCTGAGCTGCATTTTACATTCTTTACACTGCACCACAAAAGCTAGCAGTGGTAGGCAGTGAATTCCTGTGGAACTAACAAAGATACTTGTTGATTTTAATTGATTAAGCAAAAAAAAAATGATTCCTCTAAAATTTATGAGCTTCAGATTTTGCAACATTCTTTCCCCTTGCCCAATACAACTATTCATTACAAATGTCACTTGGCTTGGCTAAGGTGGAGATGAAATCCAAAACTTTGTCACTATCTTAATGCGTCAAAACTCGTAAATGTTGGGTTGAAAAGGGTTTCAATTGCACATAACAAACATTGGTCCATCTATAGCTACACAACTGAAAGGATTCCCATTCAGACAGATTTTTGTAAATGACCGCATGGAGCATTTTTCTTTTACAGTTAAATGTCTAAAGCAGCTCTGATAAAGCACCTTAATTTCCTCATCTGAATCCCTCAAAGCATCAATTTTGACAGTGGAAATTGATTTCTAGACATTATGTTGCTATGCACTGGATGTGCCTTCATAATGTCCCTGCTTATTAATACAACTGAATGCATGAATAAGCTCCCAGCAGTTACTAAGTAGCCATCTGGTTTGGCACATCAGTCAGACTTTGGTGGTGCAGAAGAGAGCTTTTCCTACCAGTGACTGTAAAGGCATGGCACATGAACAATGGAAGAACCCGTTACCTGCATCTTATGCAACTAATAAATTCATGTTTCCTGATAAAATGCTTCCTTGTACATGTATATGTAACTGTGTATACAAAATATCAGTACATACATGTACATGTATTACCTTTTTTTTCTGCACATTTAATTCTGCCCCTAAATTCATTAAACTATAGAGATTTGATCTTAACTTCAAAATGACAAGTTGTCATCAAGCCTGGGTTTGTGCTTTGGCTAAAAAGTTTCCCTTTCCAACAATGTAATGTTTGCAATGTATCTGATAAACTACGCGGCTGGTGATATATGCATACTTGAGCCATTGCCCCTTCCTTCTGCATTCTTACAACAAATATACTATGCTTCTCATCATCTGCACAACGTTTCTGATGTCCAATCATGATAACCAGAATAACAACCCTACAGACGTATCAGTTTTGCAGATTTAAACACACATGGCTTTTCCATAAAGAGTGTCTTTTGTGAGAGGCCTGAGAATTAACTATGTAGTGTTACATTTTGAGCATAATTTGAATTGAATGACAGCATTTCCAATGACAGCTATCTGTGTAAAATGTACATATAATTTGTTTCATTCCTCGGTAACATCATTCATGATAATATTCTCATTGAGAGTGTCAAAAACCGTACATAATACAGTTTTACCAGTATGAGTCTTACTAAGAAACAAAGAAAACAGACACCAAAAGCATTGTGTGGTGGGAGTGTAAAGTTTACTTATAGCCAACCATGTTTAAAAATGCACAGGGTTATTCCTTCTCCAGTTTAGATGTTATTTCTCATCAGATCCAGTTGCTCTTTTGGCACGTCTTCTGGGAGATCGCCTTGGGGAGTTCTTGTCTGTAACAGCAATACAAAGTACAAAGTGACAAAGATATACTTGCATGTGACAGTACAGATGGAAACATGACCATGTCTACTACTGTTATTTTTTCTAAGCGTCTTGATTTGTGAATTTTGCACACACAAAAAAAATTATATGTACTACTAGATCTGTCCCTGAACTGTTGTGTTTGCATTCCAAATAAATACTGATATAAATAAATGCCTTTAGAGGCTACAAGCAATACACTCAGAGGTAGTGACTAAGGTCTGAAGAGTTTAGAGGAATGACTTACTCATCTGGTCCACAGTCTCCTTGGGGATCCAGTCGAAGTCCACATCAGACTGGTTCTGTGTACCCTGCTCGACAACCTGCTTCTTGGCTGGGCGTTTCTTCTGCACAAACACAGAGGAATATTCATGAAGAACTCTCCATAAAAAATACACTGAGTACTCATAGTCATACCTTGTTGGACATTGGGCAAAGACAGCAGCATTATATGTGCATATCTGTTAAACTCTTGTCTTTAAATAATAGATCACTAAAAGGGTAATCACAATTATTACATACTTAAATCACAGCAATCGCTAAATCTTTTACATCAACAATAACTCTGAAGGAGAACTTACCCCCATAGATGCCATTAACTGTTGCCCACCAATGATGAGTAGGACCACTGCAGCTGCCAAGAATATGTACAGGAAAAACCTGCAAAAAGCAAAGGATTGAGATGTGAGAAGGCTAACATTTCAGATCAGGTAAAAGGTTGGCTATGGAAATGAATGAAAAATATAGCAAGTATTGTACTCTGCATTTGGCCACTTAACTTCACTTTACTGAGAGATAACTAAAGCCAGTTTCAGCATGTTTTGTGTATGCTTTTGTCCAAGAAGACAAAGAAGAGACTCACATTTCTCCATCCAAGCCCTCATCCAGCTCCACAACACTGATGGTCTCGTTGAAAACAGCATCAAGGAAAGGATTTCCATCCTGTGTAGGACAACAAAACAGCAGTTGATAACCTTGCAGGGTTAACATTCATGCTACTGAAAATATGGATGCTTCTGGACATACAGTCCAACAGTATTACTATTAGTCTTGGTTGTACGGGTACTAGTAAATCTTTCCTTGATCAGAAGACACTTACAGCGTCCTTGTAGTTGAGGGCAATGGTCAGACCGAAGGGACGGCCAGCGAATGGCTCGGCAGCAGTGAACAGGTACTCGAAGGAGGCCTGAGTGTTGGGCTGGACCACGGTGTTGAACGTGAAGGTGGTGAACTGAACAAAACCAACATCAGCACTAGTTATTACACAGCTGGTTTGGTAAATAGAACAAAATTAATTATTTCATGTAGATACATAATTGTATTGAAAGAGGGCAGCTCACCCATAAGGGAATACTGCGTAGTGACACAAAACGTAGTAGCATACCCTATAACATTCCATAATTCACTATACAATGTTCCCTATCTGTAGTCAACCTCACAAGACAAAGTTTCACAGCTTTTCCCACCCTGTTGGCAATTATTATACTTCTCTTAGCTGCTCTACTCTGAAAAGCATGTTTTAAGGATATATGTTAACTGTAACAGTGTGTTGATAAAGCTGTGCCTTACGTTCTGGATGTAGAAGCTGTAGTCCTGTGGGTAACGGAAAGCACCCTCCATGCTCTCTACGATGAAATCCTTGTCACCTTTGTTGGTGAAGCCAACCAGAACACGCACCAGCTTAGTTGCTGGGATCTCTGTGGACACAAAAATCATGTTGTTTTTATTGGCATTAACTCTTACTTTGTAGAAGTGTAAAAGAAATAAATGAAGTGACACTGTGACCCATCGAAGTTGATCAAGGACTTCCCTTATATGATGTTACCTCAGTATATGTACAACTACCTCATTGAACTTAACAGCAGATATATCCGGCAGCTTTCTGCCTAGAAGAAATTAAAATTAAGCTGTGAACTTACGCTGGTCCTGCAGGGTGTTCGTAGTGGTGAACAGCACAGTGGTGTCAGCATCAGGAGAGGCCTTCAATGGTTCTTCTTCCTCCTCCTCCTCTTCTTCTTCTTCCTGAAAAAGTTATTCATTTTACAAGTGAATCAAACTTTTAAGATGTTTTCTTTTAACAGCTGTTTCTTTAATTTTATAACCTCTTGAATCTACTTATCTTAATGCAATTTTATTCTGTTAAATGAGGCATTAGACGAACTTCAACATTTACTAGAGTAGAGTAGAGTAAAGTAGAGTAGAGTAGTCTTTTCGGTCTGGTAGGACTACCAGAGTATGTGCAGCCAAATGAAGTATGTAGGGACAAGCAAGATAAATCACAAGCAAATGGCTTTTCTCCTAATGTACATGTAGTAGCATAAAGTACATACTGTTTCAGCTGCAGCTGTTTCCGTGCCTCCTGCGTCCTCGTCAGATTCCGTCTCCACTTCAGCCTCATCCTCATCCTCCTCATCCTCCCCCTCTACAACATCCTCAGCCTGTTCCTGTGCCATAGCAACGCCTGGGCCATCTGAACAAGCAAAGTTTGTTTGTTTCGCTTAACCGGTAAACCGTCTTTAGTACACCAGTAAAAGTAAAAATATTTTTCCAATGTACAATACTTTAAAAAGAGAGAAGGGACAACCATTGGCCATGAACATATTATGGCTCTAATTTGAACCAACAAAAATTATGACAGACCCTTCACCTCCAAAAGGTATCAAGACAACTCTGCTATTAGCCATTCGGGACAAGTCAGCACCAGACCTAGGACAAGTCAGCACTTTAGTAGCCCCCAAACTATATGACTAAAACTTGTCCCAGGTGCTGAATATTTGTGACTCCCTAAGTTGTCTAACAATCACCTCCCAAACTATGTGCCTGAGCCCTCAAACTACAGTAAATGCCAAATGTTATATACATATATTACTACATACATAACAAAGGCTTATTGATTTTCAGTATTCAGTAAAATAGAAAAAATTCAATCCCTTTCAATATAACGTATAATCATGCCAGTACTTCGATACGTCTCTATGCTTCAACAAGGGCAAAACCTGCTACGTGGCAACAAGCGTCGGGGCGGCCTCCTCACTAACGAACATGATTGGCTAATGCCGAAGTGCTGAGTAAGGAAATCATAAGTTTAGCAAATTTAATGTTTTGCAACAATCGTGAATCGGCTACAATCATGCTACTGTGAGGTAAATGTCGTCCATGTGGAAAGTATCACCAGGAAAACTTCTATTCAGCAGTTTGTTGGAACAGCTGATCGCTGTAAACATATTGACAACAGATCAATTCTTTCAACCAATTCTGTTTCAGGCATACCTTTGCCAAGTGTACAAAATTCAAAGAAGCACCGAATACCCATGATTGCGTGCATACACTTTAAAACACTTTTAAGACTCAGTAATGCTAGCCAAAACTGCAACTTACTGGTGCATGTAAAGGGACTTTGTACCTGTTCAACTTGCTTTTCTACCCACCCAACCACCTTACAAAAAGAGCGAAAAAAATACCTGCAACGAACACCGATGTCGGCAAAGCGATCAAAAACAGCAAAAGTAGTTTCGGTAGAAATGCCATCTTTGTAGGTTGATGAAAACCGGCCTATCTAAAGGCCGATGGCAACGGATTGTAACGTTGCACTTTTCAGGTGCGTTCGCGCAAGATGGCGTCCAAAGCGGAAGAGGACACGCAAGCGGAAGTACGGCTGACCTGTGCCCCGGAAATGCAAACGCCTCATTTGGGCTGTTCTATTCAGAAGATTTGGGGGTGTTTCTTTTAATATGCAAATGCCATATTAATCTACCATGCTATTGAAAATTTCATAGCTCTCTTGACACATCTATATATGGCAAGAAATTGGACATAGCAAACCATGGTGCATTTCAAAACCTAACAGAAAACCTAACATTGAATGATATTGCACCCAGGGGAATTCACTGGTTTTCAACCTCATTTCTTACTGCTGCCCTGCCTAACACCCAACACAAACAGCTTGGCTCACTGTTGTTACGTTTGTTACATGTTTGTAATTGCAATTCCAGGAAACGTAGACAGGTGGCGCAAATGTCACACTCTCTGCAGCTGGGCTGTCTTTTCTTCCATGCAGACACTGTATAGAAAAACATGACATGCATTTTCAACTGCTGTCTAACATCTAACACCATGGTCCATTAGGTCCACATGTGGTTATCTGCATCTGGTAGTCAGGGATCCTTGTACTGTTAGATTCTCTTGTTAGCTTTCTAACAACAAACTTAACAGTCATTGACTAATTGTATAACACTGTCTGACCAAAGAGATTGGTCTAAGGAAATCCTGACAAGCATTTCTTACTGCCTCCTAACACCCAACAGACAGTGTTGCTCAATCTTAAATTTTCTGTTAGAAACCTAACAGGGAATCTAACAGTATGTAATGTCATGTAATTTATATTCAATTTGTAATTGCAGTTCCAGGAAGTGTAAATAGGTGGCGCAAATGTCACCCTGTCTTCTCAACTAAGGAGCACAGATAGAGGAGCAGGCACTGAGGAAAACATGCAGATAAAACATGACATGCATTTTTAACTCTTGTCTAACATCTAACACCATATGTTTTATATTTGTTGTTAGAAATCTAAGAAGATAATCAGTACAAGGACCCCTGATTACACTGTGAAAAAGCAGGACACACATTCTGAACCACCGTCTAACATATAACACTATTAAGCGCACCACATGTGGTTATCAGCATGTGGTTACCCCAGGGATCATTGCAATGTTACATTATCTTGTTAGGTTCCTAACAGAAAACTAACACAGACACTGTGAAAAAGCAGGACACACATTCTGAACCACCGTCTAACATATAACACTATTAAGCGCACCACATGTGGTTATCTGCATGTGGTTACCCCAGGGATCATTGCAATGTTACATTATCTTGTTAGGTTCCTAACAGAAAACTAACACAGACACTGTGAAAAAGCAGGACACACATTCTGAACCACTGTCTAACATATAACACCATGGTCCATTAAGCGCACCACATGTGGTTATCTGCATTTGGTATGTCATGCATCCTGCCTCTAATTAGAACAGCACGGGCTACCCTAGTAGGGCTACCCATGCATTGCAAGCACTGTTAGATCCCAATCTCCAAGCAGAGGTCGGTGGGAAAGAAAAGTGATAGGAAACACGGAAAAAGCGTCAATATTTTTGTAATTAGAGCCTGAATGGAAATGAAATTTAGCATGCTAGTAGATTGGTATTTAACATACCAAACCTTGGTCTTTTTTGGTCAACATAGATGTCAAAAATGATTTTAATGGCCAAAAAATGGGTTCAAAAAGTTCTATTTTAGGCCAAAAATCAATTTTGGAAGAAAATTTGAATTCAGAGTTCGATGACCGCGGGTCACTGATCAAAGTGCATCGGAACACGTTCTATCACAATGTCCTTGGTGTAACTTCTTGCATAATTTCGCCCCGCCGAGCAGGTGTTTCAGTAGCCTCCATAGCATGCCAAAAACTGGGGATTTTGGGGGTCTTCAGGGTCTTTGGAAGCTTTTATGTGCTATTTTCTGATTGCATATAGACAACATAGCCGGCCTGGTTGAATACCGTTTTTTTTAACTGGACTAATCAGAAAACAGCCCAAGACCACCCAACCCCCAGTTCTATAAGCCTGCTATGGAGGCCACTTTTTTTTATCTACAACATCATAAATTACAGAACTATGAATGCTAGATATCTGCTTTTGGGAAGTACATGTATGTAAATTCACTATAAGAGGTTGAGAAAATGCAATACCAAACATTACTTCACATAGTGTAAGTATCCCTGTATAACAGTAACCGCTGAAAAATAGTTCACAAGCTCGGAGAACACAAATTGAAAATGACGCCTCACGGCATAAATTTAGTGAAAACAGCGTTCACATATTTCTTCACCTATATTGAAGCCCTCACAATATTTTCTTAGCCTTGAAATAGCTGTCAAAATTCTGTATAGGTAACCATACTTATCACATTATCAAGAAAAAGATTAAAACTGACAAAACCGACAGCATGTGTCTTGATATGTAAACAACTCTACTGTAAAGACCCCCCCTCCTCTACACACACTCACTCGCTCACTATCCAGGATTAGATTACGGCGTCGACAAATAGTTACAGATAACCAAAAAAAAGCAGATAAAAAAAAGTGGCCGTCAAAATTATGTTTGTTTTAACAACAACAAGCCTAAGTCACTATACTCATGATATTCTATCAAATCAGGAGCTAGTTCAGTTTTAGTGCATTTTTAATTTTGATCTGAAACCATAGCCTCCATAGCAGGCTTATAGAACTGGGGGTTGGGTGGTCTTGGGCTGTTTTCTGATTAGTCCAGTTAAAAAAACGGTAATTCAACCAGGCCGGCTATGTTGTCTATATGCAATCAGAAAATAGCACATAAAAGCTTCCAAAGACCCTGAAGACCCCCAAAATCCCCAGTTTTTGGCATGCTATGGAGGCTACTGAAACACCTGCTCGGCGGGGCGAAATTATGCAAGAAGTTACACCAAGGACATTGTGATAGAACGTGTTCCGATGCACTTTGATCAGTGACCCGCGGTCATCGAACTCTGAATTCAAATTTTCTTCCAAAATTGATTTTTGGCCTAAAATAGAACTTTTTGAACCCATTTTTTGGCCATTAAAATCATTTTTGACATCTATGTTGACCAAAAAAGACCAAGGTTTGGTATGTTAAATACCAATCTACTAGCATGCTAAATTTCATTTCCATTCAGGCTCTAATTACAAAAATATTGACGCTTTTTCCGTGTTTCCTATCACTTTTCTTTCCCACCGACCTCTGCTTGGAGATTGGGATCTAACAGTGCTTGCAATGCATGGGTAGCCCTACTAGGGTAGCCCGTGCTGTTCTAATTAGAGGCAGGATGCATGACATACCAAATGCAGATAACCACATGTGGTGCGCTTAATGGACCATGGTGTTATATGTTAGACAGTGGTTCAGAATGAGTGTCCTGCTTTTTCACAGTGTCTGTGTTAGTTTTCTGTTAGGAACCTAACAAGATAATGTAACATTGCAATGATCCCTGGGGTAACCACATGCTGATAACCACATGTGGTGCGCTTAATAGTGTTATATGTTAGACGGTGGTTCAGAATGTGTGTCCTGCTTTTTCACAGTGTCTGTGTTAGTTTTCTGTTAGGAACCTAACAAGATAATGTAACATTGCAATGATCCCTGGGGTAACCACATGCTGATAACCACATGTGGTGCGCTTAATAGTGTTATATGTTAGACGGTGGTTCAGAATGTGTGTCCTGCTTTTTCACAGTGTCTGTGTTAGTTTTCTGTTAGGAACCTAACAAGATAATGTAACATTGCAATGATCCCTGAGATAGCCACATGTGATGCTTTTAATGGTGTTAAATGTTAGACAAGAGCTCAAGATGCATGTCATTTTATCCTCAGTGTGTGCCTTCAAGTTGGGAAGACAGAGGCTGACATTTGCGCCACCTTGTCTACATTTCCTGGAACTGCAATTACAAACAGGTGTTGTGTGCTTTTAATGCTGTTAGATGTTAGGTAATAGATAGAGCACTTAGAATACTTGGATTTAGAACATGCACGCCCAACCTCTGGGATTTCATGTCACCCTTCTCAAATTAGGAGATGTTATTAGATGTCTGACGCCTGCGGTAGGAGTTGCGAGGCCATGATGCCATGGCCTCACCCCTTATGTTGTGTGATTGAGATGGTCACACCCCTTCGTGTAGTTAACATTTTTCAATTCCCAAGGGAAAGCCTAGTGCTATGATCAATTACGATATTTTGCATTTTACTTGAGATAAGGTCAATATTCACCTGAATTGATTTTATGCCCAAGGGAGATATAAAGCATACCCTTCTACAGCAGTTTGATTAATTCCCTAGGTGATTACCTCCTCTTAATGATCCACCTAAATTGTCTTTCTATAGGATGTTAACCCTCCTTCAATCTGTGTAGGTTGTTACCCCTGATCCACCTAATCCTTTTTTGCAGCCTGTTAGATTTTCTGTTAGGTTTTGAAATGCCCCATGCTCTACTGGGTCCAATATCTTGCCACTACTGGACACATCTCAACAAAAACTTCAGAAGAGGTTTGAAATTATTGCAATTGGAAGAAATTGTCTCATACTTTGAAGTAACTTCTACAGTCAAAACTTCTGTTACATGTATTTGCCCAGTGCATGGAATTTAGCCTCTACCAGGCACCTCCGATCGCTGGAAAATAGTAGAAATTGGCCGAAATAAAGGGATAGTATACCAGAGAAGATCCAGGACCCTGTGGGTAGCAAATTGGAGCTTCTATGGCCCTGGATCTTCTCTGGTATACTATCCCTTTATTTCGGCCAATTTCTACTATTTTTCCAGCAATCCGTGGTGCCTGGTAGAGGCTAATGGAATTCACAATGGTACTAAAGTTTTATCTGCCTTCTGCCTTATCTGAAATGTCTCATCCAAACGTAACCTCAGGAAAAGAACTGCAGCCTTCTCTCTATTTCAGTAATATTTTTTCATGAAACCAAACATACAACACCACAACTTGAAGAATTATTTTTTATTTGTGAATACACTCTCCAATGGCAGCATCAACAGAATAACTAGACATATGTATTAAAAAACAGTATTGTCTGCAGCATTACAACTGTAAATTGTGTACTGTGGACTGGTTGAGCTTCAGCTTGAAAGAGAAATCATTTCTTTCTATCCCAAAAACAATCTATGAATGTCCTAGAGTCCATGATGTCTATGTACAGGTCTCCACGTAGATGTTCTACTTCGTGTTGCAAGATTCGTGCTGGCCAGCCTGTCACCTGCCATGCTACAGGCATCCCTTCTCTGTCAAGGCCTGTGGAAGATGAAACAAAGAACATTAACATGTTAACTTTTCAATGACAGCATATTTAGAATACATGGTCGGACCTCATTAAATGAATGCTTATCATAAGCATTCATTTAATGAGGTCCGACCTCATTAAATGAATGCTTATCATAAGCATTCATTTAATGAGGTCCAACCATGTATTCTAAGATAATAAAGTTTTAAGGTGAAGAGTCATGCAATGTCTAAAATTAAAAACCACTGCTGTGACTTGAACCCACTCACCTGTAACATTCACTCCATAGTACCTGGGCACATTGGCCTGGTATCCTGGCAGACTCTCACAGCCCTCTGGGAACACTACAGTTGAGTAGTCAGTCACCTTCAGTTTGGGGTTGATGAAGATCTTTAGCGGGAACTCCTGCATTTCTCGAATTTGCCTAAGTTCCTCTGGCACAAGTTCCAACTGCTTCTTGGTGTTCTCCACCACTATGATCTGCAGCCCTACACCTATCTGAGGCGCACTTAGTCCAACGGCTCCCTTTTTTCTCATCACCTTGACCAACTGGTCCAGCACTTCCTGGGTTTCTTTGGTTTTGATATTCCTGTGATCAACGGCTAAGGCCTGGCCACGCAAAATGGGATCACCTACTGGTACTACATAATCGTGGGGTGGTTTTGATTGTCTCCTTCTCAATGAAAGTCGGCCAAGTTTATTAAAAAGCCACGTGAATGTGACAGAGGCTTGGTTCTTGGTGATACTCCAGAACGTTGGTGCACGTGCAGTAGTGCTGAAAACACGACTCAAGTTCATCTTGCGTAGACTTGCTGAAGTTCTTATTGTTAACGCCATAATTTATGTCAGTTGGAAGACTTAATACTAGCACCAACCTCTTAATACCACGTTATAGCTGCCCTATTTTTGCTTGTCTGATCGAGCACAAAGTCACTTCTGCACATGACTTCATTCATCCCTTCTCCTGTTGAACTTTGACCTCAACTTACTTAGGTGTTCAGAATAAATGAATAAAAGCCTGTTTTATCACAAACGAGGTAGTGGGTTATGGCACCCATCATTGCTCAAAAAAGCAATCTTAAGTTCTGTAAGATTAATTTTGCCCTAATAATGTTTCCAAACGTTTAACAGAAGATCTGATATATGGACTGAAAATGATCAGGCAGTAGACAGGAACAACACGGGCATCTATTCACCGAGAGAACATTCACCAATCTTTTGCACTCACAAATACACACCGCGTAGTACATGTTAGTTTTACCTGTGGATGACCGTTTTTTTCTGCAAACATGCAGTTTTTTCCGATCGAGTCAGGTGCAGTGATGATTGCCCTGGCCGTGTTCGTGGGGTTTGTGATTATGATCTTCATGTTGTCGCCGCTGATCTCACCACGCCCAATGAAGCTGAACGGATCCCATGTCATGGTGGGTGAGGAAACAAACAGTTCATTTTAGATTTAGCATACGTAAATTAGGTATAGATTTTGGATGCCCATATTATTTGCTGATACAAGTCTGCATCTTGACTTTTAATGCAATCAATAATTGGTGGTCCATAAGCCTATTTATATTTACCGCTTTTGAATTGACTAGTAGTATAACCTCCTTGATATAACTGAAGTTGTGCAACAACAACAACAATGATTTATTGTTGTAAATACCTTTTCCTCATTCAAGGTGACTGGTGGCTCCAGTGGGATAGGAAAGGCAGTTGCTGTGGAAGCTGTGAAGCAGGGAGCCCTTGTCACCATTATAGCCAGAAATGAAGTTAGTAAATGTTTTATTGCACAACCTTTATTATGCAAGCAAGGTAGTCCTTCCTTGCAGTTGCACATGTATAATTCATAAAGGTTCAAACTTCAAGAAATAACTGTGGTTAAGTATTCTGCGGTATACCAACGACGACTGTGTTTTGCTACATAGAACAGGCCTTAGACTGTTACATGTAAAAATAACATCATATTATGAAGCCGATTCCCAGAGGAAGCTGCCTGAAAATTTTGTAAACTGGTTGTACTTATTTTTCTGTCTTTCTTGTTGCAGCAAAGGCTATTGCAGGCAAAGAAGGAAATTGAGCAACACATGAGGGACAAAGACAGGCAGGTGAGGAGATTACGATTGTTGGTCCACACAGTTTTCTGTGGCATTTAACATACAGTAACCTGGGAGGCAGCCATGATTTTTCTGCAAGATTAGTGGAAGTTGGATGTGCTGTATTTTACAGTTTACAATGTTCCTGACATTGTGTTTTTGTTACAGAAGGTGCTATGTATTTCTGTGGACATTTCCAAAGACTTCAGTGCAGTGGAGAAGGCAGTACAACAGGTACAAGATATTTTAGTAGACCTCACCTTCACCCTGATTTATGGTCCGAGATAAAAAGAGTCTTGTCATTAAGATTGAAGCTTCAGTTGCCATGGAATTCAGTTGTATTTTCTGAAAATATATATCCCTAAATTTGGTACACACATATGATGGTTTATCCATAATCTCGAGCTCTTTGTTGCTTCAGAGAATCAGATTCAGACTATGGAAACTAGTAAAAGAGACCATCAATGTTCTTCAAGATGTGTGTAACAGTATGTTTGTAAAATGTTTGGTACTTCAACATATTTTGTTTTCTTTCAGGCACAAGAGAAGCTAGGCCCAGTAGACATGCTGGTGAACTGTGCTGGAACATCTTTTGCCAGCAGATTTGAAGATATTCCTGTCGATGAATTTAAGGTACAAATCCAAACAACAGCCTGTCTTTGTCATAAGTTAGAAGCTGTCTGGATGAAAGAGTATACCGTATGAAGGATTATGGAAAGGTGAATAAAGAAAATTACCTTTAGGCACACAGAGATTGGCAGATAGATGGCCACAGCAAAATTTTCAGTTTGTCTTGTTATGTATATCTTAACATCCATTGTTTCCATTCTCTTATTAGCAACAAATGGAAGTGAACTACTATGGGACTGTCCATGCCACCAGAGCAGTCATCTCTACCATGAAGTACAGACGCAGGGGGCGGATTGTCCTGGTGTCATCCCAGGCCGGCCAGATTGGGCTGTACGGCTTCACGGCCTACTCAGCATCAAAGTTCGCCCTCAGGGGGTTTGCTGAAGCACTGCAGATGGAGGTGAAACCATACAACATCTACCTGACTATCACCTTCCCACCTGACACAGACACACCTGGCTTCCAGACAGAGCAAACATTTAAGGTGGGTAACATTAGCCATGGCATTATATGTTCCTTACAAAATTACAATACAAAGACATTCAATTCTACATGTAATTTATTAAGGTTCTCAAGGCATGTTGAACCCATGGGTCTATATTGATTGACTTTGAAACTTGTCTGTATTGTTGACAGCCCAAGGAGACAAAGCTGATCTCAGAGACAGCAGGACTCTACCAGCCTGATTATGTAGCAAAGAGGATCCTCCAGGATGCTTCAGTAAGTTTAGCACTGGCCATCAAGAAATCTGTACCCATTAATGCAGAAGACTTGGTTGGTGTGTTTGACTATAATCATCATATCTAAGACCAAAGTGAAATAAGTGAGAAAGAAAGTGATTTGTTTACAGCAAATATAATATATGTACTTGTATGTGTAATCCTTCAGGTAGGAACATTTCTCAGCTACATTGGACTAGATGGGTACCTGCTGGCTAGTGCTACATGTGGCATGTCACCGCTGACCTCCATGACTGAAGGCATGCAGCAGGTCAGTCCTACTTCTTGTACTGCAGCCTTGACTTTCAGCCTAATGCATGTGTATTTCTTTTCCTACTCTGCTTACTTCTGTGTCAGCTCACAGTGACTAGTTTTACTTGGAGCAGACCTGGAACTTTTCAAATGTTGTTGATGTGCAAGACTTGATGACTGCCTGCCATTTGCTGCAGTTGCAGTCTTCTCTTCTTGCTGTAATTGCATTTTGCACCATTTAGTAATGGATGTACATGTACTTGGTAACTTCTGATTTCAGGTTCTGACCATGGGAGTGTTCCGAGTGATTGCCCTTTTCTATTTGGGGAGCTTTGACCGTATGGTGGCACGCTGCGCTGTTGAGAGAGAAAAAGAGATGAGAGAAAGACAAGGCAAGGAGAGTAGGGATTAGCATGCTGCTACTTCATGTTGTAACGTCATCAGGAGCAAGAACAACGATTTCATGAGCTTAGAAGAAAAGTGACCTTCCTGCAAAGAAATAATTTCAGTATGTAGAGCCTGGAACACTGCCTATGATAATGTATTATGAATAAAAAAAGTGAATTGGTTGATCCATTTTGATCAGTCAATGTTGGTGTAAATCCTATTTATTCTGCTTGCTTCAATGTTGGGTAGGCAGTTTCAACACTTTATTTGCTTTATTGGATTGTGTGTAGTTTGCCCATGTACTTATACAACATTCCTGTACTGTCATAAATGTTGTGATTCATCATTGTAAAACTGTGCCTTGATATGTAAAGGCTCTCCAACTACAGTAGTTGTATTATATTGCAAACAACACAATGGAAACAAGGCATAAAGAAGACAATAGAATGTGCATAGATGAGTTTTAGTTCTGCCCTCTGGTGCTCTGATACACAATTGTCTTATAGTTGAGGTACATGTACTTGCACATTTTCGTTGTATGTTTTATAGTACCATGCATCATTTTGATCTAAAGAAAATCTATGTTGGCATGCTCTCATATCCGTCCACAACTACATTTTTGACTCAGTAATACCTCAATCATACAGAATTTACGGCATTAAGACAATGTAAAGTTACTTTTGTACAGCAGTATTCAAGAACTGGGAGGAAGGGGCATTCACAGTCTCTACATCTTAATGTAACAAAGTATACATTACTAGTATTTTCAGGGTGATTCTACTGGACCAACTGCAGATTTCAATCTCAAAGTGTGATAAAGTCATTCCTTTGTATTAAATTTATGGTACAGTATAAACTATAGCATGACGTACTACATGTACGAGACATTTCTGTACACGGGTACATGTAATGTTGATAATTTGATACTGCAGTTACAAGGTGTATTTCTTGCAAGTAAAAGCTATTTTGGCAATAGTATTTTACATATTTGAAGCATCAGATTAGTACTGTATGAAATGGTCTTCCACTAGACTCGGAAAAAATTGTGGAGCTGAGCTGATCATGAATTAGAAGCTTGCTATATCTTGCTACATCAGCTGGTAACACGTATATTTGTACAATGTATGGTGAATGTTTGTTTATAAAAATAAAGAAATGTTACTGGTATTTAACTGGGGAGATTGATCATTACAAGAAAAGCAGAAGTGTTTGAATGACAACAGATTTTACAGTAAGGCCACACCAATTTAACTTGTTGGTTCTCGGATTCGCCTCTTCATTTTTTTTCTGATTTGCAAAAAAAAATAAAAAAACTTCTTGTTCTGAATCATCTAAAAATGCTCATATTTTGCTCCCAACAGTTGAGGAAAGTCCTTTTCTTCCTAGTTGTTAGTTTTTCAATCTTTTAATGCAGTGGTTCATTGTTTAAATTTTATCCCAGCCTTTTGTGTTGACTTCATGGCTCCAATCGAAGCATTTGGGGCTATAATAGGATGCCTAGGCCTGGTCATATTTTTTCTGAAAAAAATCCGAGAACCAACAAATTAAATTGGTGTGGCCTAAAACTTTAAATTGTTTTTGAAAGTCAATATAATTTGGGACAATTGCCTAGCTGAACAGGTTGATTTTCTGTGACATTTGTTAATAGTAAGGGTCTTGTAAGGCATGAAATTAAGAAATTTCTTGGGGTCTTTCTTGTATTCGCAACTTGTTCAACAACATTTCACCCATCTCTGGGTTTTGGAGTGACGTAATGGTTACTAACCCACAAAGTAGTGACCCACTTAGTGACCCCACCTTCGTGAATAATGGTATCGCCTACCTATCCCAGTGTTCTGTTCGGCACGCATGCGGCTTGGGACGCGCAGAATTTAAATTTCCAACTGAAGACCAACGGATCGCACGGAAGCTCAACCAAGAGTCGGAGTTCTGTTTACGTCGCTAACTTTCCGCTCTTTTGGGAGCTTTTAGCTGGTTCTGGTGTTCAGAATGGACCCGTTTACAGAGGTAAGAAATCAGAGAACCCTCTTACTGCTTTTCAGCTTCAACCTGACTCCAAATTTGTGCCTGGTTTCTGAAGAATTTTCTTTACCAACTGGGCCACGGTGGACGGGACGGTAGGGCATGCTTGTCTGACTCTCTGAGCCGCGAAAATCATTTATTAAATCACATCTGCTCCCATTCTTTGCTCGTTAGTTGTAGGTATCTATTCCAACGCACAGTCAAGAGTGTTTGTACCCGCATCGAGAAATTTTGGACACCTTATGATACAGTAAAATATCCGTTTTCCAAAAGTTTGGCAGCGACCCCCCACCCCCGTGGCCCAAGTTTTAAAAAATGGGTGTTTTTCCAACCGCCAACATCACTACGTATGATCCAATCAAAGATAAATTTTGTGTTTCAAAATCAGTACTACCGTACTAGTATAAACCAAGGCTCTTATAGCGTACACAGTTTTGTTACTTGGAAGCTGGAGCATCACCTGACTGTTCTCCTCACCATAGCCAGGATGCCAGACCCAAAGCACACTGGACACAAAATATCTCAGTGTGCAAGGTATGTTTGTGTTGTTGGTAGTGAAGTAAGTAAGCTTCAAGCTGATGCATTTTCTGCTATGTGAATATATTAGAAACTCCTGGAGCGAACTCGCCAGAGGCGAGAGCTACTGGCCCAGAAGATGGCAGAGAGGCCCACACCAACTCCCCGCAAGCGTATGTTGGAGAGAATGCCACTGAGAGACACTGAGAACGTACAGGACAATCAGGAGGAGGGTAAGTGATCATTGGACGAGGAACAGGTCTGACAGGTTATCTTTTGGATAAGGATGTGCTTGTAGTTCATTAGCACATTCCAGCAGGTGTGAATCAAATTTATACTTCAATGGAAGAAAAATTAGCATATTCAAACCATGTATTCAATAGAGTTGGCCTTTCACACAAGTAACAACACTACTCAGTATTGTTATACTAGTAATATATCCATGCTTACCCGTCACACCTTCATGTCTGCAATACATGTTGTAAGTTTTGGAAGGTTGAATGTGGTTTGAAATACCATAGTATTCCTCAATCCCACATTGATGGTAATTCTATGATTGTAATTTGTACAACAACTCTCAGTCAGTCAGCCTACTGTCTGGTCACAGGACTATAATCTTGCTATGTCATCATAGATAAAGCCATCAAACTTCAATGAAATGCAGTGTAACAATTTTCAATGATGCTTAAACTAACCGTTGCTTCTATGTCCGTTACTTGTCTACCCTTGAAATTGGACAGAAAACCGTCGTTACAAAAAATACCAGTATCCTTGCCCCTAGAACACATGGCCTTCAAGTCTTGTAAGTATAAACAGCTGCAAGGTTAACATTTGGGCCATGTCGGCTCATTTGTATGCAGTTCATGATGATAGTCGGCTACACCCTCACTGAACAACTGGTTACTGTTATATCACACATGGCAGTCATGTGACTGAGTTATCATTAGATTAGCCCCCAGGCATCGTAGGGTCAACATGTGGTTTACTGGTAACTGAAGAACATGCCAAATTTGGATCCCTTGGCTTTGGGTTTGAAATTTCTTAGCCTTTTTTCCTCACGAGCCAATTGATATACATGAGCATTTTCAGATTTGCTGGTAAACATTTAGTCATCAAGCAAATTTTTCTTTGGCTCATCCTAATCATACTGTGTCTGAAAAAAATACTAAAGTGCCTGGTCTCAATCTGTTAAGATTTCACAGTGATGAGTCAGGTGTCAGTTACAGCAAGGAGACTAGAGGAATGTAGGAACTGTTAGACTATGTAAACACATGACAGGACATGAGCTCACTCTGACCACACCAGGACCTGCCACTTTTGCCCTTCTCCCTTCCTCTAGTGTTGGCATGGAATCAAGAGATATAACAGTTTGAATCAAACTTTGATGATCAAAGCAAGCAAAAATTCCTAACATACCAGTTCTCTTTACAACTTCTTGTGTGCACTCAAACTGCCCTTGTAGCCACTGCCACATCCTGTACTGCTGTAATCTGACCATTCTGTTACATAATTACATTCTAGACATATTTGCTATTCTTCAAGAAAGAAAACAACAGTATGAAAATACACACACTTACTAGTAAATGTTTTCATGCTTAAGCAGCCCTTGTCTATATCATGTTTTTGTCCTTGACTATTACTTCTCCTTAGGTTTACAATCCAGCTTACGTGACACCTTTTTTGATTTTTGCAAAATAGCCAAATTGGTTCTCCTAATATACAATAAATTGTGGTGGTCATTTCCAGTTGTATGCAGATAGTCCTAAAGCAATGCTGATTTGTTCTTGATTTTCCCTAGATTCTCCCAATAAGAAGCCTCGGGCACATGATGCTGACCAGACGGAGGCCAAGGCCGCCGCGGTGGAGAAGCTGCTTGGTAAATCCGGAGGCCACGGTACGGCAGGGCTGCGTTCTCGTATGCAGGAACTAGCCAGTCAGCGCAGGAAATGGGAGCGAGGTGGCACTTCTGTCTTGACTTGCTATGTCATGTAGCAGTGCTTGTAGCAACTTTTCACCCTGTCACTGCTTATTGTAGACTAGAAAAAGCTTAACTGCAAAAATGAAACATGGACAAAAATCCTGTTGTCACTGGCCAATTGTGGTTGGCACTACAGGCTGAAGTGTCCAAGAATATCTGCACAACAAATGTGTACAAGTACAAGTTGCAAATCTGCTTTACTCAAGGCCTTGTAAATGGCATGCCATTCATGCGGCTGTCCCATTTGGTAGGGTTGGGACCAAACCAGTCTTGTAACATAATTATCTGTCAAGTTTGCCATAAATTTAAACTAATACAATTTGTATTAATGGGGATGATTTGGGATTGCTATATTTTTTGTGCCAATGATAAATGGTGATGGTTTTCCCCCCTCAGGTGAGGTTCAGGTAGAGCAGGAGGCACCAGCTGCACCCAGTACTGTAGACCAGGCCCTCTCCCCCACACCAAAGCCCAGAGCACAGCCTGCATCTGCATCCTCCTCCAGCAGGGGGCGCTTTGCTCACCTGGCTGCAAAGCAGAACAGCTGGGAGGATGACACCCACAACCAGGGATTTGGTGCTATGCACAGGGTAAGAGAAAAAAATGCATAATTTACACATTCAAAGAGGGTGCAATAAGTTAATTTAAGATCCTGTCAGTAGTAATTTATTTATTTTATTTATTAATATTGTAATTGACAGTCTTAACTTGAATGTTGGTTCAAAATATTTCAGGAGGAAAAGAAGAAGCAGGCCCCCAAAGCTCCTGTACAGACCAGTGTCCAGAAACGCCAGGCTCCCACCATTCCCAAGGAGGAGCCTCAGAAGAAATCGGCCAACACAGGTGGTGGATTCTGGGGAGGCAAGGTAGTGACATTTTTCATACCATTTACATTCTGTTACTTACAAGTATCCTTCCAACACAATTCTGTCAACACTCATTCTGCTGGATTCTCTAGACTGAAGTGAGCCAGGTGCCTGTTGTATTTTATAACCAGTGCCTTTTTCTCCTTAGGAGCCCCGTCTGAGTGTCAGTGAGTCAAAGCCTGTCCACAAACCAACTGTTAAGACAGCAGAGAGCAAGAAGCCCACACCAGCCCCTGCTAGTGACAAGCCTGCTTCTTCCAGCCCCTTTGTAAGTGGCAGAGCTGCACTGTTTGACAAGCAAACACCGAAACAAACTCCAACAAAAACTGTCAAGGAGACAAAAGCACCAGTCAAGGTAAGAACCACTCAGAAAATTTCCCTTGATTCCTATCATCAACTGAAAGGATAGTTTGTTGTCTTTATCATGTTTGTTTCGATGTTGAATGTTTGTGCTTGTCTCTCGCAGACCTCCCAGCCGCCCAGTACGGACAATGGTGAGGTTGTGGAGGAGAAGCCAGTGTCTGTCAAGTTTGCTGCACAGTTGTTTGCAGCTCAAGAGGAAAAGGCAAAAAGGTGCAGCATTCATTTTCACAGTTTATTCACATTCCAAATTCACATTTTTATGTATAACACTACACAAGGTACGACTGTGGACAGACTATTTACAGCAGACATCTTTTACCTTTTGCCATGACAGGGAAGCCAAAAACACATGGTTAGTCCAAAAGGAGAAGCTGAAACAGCCTGCAAAGCCTGCTGGGAATGGCAGGTTTGGAGACAGGATACCTGCCAAGGAGCCCGTGAAAGAGACTCCAGTCACACCTGCTGAGCAGGGTAGGTGTTCCTGGTGGAGTTTCACTTTGTCCTGGACAAAATGTTGGCACAGAAAAAGTGATCACAACACCATACTTTCTAGAATGGTACTGAAGTGGATCCATATCTACCTGATATTCTAGATGTTCCAGCTCAAATTTTGTATGTCCAGAGTGAATTGTGTGTGAATAAAATCAAAGCTCTTGTTTAGTTATCTTAACAGAAAATAATTGTGAAGCACCAGCCAGGAGTCATATACAAAGCATTGTGCATGTATGTAGTTGTAAAACGTGGTCATTGTGAGGACGCAGAAGCAGAACATCCTACAGGTTAAGAAAAGAGCCTACAGGATCAAGTCTCATGCCAGTGTCTATACAATCCACAGGTACTCCTGCCAACAAGGCCGGTCCAGCGACTAAGTCTGTTCATGACCGTCTGAGAGAGGCTGCTCAGAACAGGCAGCGGGAGAATGACCCGGCAGCACAGATGAAGAAGGAGCGGCAGGCTGAACTGGCCCAGCTCAAGAACCGCTGGGAGAAATGGGGAGTCAAGAAGGACGAGCCCAGTGAGGTAGTGAACCTTCTGTGCTAATATCTTCTCTTTGTTAACATTATGTAAAAACCTGCTGTTAACAATTTAACAAGAGGTTAACAATTTTTTGTTAACCTCATGTGAACATCATCACTATAAATGTGTAATCATTTTACACGTTGTTCTGCAGGAGACCACAGCTGCCCCAAAGACTGAGTCTGCGGCCCCCTGTTTCACACCATGGGACAAACCCAAGCAGAGACAACAGAAACAGGAGCCTGAACCTGAGAGTGAGGAGGACTCAGAAGAAGAGGAGATGTCAGGTAGGCTTCACTTACATTACGTGACATTGAAGAATAACAAGAAAAAGATGCGCAGTTCTCTATTCCAGTCTACCCAGTTCAAGTTTTATATCTCTTGTTGGCATAGAACATTCAAATTACATGAATGTTCTTCTATGTTTTCATTTCCTTTGGAATTAATCAATGAATGTTTATTTTTGTGAAACATTGCAGCCGTCTTTTGATGATTTTGATGATTGATGTTGTTCATTGACTGTCTCTATAGGTGTTGAAGAAAGCAGTAACAAGCCAAAAGAACCAGAGGTGCCCAGTGTACAGGAGGAAGAGGTAAATATCTCTTCAAATGCCACAATGCATTCCTCATGATTGGTTGTGTTACTTTAACATTGATTTGCAACAAATTGGTAGTCAAGCAATGCAACAGAATGTGAATGACGCCTATGCTAATGTCATTTTTCACAGGATGATGATGAGGAGGAGGAAGATGAGGAGAAGAACATGACTAAAGATCTAGATGATCTACTTGATGAGGTGATAGATTCTCCCCCGGTGAAGGATCCCACCCCACCACGCAAACAGGAGCCCCGCAGACAGGAGCCCCGCAGACAGGAGCCCCGCAGACAGGAAAAGGCAAAGGTTGGTTCCCTCAAACAACTACTGCACTCTATAGATAGATCTGCCTTCTAACCTGAACTGTTCTCGTAGTTACAACCAGCACCCTGTGAGAATGGATATGATTTCTCTTTATTAACATAATCACTCAAATTGTTATTCTCATTGCAGTGTGTCGAATTCTAGGAGGAAGGAACAAATTACAGCTAACAGAACTGTGGCTTCCAATGACTTTGTCAGGTACTGTAAATATAACAAATTTCTCTCCCAACCCTGCAGAAGGTGGCCTTTACTGCTGAGTCAACCGGCCCCAAGATCCCCAAGTCCAGTTCAGCAGAGAGTGTGGTGCCCTCTTCTGTTGAGGAGGTTGATGAACGGCCACTCATGTACAGTTTGGAGTGTTACAGGTCAATGCGCAAGTCCAAGTCAAGGTTTGTATTCAGGCAGTTGTTTCCTTGTGTTATGTAGCAAAGAGAAAGACATTTCCAGCAAGTTTAGCATCAAACATTTTCAGATAATATAAAGCTACTCTCCCAACAGTTGTAACAAGAACGGGTACGTAACAATATGCTTACTGCAATTCCGTTTTGTAACCTGTTGCATGTAAGTTGAATAAATAAGAGAAGGAATAGTTGTGCTACTATTTTAGTATTTTTAGAAGTTTGTGAGTTGCATTGATTGTCACTGACAAATTATGTCCTTATTCTTTTCTAGACCCAATGCTGTCAAAACCATTGTGCGGAACCACAAGCCCGCCAGTATTGCTAGTGATGACGAAGGCGCTGCACCAAGTCCGGAGGTCCCAGCAAGGCCCAGTCGCCGGGTACCCATCAAGGACAAGGTCAAACATCTCATGGAGCAGGTGACTACATCAGTTCACTAGCATTCACAGACAACAATCTGTGGTCTACTGCAATATTCTGAACATCCACAACTGAGTATTTAGCTTCCTTTCAGTCCATCAGCTCACAGTAGTATGTAGTAAATATGCAATTCGTTTTTGTTATGTATGCATGATACTGACCAGTGGTTGTCTCCCCTGGTCAGGTGTCCACCCAGCAGACCATCGTCCACCAGGCCAGCCAGGCGCTGAACGTCTGCCGTGATGCGGAACACGGGAAGGGCTCTGCGGAGGAGGTGGAGGCTGAAAGGCTGCTGCTGATTGCAACTCAGCGGCGTCTGGCTCTATTGGCAGAGACACAGGTATGAAGTTTAGTTATGCTAATGAACAACAAATCATGGGCTTGACGCACTCAGGCTTGCTTTCTTTGCAGCTGAATTCTTTATCGCTGATGTGTAAGATACCATACAAAATTTGTAACCATTGTCTTTTCATCATGGATTGATGTGGATTTGTCTTGTAATCTGACAGCGTCTGAAGAACCTGGGCCCTGATGGTGAGAGGGAGGAGGCTATGGAAGGAGCCAAGCCATGCAGAGGGACCCTGACCATCACCGACATCAAACTCCCCCTGAAGGGCGAGTTTCTCTTCTCCCTGAAGGAGGGGAACGTCCCCGGGGATGACTACTTCTTCTGTCTGATCTACAACGGCCCTGAGAAGGTCATCCCCACCATGATGCTCAGTACGGCCGACAAGATTGCCGGGGACAGTCTGTGGTTCACCAACCACATCGTCCTCAACGACATCAACAGTAACTTTGACGTCAAGATCGAGGTGTACAACATGCGCATGAAGCGGCTCAAGCCCGACAGCCAACAGAAGTCTGCCCTGGGCAGTCTTCTGGGCATGCCCTCCCCCAAGCTGAAGAACCTGGCACCAAAGAAGATTTTCACCAACATCATGGGCAAAGACTCCTCCATGAGCCCCCTGCTGCGGAGCCTGGGGGGTCCCAGCGCTGTTCGTAACAGCAGCTTTGTCCTGATGGGGGAGACTCACATCAGGCTGTGTGACGTGCGGAAGACCCAGTTCACCCTGGACAAGGTCCCGTTCCTGTCCCCCCTGCAGGGACACGTCCAGGTGCGCATCCACTGCCACATGGACAGTGGTGTGGAGGAGAGGGGCTTCCTCACCATGTTTCAGGTCAGTTCTCAATTCCTTTTGAACGTGGCAGATTAATGTTTGTTCTGGCTTCACACTGCTAGTATAAAGGCTTTCACTCCTTCAATCACCTATGTTTTTGCTTTGTTCACATCTTCATCTTGATGTGCTAGTTACTTGGATGTCCTGGACTTCTACCACTTCTCCCAATCTTCCATAGCTCCATAGGTACGTCTTCTAATTTTGCTTTACACACTTACCTAATGTAGCCTTACTTTGTTTCAGGATGTGGGTGGATTTGGATCCTGGCACCGTCGCTGGTGCGTCCTGTCCAACTGGCGGTTGGCGTACTGGACCTACCCTGACGATGAGAGGAGGAAGGACCCCATCGGAGTCATTGACGTGGGCCAGTGTATCACCAAGAACATCACCACAGTGTCCAGGTAAGAAGCTTATGACTGATTATCACTTTAAAGCTCCATGAAAAAGATGCAAAGCAACATTCAAGTGGCTGCTGGGCAAAGTTTCTGCCATACTGATGATTTGGGTTTGGTCTGGTTTGTTGCAGAGAGTGGTGTGCCCGTCCCAACACCATCGAGATTTTGTGTTCCCGGCCAGTTAAGGATGATGACAAGGACACCATTGTGGACACTGTGGACTGGAAGAACAAGACAGTCACTACCAAGTAAGATTCCTTTAGCAATTCTTTTAAGAATTTGCTTGTCAATGGTTGTTTAAGTGGGGCAAGTAGCATTTAGTCACAGAATGTAAGTTTTAATCTTATGAAGTTTCAACAAACACATGTACCTTAGTTGGCATATCTTAGTCAAATGTCTTTATTGAAAGCCTGTCTTACCATTTCTTAGGCACTGGATATCAGCAGACACCAAGGACGAGCGAATCCAGTGGATAGCACAGCTGAACAAGGCTCTCACCAATCTGCGCATGTGGTCTGCCAAGAACTAAAAAACTTGAAGCCATTTTTATATTCAATGCTATGATATCTGTATGTAATCATGCCTTTGTATAGCAGTATTGTAATGGCATCATTCACTTCTGTACTGTCCATCTCTCCATACTGTACTTCAAATATATACAATTGCTATCATTATTTTAAATCATAGAGGGTCAAATAAGGTGAAGTTATAGTCTTGCCTACCACTTAATACCTCTTATAACTACAGACAGGCTGGGGGTTATGATTATGAGCTAGTGTCAATTTGAGAAACTTAAATAATTCTCGATACCAAAAAAATAAGGGATTTGTATGATTTACACCGAACAATGCAAATGTGCCTGGCAACAGTGATCTACTGTGGGGAAAGGGTTTAGACTGAGCAGAGAATTTACTATTGGTATGATCCAACATACTTATTTCCAACCCCTTGCTTGTATATAGAACCTGTATTATTGCTATACTATCATCATAATTCATTCCCAAATCATATGCATAGAAAAAGGGATGCTGATGTAATACGTAGATTAAAGAGATGAAGAATTTAACATATATTGTGTGCTTACATGTAATCATGCCCTAAAACTGTTGCAATATGTAATCAATATAGCTGGGGACATGGTGGCTGGGATGTCAGAACTGTGTGGAGATTTGCACAAAGAAATCGTCAGAAAATATTCTGAAAGAATGTAGATAAGAAGAGAAGAAGAAAAAAAGTGCTCCTTTGGGGAAACAGAAGAGATTGGGAGGTATTGGGAAAGCCACATGGGATTTTATTTGTCAAGATGACTTTTTGATTTTTATACTAATATCGTTTATAGATGTGTATAGTGATAGTTTTCAGTTACATGTATCATCATACACACAGAAAAGGCAACACTACAGTATCCAAACAACCAGCCACTTCTCTTGCTAATGATATTTCTCTGTCTTCACATTTTATTTAACTGTAGTCATATAACAAAACTTTTTTCTTTGTATTCTTATATTCTTACAATTTATTGCAGTATTACAGAGATAGATTTCGTATCATGACAATAGATAACGGTTAGGGGCCTCAGTAATTTTTTAGTACATGCAATGTAATGGATTTCAAATAACTTTGAAACAATGATGAAGGTTTGCAGCTCTTTAGATCTGTCAGTACTGTAATCTCATAATCTTCCAAAAATGACAATCCAGTAGAACTGGAAGAAGGTAGTGATGTAGTCTAGCTGTAGCAACCATTTCTGTTATCTGGCCCTTACTGACACATCCCAACCAGGAGGAGTTTGTTGGCCTAGAACAAGCCCAGAAGTCGAGACCGACTTTGTATATATGTATGCATCCTTCATAAGCACAGGGAATTGTATAGCTACCTGTGTCCACTGTCACCTCATTCACGATCACACAACATTTGGTGTAGGATTCTCCACTCTGACTAATTTAGTTTTAAATTGCATTCTTCAAAATAAACATATCTACTATCAAGGAGGTTGCAGGTATGTCTCTTGTTGCTTCCACTTTTTCTAATGAGGTATCTTACCAGTACTTCTCAATTTGGATCAGCAGCTGTTTCCTTCCATGTTTCGAATACATTTGTAGTACTAGTATCAAAATTCTTTGGCATATCCTTGGTACATGGTTCTGAATTATTACTATTACAACATACACTATTGTATGATAGCAGACCTGTCCTTGGTGCTGAATGATTACTACTACAACTGACCATTTTAGTATGATAGTGTAGACCTGTCCTTGGTGCTGAATGATTACTACTACAACTGACCATTTCAGTATGATAGTGTAGACCTGTCCTCGGTGCTGAATGATTACTACTACAGTTGACCACTAGTATGATAGTGTAGACCTGTCCTCCATGCTAAATGAGACTTGAACAGAACTATTGCAATTGGTGTATGGATCCAAAGGGGTCTCTAGCAGTTCATTGAAGTACTGCTGGCCATTCTGTTCCTACTACTCCAGTGATATTTTTCTATGATACATGGTGCTTTTGATTGGTTTTTGGACGAATATGATTCAATCTCGACCATTTTTTGAAAGTATGATAGGATCTGCTCATCTTCACATTTATTCTTTGACATTAACAGTACAATAAGTCCAAACACCCATTTCACAATGAACACAAAAGTGTTCATTTAATCATGTCAACAATCCATACAGACACAGTGTCTTTCTCATTTCAAGAACGGAAATCCTTCACAGCAGAATAACTGTTGTATGAGATCAGTTCCCATCTGCTACAATAGATGGTGATTTCTTTCTTCTTGGGTCTTGCACAATTATCCACTTGGTTACCAAGTCTTCATTTGCTTACCTGAACATGATTTTTACAATACATGTACTTACTAGAATAGAGAGAAATCACTTCATGCATCGTGTTCAGACTGGACAAGACTAAGGCAGCAAAACGGAACAGTCTTCATTATTTTTACCGGTACATGTCATGATTTTCAGTCGTAATAGTATGGACATAAAAAAGTTTTCTATCTCAGTCTCTTGTGCGTATCCTCTATTCAAACAAGGTCTCGATTCTTCAAAAGATCACTCAATTATGATGGCCACTCTTGTGCCTCTGGCACAACAAGCAAACTGCTAGCAATAAATATCATCTGAGTTGCACTCAGAACCAAAGTTACTTCCGCAAATCATTTCTGAAAGCCTTCATTCCATTCAGGTGCCATGCAGGCATGCAAATAACACTGCAGCGATGCCGATTATTCAGAGACAGTACATGATATGAAGCCAGTTCCACACAGTTGGACTGACTAAGTAGCTGGGTGCTACATCCTCCAGTTCCATGGAATGCACACATCACCATCCTGTGTTATTGAGTAGAACTGTGTGACCCTCAGTCGTGCACCCTTCAACTCTGGGCTCAGCTCCAAGTACTGATGTCTGAGTCTTTGGCAGCACGATATCATCTGTGGCATGGACACGTTATGGTCCTTTCTCAGTACTGCCAGCTCAAGGGCTTCCTGGCACCTCTGCATCTCTTCTCTCTCTACCCTGTAGTCCCTGTGAGGGTGGGGGTTAGGGAAGGGATGTTAGCTTCCATCTTAGCAGAGTAAAAAATTACAGGATTTTTTATGGTCCACCTCACCAAGGAGGTTGACTTTACATAGTGTAAACGGTAGAAATGTCAGCTATGCACGAGTGACCAAATGGTTTTTCCATTTGATGGTATTTTTAAAATATTATCAAATAGAAAGCTGAGGCATTTAGACTAAATGTATGTGTATTTATCTTATGACAGATATTTGTCCAAACACTCTGAAGTAATGAAGTTGGAGGACAGGAAGGAAACGTTCACCTGTCATATTGCTGCAGAAGGTATTGCGAGTCTGATAACTTCCTTCTGATGAAGTTTACCAGTTGAGCTGGCGGACATGAGACAGGCACCAAGAACTGGCCTGTCTGGGACAGCCGCAGTGTGCTGTTCTCGCTGTAAGGAAGTTACCCTGTATAAGATCAGTCCAATCTAAATACTAACCTACATAAGCCTACAATTTATGTAAGAAGAGAATGCTCAGAAAGTGCAATGCTCTGTTGGTAGACGGGACTAGAATGTCTTCACAATAACAAAAATATAAACCAGGTGACAAATGCGGCAAAAGTATCATAAAAGTTTATGGACATATCTAAATATATAAATTATGATTTATGTTGAGTACTTAATGCGTTTAGTACTGCACTACACACCTATAGCATTATAACACATTCCTGTAAGTGCTAGGAAGTTGATAAGACACAACCCACCCTTGCAGCACAATCCTGTGCTTGCTGAGGTTCCCAACAGAAAAGAAATGTTCTGTGCCGTCCAATCGCAGGCTCTCAATCAGTCTCTGCAGCCACTTGGCATATGACACTGCCATCACCATGGCGACATTACAGTCCCGACGAACTTTGACGTGTGACATGAGCGCAGACAGCTGTTTCTCCAGGACAGGGATGTGTTCCACCAGCGCTTCATAGCGAGGGAGGCTGCTGATCAGCTACAGAACAGGACACAAGTATCAAAAACATGCAGCTGAGATGAAGAGGAAGGACCTAAGATGTATAGCATTCTCCCAATGTACAAACACATCACTTCTATGTTACGTATCCAGGACTGATAAAGATATGCAGAGAGACAGGTTTGAAAGCCAAACATCCTGACAGTTTATCTGAAGAAAGATAGTTACTTACCATAAACCAATGTTGCCACACGTCTTCATGGCTCAAGACAATCTGGCCATCTGCACTGACTCCAGAGTAATTGTTGGAGAACATGATAGTTTTCCCTACATGACAAGTAAATTAGTCTCATCAACAGTTCACATGTAACCACATGAAGTCTGACGTTCTGAGCTTGCTCTTACTACATGCAAATCCAGACTGAGAATCACTGGAAAAATATACAATTTTGAAACACTGATGGCAAAAAGAAGACCTGTACCTTTCAGGAAGTATGTCATATCTGGGTGTTGCCGACAGAGTCTCAGGAAGCTCTGCAGACAGCTTTTGACAATAAAACAGCCCAGCTCACAGTCACAGTCCACCGACTGCACTCCGTAGTCCCCACACAGCTTGGTCTCCAGTGTCCTGTTAGTCTCTCGCACCTTCTGGCTCTGCTGCAGTCTTTTCTCAATTTTTGGCATATTGTTGCTGATCCATGATCTAAGAAACAGAAAATTTGACCTGACATTTGACAGCTTTTGAAAAGAAAAACATAAATGTAAAGTAGCATCAGTTGCATTTTGAATTACGTCAAACCTTGTCTACTCTTGATTTGCTGCACATAACCAGTGTATCTATACCTAATATAATTCCAAAAATTGTACATACCTAAGTCTAATATCCTTCTTTATCTGAGATCTCCTGAGATTTCTGTGACTCCCAGGTCTGGTAAAGAAGTCATGAACAACTGCCTCATCCCAGCGTCTTAAGGGTCTGGCAGCTGACTTGGAGGGTTGAGCAGAGCGGAGTTTTTCCAGGTGACAGGTGGGCAGATCACAGGAGCTCAGGATCTCCTCCACTACAGTCAGGAAGTCTTTGGACAGTATGGTAAACTGGACGGACTTAAAACCAACAGGACCTACAGAAAAAAAATATATATCAATGTCATTTCTTCCAGACGTCTGGTCCAGGTCATTGACCTTATGTGTTTAAAGAAGAAAAAGAAACAAAATCCAGATGTTTTCCTTCTGTGAAGGTAAACATTATAGTGGTATAAATTATACATAAAAGATGTTTGTGACAGGTTGCTTACTTCCACTGTCCTGGTTGACATTGTTCTCCCGTATGTAGAACTTGAGACTGGGCGGCAGATGTGGACAGCCTGCCTGGATAGACTCCAGGTAACCGTTCAACTGCTTTAAGGATGATTCGTTCACCTTCTGTGTATGGAAACATTCATGGGTTGCATATGTGGGTACATTGTATGATTTTCTCATGAGGCTGAAAGAAAATCGTACCTAACGACCCTGGTTTTATTCAGGATCGACTAAAACCGTAAACATAAAATACATTAATTTTCCTAGATTCCTTACTAAAAAGACCGAAGCTTGCTGGACGGCTAACTATGTGCAGTCATCAAATAATACAGACATACATGCAGCATTTATCACAATGTTTTGACAGTGATTCCACATCAGTAAACAAACCCACAACAACAACAACAGACCTTCTCCCTTGGGAACTGTCCAAATAGGTCAGGATGGACGGCGAAGTAAAACGGCCGGAGAGGGTTGCTGGCTGTGAGCGCCTCGGCTGGCTGGGCATGCGGCCCGGAGTGGACAGTGCTCGTGGACAATCTCACGAAGGACTGGCTGCGTAGAAATCTGTAAAATGTCCAAAATTATTGTGTAATTTCATACGACGCATATCATCGATGATGTGGAGTTAGCCCCAAAGGAAAAAGTGGACAGAGAAGGCTGGTCCATCAGACGAACATTACCTTGTAACTCTGATAATACTCATGACGAAAAGACGACGATTTCTCTTCACGTGTTGTGGTTGCTCGATCTAAACTGCCCAGGTTTGTTTACATGTCTGGCGACGCCACGCGATTGCAACACCGCCATTTTGTCTTCCTTCGTCCTCCAAATGACCCCCCTGACGTCATGGGTCAAACGTCACAAAAAGTGACCTGAGCGTCATGCGTCAGTCATCATGAAACGACCATCATGAAAAGCCTGTCCATTGAGGTAGAAGGTGTCTGAATTGAAATGCCAGAATAATCGACGCCTCGATTGTGGGCATCAAGGGAAGAAGAAGAAGTCTGTGTTTCCGCATATTTGTGGTCAGCATACCTTTCACGAAGGCCTGGATCGATTGTGATATTTGGTATGTGGGTAGGTCTTAGGAAAATCAAGGACATTAACGGATAACATTACATGTAACCGTTAACGTTATATGGAACTTGGGAAGATGAAGGTCACATTATGTCAATAATTTATGGGCCTCCAGGCGGTTGACCTTGGATCCATGGTAAGGTTGAAGGGTAAAGAGCCAGAGAGACGGAACATCAGACCCAATTGAAAGTCAACTTTATTTGAATGACAAACATTTGCGTTAATACTGGTTTTGTCCAACCAACGATGCTCATCTATTGCGTGTGCTGATGATATGGAAATACTTACATGTAAATCAAAGAATGAAATTCAAGTGCTTTCATTAGGTAACTATAATTCCATTATTACTCAAACTGTTTCCATTATGCCCACCTGCAAAAAAAAAACAAGATGCCCTTCCCAACAGCAACGAATTTAGAAACATTTAACTACATGTTATATGTAAAATCATTTGTGGACATCATAATAGTATGCAATTTAAATGTAAACATGTAATATCAAGACATTCTGAGATATGGACTGGATTTCATTTCCATCGTGTCTAGACCTATCACAGCCATCAGTTACAATATGTTTTGGAAGGAGCTGTGTTATGTAGAGAGGCTGCTAAGTCAATGTTAAATTTTGTCCTGTTTCTGTGATTCATGATCAAAACAAACAAACAATAAAGTTTCGTAACTTAGACCTTATAATCCTGTCTAGCCCTGGGTGTGTTCTGGATCTCCTAGTACCATAATTTCTTTATATGCTATTATTAGTCTGGAGTTGCAGTTGCATTTGCACATAAGTGGATGTATTGCTGATAAATGTCATAAATGTAACAATAAATATTGCAAATTTGCAATAAATATTTCACTGTGCTTTCAAATCAAGGGCTGCAGACTCATGGCAAGAAAACTTAAGAGAATTACTCCAAATATTTAAAGAAAGAACTTCAACATGGAGAATGTGGTATCTGAAGTACATGTACTTGTAAATTACCGTTTGCCCTTTATTTTATTTTGCATTGATGCCATCTAAAAAGTACCTGGCTGCTGGGCATATTGCTGAATTATAAACTAGGTAAGCTGGTTCACTTTGGTACAGGGACCAAGGCATAGGCAGAAGGTCCATAAGCAACTAGTCCAGCTGTAGTTGTAAAGCCACCATAATCCGCTTGAATCTGAGGGAACTCTTGTTTGGGTACTTCTTTGTCTGCATAGACAGCCATGGAGCCATCCAGGGACAGCAGTGCCACTGCCGGGTACACAGGCTTCAGGAACTTGGTGTGGAAAGTGTAGATGTGCTCCTCTTTCTCCACGTCCAGGAATGAGAGCAGGCCCTTGTCGTAGTCCAGGAACACCCCCAGGACGTTGGGGCTACACTGCGGGACGTTGTGCTTCACATCCCCAGTTATGGCAGAGCTGATGCACCCGCTCCTGTGGAAGACCCATGAACTTTCGCTCCCGCCAATCAACTTGGCCCTGGGTGAGTCAAAGTACGCCACGCCCACACGATAGGAGGCACAATCTCTGACATCACATTCCCAGTAGTGCTGCCCACAGCGGATGGATATGTTGCCCAGGGCTGCAGTGCTCAGGCCAGTGAAGCGGTCTTTGTGGCTGGTGATTGATCTCCTGCCGTTGACATCACACCTGATGGACATGTTCCCGTTGCTGAGGAGGAGCAGCCTGTGTGCACTGTCTGGGTCCAGCTGGAACCTTAGACCTGAGGAATAGGTACAACATTTACGGTTAGGGTCACAATATCACATATGGTCCTTTTTTCAAGGATAAACCAATTAAATTGTGCTTTCAAGCAAATCTTGTTTACCCAAGGACAATTTCCTTGGTTTACCACAGCATTCCATACCTCCAAGTAGCTACCATCTCTTCATTCTCAATCCAACTTTTACTTCGACTCAGAGAGCCTGGTAGACTTAGATTTGTGTGCAATATGGGCTTTCCATAATCTAATGCTAACCATATCCTCAAAAGCATCAATTACATTAAAATGTTGAGGTGCAGAATAAAAGAACAGCATTCAGAAGAGACAGTTTATCTACATCAGAGCTGAAAAAAGCCTTGGCATGAGTGTGAAGCAGTTCTACCTTTGTGAGTTTTAACATTAATGAGCTGACTTCTCTCCGTGCAGCCAGCCTGGCTGATGCCCCTGACAAACATGGTGTACTCGGTGTTAGGCTGTAGCCCATACACAGTGTGGTGGTCCTCTGTGATCCCATCATTAGTCTTCCACTGTGAAGTGGACTGACTTGATGGCATTCCTCCCGCAGTTAGACCATAGCCATCATCTTCAACACTGGCCTCACAATACAACACCTGTCATCAGAAAAGTAATATTAGATATATTGTTACTTGCACTTGTATCAGTAGAGTTGTAATATAAAAACTTCAAATGGCAGCTGCAAAGTCACAAGAATGCTTGGTACTAGTAATTCTCCTGTAATATTCAGCATTGTTTGAAAAAAAAACTTAATCTAAGACATGGAAGAACAGTTCATTTCTGTACTGTTTATCCCTTACCTGGTATGAGTCGATGAAGTCCCTCTCCTTATTCAGCCAGTGTAGAGTAAAGGAGACATTGGACACCTTGCAGTAGTTGGCCAAGATAACAGGAGCAGATGGCACTGTATAGTACAGAATGTCATTAATATCACCCATCCCTTTACTCATCAAATTACTGAAACAAAAGTTTAATTACTAAAACACATCAGCTTTGGATCTAAAAAACAATATTTCTAAAGCCAATCACATCTACATGTAATGTTACAATTTCCTGTGCCTTATAAGAGCACAATCATGTAGGCATGGCATAGCATGAAACCTGGAAACACTAAATGCATCTGAAAAATTAAAACATTATTCCCAAAACTCCTAAACAAGCACATGGCAGCTTGTCAGGTGAACTACAACACAAATCTGACCTTTCATGAAGTTCATCCCCTTGAGCAGCTCTCCCAGCTCCCTCATGTCCACCACTGTGTGCATGAACTGTGCCGCACCAACACGCTGGCCAGGCAGAGGGGTCATCGCCTTCTGGATTCTACACACAAACACAACAACAGAGATGTACAATTAATGGAAAGTAGAACACTATTTAATTAAGATACGTCATACTAGTGAAAATTGGAAGTGTTTGAATTCTGGGTTTCCTGGAACATTTGCAACAATTGTAGTGCACACATTTTAAGACCTGTGATAGTCAGGGGGAAGCAATAGACCATAAAGTAGATACAACTTCTAAGTATCTACCATAAAGTAGTAACAGTATCAATAGTTTGTCTCTTGTTGACATTTTACCAAAATACAGCTATACTGATGTAAATCAAATAGTTAAGCTCACCTTTCATTGATCTCTGCAGCACTCTGTAGATGACAGAAAAAAAATCATTATTCACTATCCATACTCTTAATATATGAATTCAAGCATTTTTGAGAGTGTGGATGCTGTCATGGCAAGGGTCAATACTGCAGACAATTACCATAAGAAATGCACTACACTCCTTTTCCTTGATCAGCTCCCTGGCAAAGAACAGCGACCTCTTGGCTTGTTCCACCATGGCCAGAGCATCGTCCACCTGTTCCTCCATAGCCTGGACCTTCATCTCTCTCTCCGTGTCAATCTTCTCCCCAAGAGTCACCTTCTTCTCCTCCAGGACTCTGATGAGCTCATCAACGTCCATGTACAGCCGCTGTTTGTAACGGTGGCCAGTACTCTGGTGGTGCAGAAAAAGGGTATGCTTACAAGGAGCGCATGTAACCTATTTTGGTTTATGCACCGAGTTCTGTCAAGTAACACAAGAAAAGGGCAACTAGAATAGACAAGATAGTGATAAGATGATAAGAACCTCAATGTCTTGACACTGGGTCCTGAGGGAAGAAACCTGGTCAATCATTCCTTCAGTTCTCTTCTCCAGGGCATCGACATTGAGTATCAGCTTCTCCTGCAACAGGAATACAAGTGTCAGCTTTCTAACCTTTATAGTCTTTATCCCAATCTAGAAAACGATGAAAATTGCATGTTGACAGCAAAGAAATGTGAGGCAGTTTCTTACTCTGAGTTCTTTGAACATTTCATCAACAGCTGCCAGTTCATGGTCCTTGTGCTTCCCCACTAGTCTACAGATTGTGCAGACCAGCTTGTTGCATTCCCGACAGTACAGATTCACCTGAAATTGAAAGGTATACAAATGATATTACAAAACCGTAAGTTTAGAACTGGAATGATTACTACATGTAATTGTAACTCTGAAAGTTAACAATTACAGTACAAGTTGATTAGTAAACAATGATTTGATTTGTACACATGATTATTACCTTCTCATCCCTGTGTTCACTGCATAGAATCTCTTCCTTGTCTTTCGTGTCGGAATGTTTGTGTGGAATGACACCTGTTGGAGCGACGAGAACATGCTTGGCAAAGATCTTGGGGTGGCTGTGGTGAGCTTCCAGGCACTCGGGGCAGAAGGACACCTCACAGGTTTTGCATGTCTTAATGGCTGGCTTAGGGTTGTCCTCACATGAGTCACAAACAACCTGGCTGTCTGGTTCACTGCCAAAGCTGCCCACTGTCCGACGTGCTTCAGACGTTGCTTGCTTGTACCTATATGATGAAAAGTGTTAACTTGTTTAACATATCCCAATATATTGATTTCCTTAAGATCTGCACTGTTAAAACGTTTTTGAGGCATACGTGGACATCTGGATGACCTTTGAGGTGGTTCAACACAAAGGACTGTACATTCTCAACACAACAGTCAGATACTTGTCACATTTGTTCTCAAGGTCTCATGTGTTGCCTAAGGCTCAACACAAGACTACACCTGTGTTAGAAAAGTCAGACTGACTGCTATGAGAGTCTCTGTGTCTCATGCAAACATAGGACAGTTTTTCAATAGTTGATTTTGAAAAAGTCATGAAATCTTGTTTTTATTCTCTTTCCTAGATTGTTGACACAATAATGAGCACATTTCCTCATACTGTTACAGAGAGTACAATGTATTAGCTCAACTTGACTTCTCATCCTCTGCTATTACCTGTCAACAATACTCTGTAAGGTGGCATTTTTCCTGAGTCCATCCAATCCTTTGTCCCCCAGCACGATCCTCTCACGACATGTGGGACAGCAGAACCCCCTGCCAGTCTCATCCAGGTCCTCCACCTCAGGTTCAGGTTCACCCTTTCCGCTGGCACTGTTCTTGTAATACTGGTCTGGAGGGGATGCTAAAATGTCTTCTGCACACCTAGAATAGAGAGTAAACTTGACGTTCACTTCCATGAACATGAATAAAACATTGCCATTTTTATTTGATGTGCTACCAGTTGTTCTAACTGACAGTTGACCAGGGTGCACACATGATGGATTGCCAGAAAACACTGGTCAAGCAAGTTCTGTCACAAATCAGCACAGGCATTTCACATGCAGGGGCACAAAGGGGCTGTTGTATAGATGTCAATACCATCTATATCATACTGTACCATGAAAACAGTATTTTGATAAAGAAACTTTGAAACTAACAGGACACAACTGATACTTTAGAATTTTCACTTGTTACAAGGACTATGGATATATCACGATAAACTATTCTGCTATTACACCTTCAAAGGTCTGCAAAACAAACCAAAACATCACTTTTTTGTACTCTTTCAATTTCATACAGCAAAAGATTAGTTTTGCACACTTCAAGCAATAAATCTACATGACATGCCACTTTTTCAGGGTGAAGAGAGGACTAGTCCTCTTCACCCAGATATATGTCAAGTCAAGTGAAATACCCTTACCCCCTGCAGAGGTTGTGTGCACAAGGCAGTAACAGGGGGTATGTGAACAACTCCAGACACACAGGACAGCACATCTCATTTCCCAGGGCCTCCATCCTCACTTCAGGTGCAGCACCTGGACATGAATGACAAATAAATGTCTGATCATCACAGAAGTGGTTGAACTTGAAGATTTTTGCACTGCATGTCTGGATACAAAGCAGGTTACAAAGCTACAGAACAAGAATTCTTAGAGAGGGAGTCGCTGGAAAAGAAAAACGTTGCACTTGAATGATGACGGCAAAAAAATAATGTGGAACAAGCAGAATACAAGATTAAAAGAAAAATGACTGTGCCAAAATATATATACCCTCCAAATCATTTCTTGCTGTTCCTCATCAGTTTCTGTCATTTGGTTTGGTCTTGTTTTAGAACCTGGTTCTGTAAACCTTCCAGATCTGTTTCATTTATGGTTTCCTCCCACTGTCTGTACATCTGCTGGAGGATTAGCTATCAAAACAAACCTATGTACACACCGAGACTGAATAAACTGTCACACATCATTAGCGCATTAGCACCTCCCTGTGGGATAGTTGTAAGGGTTCTTCTCTCTATGGTGATTGATGGGTCTGATCCCTCCAAGCAGAGGTCGATTATAAGAAGAATATAACCTTCTTGCTATATGCCCTGTTTTCTAATACATGTAGACAGCTCAGGGCTAGGGTCTAGACACACATTGCATTTCCTTTCAAAGAAAATGATAGGGGGAGAGGAAATATTTAGGGAAGAGAGAGAATTTGACTGGTGTCGGTGGCGGACCGCGATCGCGGAATCAAGAACACTGGCTGTCTTGGCCAGACCATTCCCCACACCTCGTGTGAAAACTTTCACAGTTTTGACAACCCGCTGGCTCTTCCAGTCTACAAAAAGGGAGAAACTTCTCCCAAAGACTGATTCTGGAGATTTCCGGTCGAAACACCAACGAGTTCCTTTTGTCTGGTTGTCGTCCCAAATGGGGAGGGGGTGCACAGTCATGCACAACAATGACACGTTGGTCGGTAGAATCGTAGTACATGCATGACGTTATCCATCGCATCTCCAGAATATATGGCGTTCTCATTTAGGACGCTAGGCGGCAGCACTTTACAGTCAAGATTAGAAGAAAGAATACCCAGAATGCCCCATTCAGCCTCGGTTTCGTTCTCTCTCATTGTTGCTCGCTAAGGCGGTAGGTACAATTTTTCGCTCTTGAAATTTTCTTGCTTTTTCTTGAGCATTTTTGCCTTTCTGGTGAGAGTTCTTAGACATGACTACTCCAGTCACGTCTGTGGTTTCCACCACTGCGGCTGTGTCGCAAACAACCGCTAGTTTGGTGGATATGTCGAAATATGTAGCGTCGACCTCGGTCGCGGCGCTCTCGCCCTTGGGCGAACAACAACAACATGGCGGGTTTCTTGGTGCCACTCTTGTGCCGCCAAGGACTGAGCCAGGTGGCCAAGGGTCTCAACCTTTTGGCCAGAATTTTGTCATTGACGACGCAGCTTTGTTCCAACACATCAATAGCATGGTGTCACAAGCTGTAGCCCAGTCCCTACAGGCACAGGGCTTTGCCAGAGAACGAGTTTCTCAACCCATAGTTTCCGAGCAAGACTCGTTTTCCACCAGCGAGGACTCTGATCATGGCCGACGTTCTCGCTCTAAACATAGGTTTATACGGACCTATGCAGACCGTTTTCGGGAACGTTCCCGTCCACCCTTTAAGGCTATAAGGAGGAAGAAGGCGATCCCGGCTGCCAGCCAAGCTGCCGGCCGGGGTCGGAAAGCCAACCAGCAGCCCACTGCCAGTCTATCTGCCAGTCCGGGCACATCCTCCAGACTGGAATCCCATAATGATGATTCCTTAAGCATACATCCAGCCTCTGGTTCTGAGAGCCTGGATGAGAATGATAATGTAAGTCTCCCAGCGGAGACTTCTCTTCTATGTCCCAACCCTACTTTGGATCAGCCTGCATTTTTGCAGGATTTCCGATCTTGCGAGGCAGGGGTTCGCATTTCCCAACCAGTTTTTAACTGGTTCAAAAGGCAGAGATGCCAGACTTGGAGGGACAAGGAGTTTATGGAGGCAGAGAAGCCACACAAGTTGGATGCTGAGCAACTCGAAGTAGTTGCAGCTCCAAGGCTACAGCCTTCACTGAGAGACAAGTGGAAAACTGTCAAACACAACGGCAAATTCAAAGTCCAAGTCCAAGCTGTGAAGCTGGACGACACAATTTGCGGGATACAAGAGCATGTGTTAAAGGCTGCTCAGCCCATGTTGAAATCACTGGATGATTTGCAACAGCTCACGGTATCCGAGGACTCAGAGACACGTGAAAAGGCGCTAAGCATAGCAACCAACCTCAACGCGACAGGGCAGTTGTTGGGAATGGTTTGTAACCAAGTCACCTCCTTCAGGAGACGACTGATCCACGAGTGGGTGGACTCGCGCTACAAGTGTCTTGTGGATGATAAGGCTCAGTCGGAAGATGATCGCCTGACCATCCCATCCTGTAAGTGGTTATTGGGACAGGATATCATCCAGAAAATAGAGGAAATTGAGAAGGCAGATAAAACTGTCAACAAGCTCAACGTTACTGGCTCAGCCACTAACACCAAGGGCTACAGATACCAGCAATCCTCCGGGAACGCTGGGGGACGGTACAAGAAGGGACCTGGCCCTTACAAAGGGAAGGTCGGTAAACAGGACTCCTTTCGTCCATACCAACAGTACCGTGGCCTTCAAGTGCAAACCTCTGGGAAAGGTGACCGTAAGGTCACAAAGCCTGCCACAAAAAACTAATTTGTCCTTTGTTGGCCCCCGGGTCACTTCCGCGGTCGCCCCCTCGCTGGGGCCTTCGGAACAGGTTTGCCGGACGCCTGCGGTTTTTTCTACCACAGTGGCAGTCCATCACAACAGACCCATGGCACAAAGACTATTCAGGGTCTAAGGCTCCATCTGAAGGGGCGACCGCGGCAGCGTTTCCCTCCGAAAGAACATGTTCGTTCACCGGAGGAGTCTCAGATAATTTTTCAGGAGCTCCAATCCCTACTGGAGAAAGGAGCTGTGATTCCGACTCCCTCGGTAGAGGGAGAGTTTCTATCACATCTGTTTGGTTCCCAAGAAAACTGGCGCTTGGCGCCCAGTAGTAAATCTTCGACCCTAAACCAGTATGTAGACGCTCCACACTTCAAAATGGAGGGCCTACAGGATCTAAAATCGCTGTTGATCGAAAGCGATTACATGGCGTCCATAGATATTCGGGACGCTTATTTTCACATACCAGTTCACGAGTCTTTCAGAAGACTTGCGCTTCCGCTGGAAGGGTCAGATTTGGGAGTTTTCAGGTTCTCCCCTTTTGCCTGAACTGCGCGTCCTCGGGTTTTTTTACCAAGGTTACCAAACCCATCTTGGCTAAGGTCCAAGGGGATAAGAATTGTCATCTATCTGGACGACATACTGGTCCTAGGCAGGACTTTTGCGCAGTGCAAGGAGAACGTAGATTTTGTGGTAAGTCTCCTGCAATCTCTGGGTTTCCTCATCAATTGGGAAAAATCCCAGCTGGTTCCTGTCCAGGAGATCGTTTTTCCTGGGGATGGTGATAATTCCATTCATCTAATCTTGTCACTCCCAGAGGACAAGGTGATAAATATACGTCAAACTTGCACATGCTTGCTGACGTTGCAGCAAGTGTCACTCCGACAACTGGCGAAGTTGCTCGGACAAATGACAGCAACGGTGCAGGCAGTTTTACCTGCACCCGTTTATTACAGAAGTTTGCAACTTTATCTGAACAACGCCCTGTTCAGGGGTCAGGGATGGGACAGCCTACTCCATCTGACCCAAGGTACCCTTTCAGAACTCACCACTTGGGTGGAGTGTCTGGAAAGTTGGAACGGGGAGTCGTTCCTTCCTCCACCAAGGCAGACATGCCTGACCATAACATCAGATGCATCCCTAGCGGGATGGGGAGACACCTGTGGCCACCTAAAGGCAGGCGGCCGCTGGACGGACGAAGAGAGCAAGCTCCACATCAACGAGCTGGAGCTGAAAGCAGCCCTTTTCGGTCTGAAATGTTTTGTAAAACATCTTCAGAATCAGCATGTAATAATCCTGAGGTTGGACAACACCTTCGCAGTAGCGTAAATCAACCACCAAGGGGGTTGCAGGTCTCTACCCCTGTGTACCACAGCGGTCGAGATTTGGAAGTGGGCCTTAGTCTGCAAGTTGCACCTGTCAGCGGAACATTTTCCAGGTGTTTTCAACACAGTGGCGGATGCAGAGTCCAGATCGTTCAACGATCACACCGAATAGACTCTGAGACCAGATCTGTTCAAGGCTGCTTGCCGACATCTGAAGTTTCGACCTCAGATCGACATGTTTGCGTCACGGCTGAACAAACAACTTCCTCTGCTCTGCTCCCGCCGAGCAGATCCAGAGGCTTGGAGGGTGGATGCTCTGTCTCTACCCTGGCACAACATCAAGTTGTATGTTTTTCCTCCAGTGTGTCTATTGGAGCGCATTCTGGTAAAATCAAAAGGGAACAGACTGAGGCGTTGGTTATCGCCCTGTTTTTGGCCCTTCCAGGCATGGTTTCCGCTCCTCCGGGAGCTAGCAGTAGCACGACCCTTTCTTCTTCCCAGTGGAGAAGTCAGTACTGAGTCTACCAGGTCAAGGGGACTGTCATCCCCTGTGGAGATGCCTCCGCTTAGCCGCTTGGCTTGTGTCAGGCAGGCCTTGACGGGTGCAGGTTTGTCTGCGGATGCTGCGTAGTTGGCGTTTGCCGCCACTAGGGCATCAACCAATAAACAATATCAGAGTGCCTGAAAAATTTTCGTATCCTGGTGTAGAGACAGGAGTCTGGACCCCTTATCTGCCCCAGTGCCCAAAGTGGTTAACTTTCTGCATGATTTATTCCGGAAAGGTTTGGCCTATAAATCAATAAACATTTATAGGTCTGCAATATCCTCAACCAGAGAGGCGGTTGACGGTGTTAAAATAGGACAACATTGGATGGTTTGTCGCTTTATGGCAGGTGTCTTCAATAGACGTCCCCCACGTCCCAGGTACTTGGTGACATGGGATGTTAACAAGGTGTTGACATACCTTGAGAGTTTCGCTCCCTCACGGTCTCTAGCCATCAGGGATTTGACCCTGAAAGTTACCGCCTTGATGGCGCTAACCTGTACTGATAGGTGTGGTACACTAGCCACACTGTCTACTGAGTTGATGAATATTTTTCATCTTCCAAAGTAACTTTTGTTCCCCCTCAGTTAACCAAAACTGATCGGCCAGCCCGACCTTTTCGGGAAATTGTCTTCAGGGCTTACCCTGAAAAGAAGAGTCTGTGTGTTGTAGACTGTATTCAGGCCTACCTTAACAGGACACAATATGTTAATCGGCCCAAGGAGTTCTTTCTGTCCTTTAGGACTGAAAAAGCTGTAGGATCAGCCACCCTTGGTAGGTGGTTGAAGTTGGTAATGAAGGAGGCTGGTATAGACACAAGTATCTTTAAGCCTCATTCTCACAGAGGTGCTGACACCTCTGCTGCCCTTGGTAAGGGAATGTCTTTAACAGAGGTCATCCGCTCAGCAGATTGGTCCTCTGCAGTAACCTTTGAAACGTTTTATCATCGTCCAGTAGAGGACTCTGATATTGCTAGGGCAATACTATCCTCCATGGGACGGTAGTATGGCTCTGAAGGAGAATACCCCAAATTGTTTTTCCTGTGCTGTAAAGTTGGCGGACCTGGACTTGTGCCAGGGGACCGGAATCTATGCCTTTGGTGTATTGGGGAAGCAGGGATTCCTGTAGTGTCAACTCCAGGATCTTTTCCCTATTAGGTGAGACTTTACTACCTCATCTCACATCTTTAAAGTCGCCATATATTCTGGAGATGCGATGGATAATTGATAGTTATCTACTTACCTTTCAGATAACTACAGTAATCCGAGCATCGTAAGAATATATGTCCCACCCCAGTTCTTTCCCATCCCAGTGTTCGCTGAGGTTAACCTTAGCTCGCTACACATGAGAGAGAACGAAACCGAGGCTGAATGGGGCATTCTGGGTATTCTTTCTTCTAATCTTGACTGTAAAGTGCTGCCGCCTAGCGTCCTAAATGAGAACGCCATATATTCTTACGATGCTCGGATAACTGTAGTTATCTGAAAGGTAAGTAGATAACTATCAATTACACTTCATCATGTTGGTACATTTGTTCTGGGGTTTATCATTAAGTAATGAATACGAAATTGTTGTGGGACCACAGCTACGCTCAGGGGGTAGAAAAATGTCAGAAATTTCGAGCAACACAAGGTGTGTCGCCAAGGCCGTCCCGAAAAAAATCGGTCGATCTACACTGTCTAACGCGACTTTGCGATAAAACATTCAAATTGTCTTGTACCTTCAGCCCGGATAAAGCCAAGCTTACTAAGTATTCTGTCGTTACCTCAATACAAACGAAGTCTTCTGACGGTTGACAGTCAGTCAGTTGTCCGTGAGCGGAGGTCGTTACTGGTATTTTGAAGTTGTCTAACTCTGGCAGTCTGGGCGTCCCGGGACAGGGGCCGGGCCCGGCTAGCCGTCATGGTTCATCTCACACGATGTGGAAAGACCCGTTCTCGTCTCTTCTGAATACCAAATAGTCTCCTATAACGTCATGTTTGCCATGGTGAATACTGATGTAGTAGAAGAAAATTCTAGAAATTTTGGGGGACAGGATAACTTGGAATTGTCTAATTTCTTTCCAGAACATCACCCCATATCGAAATTATGTAGAAACAAATTAATGCCATAATAGTATTTCTTTTTATCTGAATTACATTGCACTTTAGTTAGTATGCATAAAGCAAAATAACCAAATGGGGTGTATCAACATGACTCATTTCACACCTATTTTTAGAATTCCGTACATAACCAAAGGCTAAGGAAAGGACCAACAAGAGTTCCACAATTTCAAACCTTTGTCAAATGTTTTTTTTTCATGAACAATTGAACTTTCAGCCCTACTTTGCATAATAAAAGTATTAAAAAGTCTAATTATTTTACAGATGGCCATCATGGCATTTCTTCATATTGTATATATATATATATATATGAATCATTAAGAGTTCAAAAAGTCTCATTAAACTGAACTCATCACCATACCATAAAGAGGTATTTTTAGGCAACTAAGTTAAATTTTTTTGGTGCTATCATTACTGAATTACCCCTGGTGAGTACTCATTGTTTAGAAATGGAAGAAGTTTCCTATGATAATATACCATCTCAGAGAGGATGTCCTGTGCACAAAATACTAGTGTTGAAGATTTGATGTCCTCATGAAATGCACCCCTTATATACAAACACAAAATGTATTAGTTGTATAGATAAAAAGTTAATAAATATGATCACAAGTAAACTGACATATTATGATAATCTCACCCAAGACAAGTGCAGAGACTTTCAATTTATTCATGTCCTGGCTCCATATCCACTATGTGGCACATCATTCATAGTTAGAGCTGTGTACCGGTACGCAGTACCGATACTGTACCGGAAAAATTGATTAGGTACAGGTCCAAAATACCTAAGTACCCCTCAGTACCGGTACTGTACCTAAACAATTTCACACCAATTTTATGCCTATTTGTGACCTCAAATGTGTAAATAGCTGGTTAACAATGGGTCCCTGTGTAAGGACAGTGTGTTCATGAAAACAAAAACACCTATATTTTATCTGAGCATTCGCCATAAACAAAGAATAAACCTTAACTATCAAGTTTATTTATGTTTTTTTTTGTTATTGAAGGAGTTCAGAAGAGCATATAAATTGGTCGAATTGTTCAGGTACAGGTTCAGGTCCGGACCTGTACCTAAACCTGTGTACCTGTACCTGTACCTGTACCTAAAATTTGTTTAGGTACACAGCTCTATTCATAGTTGCTTACATAAACATTTAAAGTAAAAAATGTTTCCTGACTGTATTTTTAGTATCATATTGTTTATAATGTAGTTCCTGCTCCCTATCTAGAATAGCATACATTTTAGACTTTCCATCCACGTAACACATTTGATGTGCAGCATACAAATCTATATGTATTTCTGTAGGAAATGACAGGTTATATGCAGCATAGTATCTAAAAATGATGTGAATAGATGTTCAGTGAATCTTAGAATGACAACATTTTCTAAAGCACAAGTACCACAGTTGGCAAGTGCATCCAGCGATATATGGACTTCGATATGAAAGCACAACCAGCATCATAATTTATCTCTGGCTGTCAAGGGAAGCTGCAAATCCACATAAGGCAACAGGCTTATCTACTTATACCTTTAGCACAGGGTTTATTGGAAAACCACCAAATCTCTTCCTGGCAACAATACAAGCAGCCTCAGGCCACATCGCAAAAATTAACAGTTGCACACAAGATGCATAGAACATGTGTACATGTATGTCCATAAGACAGTGGTAACTGTTATGCATCTTTTCAAAGGTATTGCATGAATTGCATATACAATACTGTTGTACATTGATTTAGATGTACTGATACATCCGTTGCTGCTCTGTCAGTACTACACCTGTTTTGATATGAAGACTCTTCTGCGTTGCCTGACTTTTAAACATGTCCATGATAGCAGAAGAAGAACTGATACAATATAAAGTATGATGACAGAACTCTCCTTTGGTAGGAAGCATTTAGACAGGGTATAACCAGTTGGATGGATCGAGGCCTGCAAAACATAAGAAAATAATTAATGCACATTCACATTATACATATTAAACAATATCAATTTAACATATCAGTTCAGGTTTTCCTTTTTCAAACAGGAAATACAATTTGTATATCATTACAATATATGATAAAGTTGTTGTAATGATGTCATACTTATACTGTCACTGACCATTATGTTTTATGTCAAGCCTTGACAAAGGTTTCTTTTTCTAGCTATATGTATGACAGGTCTAGCCTGGGTACTATCCGAATTTTTGCTCTGCAACTCATGATTTTTTTAGCGAAAATTCGGATGGTACCCAGGCTATGACAGGTCTGTTTCATAAGAAAATCTTATAACCATCAAGACTTTTTTTAGCTTGGATGGTCTTAACTTAAGGTCTGATATATAATGTATGTGGGTCATTCAGCTGGCATCTAGGCTTGAAAATCCCTCAGACTGACCGTACCCACCATGAGGAAACTGGGGTTATTTCTGTTCCTCCAGCTGAAGGAGGGCAGGGTGTGCTCCAGGGTCCCATCAGGGTGGTGGACCACACAGCCATGGTGGGTGTGGGCAGTCAGGACAAGTCTGGGCTGCAACCACCACAACAGCTGCAGCAAAGGCAGACAAAATCATCACAGGGATGTTTCAGCTACAACAACCTTGTTTTAGCAACAGATACATTGTCAGTATTCTTATCCAATCTACATGTATTGTTCCTACAAAGTCTATCTATTAGTGATCATCCAAGTCACTTGAAGCAAATGGTCACAGTAGACAGGTGGCCGCTACAATCTAGTACAGGTTTAACTGTACTTAAGGAATAGATCATACATCTAGATACATGTACATATACAAATTGTTCTTGCCTTTTGAGATGCAGATTTTGATGCCACGTCATATCGAACCTTGAGTGTAGTGAACTTCTCACCATCTGGTGCAGAGTCAGGACCAGTGCAGTTGGCATCTGACTTTCTGTACAGCGGGTAGTGCTGAAATAGACCCCAAAAAGTGAACAATACTTCAATGGAGACAAATATATATGAAGTACAAGTATATGATCAGGCTACTAAAGAACTGAGGTGGAGTAAACTGATATGCAGGTCTTCCTCAAGAAATTAAACTGTATAGACTGTATAGAAAAAATCTGAATTGAGAGCTCAAAAGCCATACCATTAGCAAAATAGGGGCAGTGTTTGGTAGCTTCTGAGAATTCTTACACTGCCTTTCCCCTTCATTCTCCTCACCAACCAGTCCCTGTGCCATAAAAACATTAGAATAACATAATTAGTAAATACCCTCAGGAACTGACAGAATTATATTGTAGTAAGACCAACAGTGTAAAGTGGGTGTCAAAAGTCCATAAATATTTTATCTGTTGTTTTTTAGACTATCAATCAAAGATGACTAAGTAATGGTGTGCCCTATTTCAGAGATACAGAAGAGTATTTTTCTTACCCGAGAACAGTTGAGGGAAAAAGATACGTCCTTGAGCTGGGCCTCTGCTTCAGCACACATGAAACAACCATCCTCATCTAGTGCCACACTGTTCACCAACAGGAAGCTAGAAAATAGAAAGTATCAATAAATAAAACATCATCTGGATCAGCAAATGTATTTAGTTTGTTGATAATGTCTTGATTTGCTCTGTAGGAATGTCTTGTCTCAAATCTGTTTATACATGTACAATTATTTCTTTCTTTCAAGCACTTTAGACTACATCTAATTACAGTTTGCCTAACTTTTCTACTAAATGCAAAGTTGATGGCCATGAATATATAATAATGGCATGATCCCCAACAAATAAGGAAGGGATACTTGATCACTAATCAAAAATGGAAATAGAGCAAAGATGGCAAGGAACGTGTCAGTACAACTCACATGTTTCCTTGTATGGTAACTATGGTGACAGCTGACAGGTTGAAAGCCTTTTCAAACCTGTACAGTTTTTGTTTTGTCACACTGTAATAGAAGTACATCAACATTCTTAACTTACTTATACTTAACCCACATATGTACATGACAGTTAACATCACCCTAACATTGCAAAACAGATTCTTCTACAGTCACAGCTACACTTTGCATGACAAGCCTACGTTGTGAGCCAAAAATATGATTGCCTGTGAATATTATGTGTAAAATGGTTTCTTTCCTTCAAACAGGTGAAATAATCTGCACAAATGGCTAAGAATTAATCCAAAAATATAAACTAAAGCAAAGATTCATACTTGTCTGATAATGCAAAAAGATTAGTACTAAACAAGCAATGGTGACTGATGGTCACAAGACTTTTACATACAAGTCATATTGAATAAGAGAAAATATCCTCACTCATAGTGGAAGCCTATGTCATGGTTTCCCACCACCACATGAAACTGGAGGTCTGCGTTGTGGCGGAACATACTTCTGGACCTGACTAGATATTCCTCCCAGAATTCCTTGTCGCTGCACCATTTCCCCTCGTCCAGCAGGTCCCCAAGCAGGAAGACGGCGTGAGGCTGGTGGACGGACACCGCTGTCTGGAATGACCGCTCCATCTGCCACTCCCTTGATTATAAAAGATATCAACATCAAAACATAAACACTGGCCTTGATGCATATCTGTGTAGCAATGTTTAGTGACATAAAGAAAGAAAGGAACAATGAATGAATAAAAGAAAAAAGTGTAAGTCCAAAAGCCTGTACATTCTCCGACTCCTTCATTGAACACATAATGTAGACTATTGTAACTGTCAAACACATAAATGTACATGCATGGTCATATGTTGTTATAGTCATTATATAGGATGAATCTCCACTTGTCCATCTCAATATAGGATGAATAGGCTGGTAGAAATACATGTCCTTATCTATCCACATGCAATGCAAAGTACTACTAGTAGTATATGATTACCACATCTCTCACCTTCTGAGTCGGTCAAACCAGTGCCCAAGCCTGCTCCCCAGGAGGTGGGTGTCGGCCAGAAACAGCACCCTGATTGGTTGGTGTGGGCTGGGGATCATGTTCCCTCCTTTCTGAGGTCCAACAGTAGCAGATCCTTCAAGTTCAAGATGTGGCCAGGAACACTGCCATATGGCTATGTAGTAGACGACATATTCGCTGTACAGGAACACAGTTCCCAGACCCACACACAGGACAGCCAGCTGTCTCCTGGTCAGCATCATCCACCTGACCCGTTGCCACGCCAACATCAGCTGCTGTCATCAGGAGCAGTTGCCATGACTACATCAACATAGCAATGGCTAGATAGAACAAATCTGTTGTCGAAAAGAAACAATTAAGGAGTTTTATCCTTATAAACATTTTTTTTTCATTCTCGATCAAGGACATAAAATAGGTCTAGTCCATTTTTCATAAAAATCACATTCCTGCCAAGGACATTGAATGTTTGATTAGATTACTAGTTGTTCCACCAAGGTTCCACAAGGTGCCTCAATCACAGTCTCAGGTCAACAAGGTCCTATGCTGGTTTGGAAACGTCAACACATGGAAGATCGATGAGGGAAATTTCCATACACTTAAATGCAATACACCCCAACATCAATCTCCAATTTAGCGATGTTCTTGCAAAAGAGATGACAAAACTGTAAAACATGTTACCCGATCGCCTCTAACAGCTGACAGATGGGTGAAAGGTCAGACTTTGTGGAGGATCATGGGATGGAATAGTCCACTTTATTTAGGTGCTATCTGCAATAATCGTCGTTAAAGTTATAACATTGTCCCGTACAAATATTACATCTGCACCCTAAGATATGTTGTTATATATTGTTATGTATATGAAATGCCAATAAAAGCTTAAACTTGGAAGAAAAAGCTAATGTACTACGATATTTGCCGTAACTCCCCTACTTTGGAAGGTACCACTAAGGGGGTGTGTTTTTAATCTTTCAGTTTCCCAGTCCCTTGGGGAGTTCGGCCAGGCATGAGGGAGGGAGATCTGACGTCTACTTCCTATAGCCTCTGCTTCCAACCCTACTCCGTAGAGCAGGAAGATCTCTAGAGCTGTGCCGCCAGGAAGACGATGTTAGGATCTGAGCAGGAAGAGTGTGGTGCTGGGCTGCTGTGATTTCGGTGAGGATTGGAGCCATTTTTCCTGCGATAAAACCAATGGGGGTCATATCGATGTCGTGTCATGGGAAATTATCCAGATGTGCGTATGTTGATGCTCCAGGAGCTGAGTTCAAAACAACATGGGGGTTCACCATTTTGAAGTTTGCTAGTTTTGGCTTTTCCCACCCTGCTATTACCGTTTTATCAGATTCAGATAGATTTTATACAAAACCATTTAACAGGTTGTAATAATTGTTTACCTAGATGTTTTGAACATATGATGTTCAATTTAGTATAAACTAAATTAAATTTTTCCTGATCCCCCTGTCTTTGGCTGCCCGGTCAAAGAGCCTGGGGGTTCCTCATATCTGTTTGTTTTCGAATTATCTTCTGCTATTGTTCTAACTAGGCTCCTAGTTATTTCCATGTATGTATCACGAAGTGACTGTCAATCATTTCATATTGTGAGGTTACATCTTGGCCTACATCTTTGCCATATTTGACAACGTTAACCATTTTGGAACATGATTCCATGTTTTAGAATTTTATGATTTTATGCTTAATTTCTGCCTATTGTATTGTATCCAGTCGAAACTATCAATTTTATATCTCACATTACAGTGGACAATGTTTTCACATCCTGGTGCAGATAGCATTTTTGTCCCGTGACACAGCTATGACAGTTATGTCAACATAACTCCCATTTGGCCCTCCTCGTTTTTTCCTGGTTTTCCCAGCTTACTTCCTTGTTTTATGTCATTGTCTGACTTCTGAAAGTAGCGCTACAGCTGATGTCTGATTGACTCAACAGACTTCCTCTAACAGGTCACAATATTTTTGGCAAGTGGGTATGTAAAAAACGAGACATAATCTAATGTCTCTTGTAATTGTATCATGTAGAATGCATAGAAAGGTTACGCTGATATGTTGCTATTTCAGAGAACATGATAAGATAACTAGATGGCATATTTCTGTTCATCACATTGTGGCCCCGTTCATACGACACTTTTAAAAACCTTTTTAAAAACTTTTAGGGGTTTAAATCAGATTTTCAAAAATCACCTTAATATATTTATTATAAGGAGGTTTGGCAAGGATTTTTGAGGGGTTCTCCCGCCGAAAAACCTGGCCATGGTATGAAGGGGGTCTATGAAGATCTTATTTGCCGAATGGACATGTTTGCAGCTGTGTCCAATTAAACAGTGGTCAAATTTTGAAACAGATACTAACTAGTCCAACATGGTCTAATGAGATTGCAAGCCTTCATACTCTTCACACTGAACTGCAGACTGCAGTGTAATTTCCTTGAAGAATGTACTAGAACATCTTCAACCTCAAGATTTTGTATTCATTTTTTCCCATTGAAATAATGAATAGCCTATGTGATCAATATCCTTGTTAGATTTCCTTCGCAGAAAATTAACCAGGTTGGCAGCCACGTTGTATATAATCAATGCAACCCTATCAGAAATCACCAATGAACTCAGTTCCATTTATCCCTGTCAACTGTTCTGAATGTAATATATCTGTAATATTAGAATAACTTGATTGCAAAAGTAGATTATATTTGATGCTATTGACGTATTGTGGAAGATGAATTTGGTCCAGTGTCACCATGACAATGGAATGGCATAGAAGTTGAAGATACATATTTTATGGATAGGTACCTACTATCTCTACCTGTCTCTGCAATACCCTTGATATCCATTATGTTGTCAGATGTGCATGCTGAGCATACTCAGTGATGCAAGTCTTCCCAGCCCCTGACCTTGTAAAGTGCATATTGTTTCTTAATGACCCTTTTAGATGTGAACTTTAGTGTTTAATGTTTGTAATGTGCCTGCAGTTGACGTGTGAACTATGGCTTGTGCGACACAGTAAGACATCACTGTGCACTAAGTAGTTTCTAAATGTCTGTCGCATATGGCTGTTTTCAAAATTTCAGTGAACACTGATGGGATGCAGCTAGACATGTTACCTGAAGAGTGTGATTAAGTATTGATAACACCATGTTGAAGATTCTTCTGTTTGCAAAACTAGTGAGTCCTTCTTGCATTGATAAGGACATTGACTTTAGTCGCCCTTTTTGTTTGCATCTCAGTATGTTGGTATATAGATACATTATACTGTATGCTTGTCATGACTCAGTCTGCTTAGTTGAACACACATATGCTGTGGGTCCCCTTGAGCAAAATTGAAGTAAATGGGTCTTTTTATGTCTGCTCGGCCATGAAAACCCATCAATTGGTGGTCCTCTGCCGAGAGGACAAAACCTATATGAAATATTATGTCATTTGGGAATCAACATGACGAAGTGACCTTTTAATGACATATTTGGATGCTGCCTCTGTGTTACAGGGTTTTTATTAGATTTTACTGATGGCTGTGAGCAGGAAAAACATAAAGATTCATAAAGGATGTTTTATATGGCTAGTTTTTATAGCATATGAGAAAGTAGAGATGGTCATGACAGGTGTGTGCCTGAGAGAATTTCTCCTGAAGTTTTAAATACTGCCATGGATGACTATAAAACATCTAGTCAAGTCTCAAGAGGGGAAAGTATGGGGTTGTGCCCTAACTTGTAACTGTGCGACTCATGTATATGTTAATCATCTTTTAACTATATTTGCTTATAAATATACTGCTCACCGTCTTGTCTATAGACCACATTTAGTCTGAATTTATACCCGAGGGTGCCCTAACAATTAACATGGCGCTCCATCACTAGTTTGCAGAGGCTTTGATGAGTAAATTTTGGAAACATTCATGTAGATAGTTGGATAAGAAATGCATTCATACTCCCCGTTGCAAGAGGCAAACGGTGTGCGAGACGTTTTTGTGAATTTACCACTGTGAATGTTTTACGCTAGACAGTGTGTCCTAACTTCGCACACTTTTGTAGTTTTGCTGTCTTCAGAACTTTAAACAGAACTAAGAACTTTCATTTGATGGCAAAATTGCGATTTTGTACACCTCTCATCTCACAAGAGGAGGGTAGTATCTAATGTAATCAGCCCATGTTTCCACTGGAAACCCGGTTTACGCAATCAACATTGCCCCATGGGAATCATGGGGAATTTCAGATGACAGTGGTGTTTTTTCGGGTCCGTTTTCTACTAAGCAAATACTGATCGAGAGACCCAAATCTTTACTGTTTTGTAAATATTTATGTTGTAGCAGTTGTATGACTGCTTGGTAAAGGACGTCTATTTCTGGGCATGAGCTGCTGCTACGAGCGCCATCATTATTATTGGTGAAAGTCTGTTTTTTGACAAAACAATAAATAGATATTTAGAACTATACATGCAAACAACAGTTGAATGCATTGACTATGTTTATTTACCTTTTTAATTATCAAAGTCAGTGGCAACAAACACGCCATACTCATACATAATAAGATCAGTAAAAAATCTGTTTGAACTTAGGGCACGTGCAAACTCAGGGCACCCCCCGTTATATCTAATATGAATTTTAAAATATTTTCGTAATATTTTTCAAGAAACTTAGAAGAATTGAATAATTTAATTTAAGCTTGGTGATTTATGTACTAGATAGGAATTATTAGTCTATATGTACAGAATGCTTCATGAGTACATGGAAACGTCATGATTTGACATGCTAATTTGTGATGATGTTGAACATTTGCATGTGCGTTAGCCTCCTGTGCACCAATAGGGAATTCCTACGGCTTAAAACAATTTGAGCGGCTGTGTTCTGTAGAATAAAGAGGGTATCATCACCAGATAGGGAAAGAATTACTGTCAAGAGGGAAGGCTTGTGAGAGTGCGGTAATGTATCGGACTGCCAGGAGAGGGCCCAGGGGCCCCATGGGAAAGCGTAGGTAATTTACAATGACTCACATGACTACGCAGCAGGTACAGATCATCTCCCATTTGTAGGCAGGCAATCAATACACGGTTTGGACTTACCCAAATTACTGCTGGGTGGGATGGAGCAGAGGTAAGATACACATTGTTTCCATAGGAATTGAGGTAAAAAATTCAGGCTGTATCACATCCCATTGCTAGTCTGGGAAGGCTAGTTTAAATATGTATGTGATTGCTTGGAAAGGGAATTCAGATGGAGAAGGTTGGGGGAGGTGGTTGACTGCATAGCCCTTCATGCCGTGCATATGACCTTCCAATGTCATTGGCTTCCAGAGGTAGTATTCATGGAAATCTGTACAGAAACTAAACTCAGGTTTACTACAAATGCAGATGATATAGAATATGTTTCAACCCTTGTAAAATTCAGCACACGATGCAGCAGATTTTATTGCTGGTGATGTCTATAGTGACTAATGGATATTTGGCTCCTATTCAGAGAGTTATATCTGAACAGTAAATGTTATTCCTCTGTGTGCCTTATTTCTTGCCCTTTATAGAATTAGCTTTGTCGTACATGTCTGCAAAATGCATTTATTTTTCATCTTTCATTTGATTTACATGGTGTGATAGATTTCCGACCAAACATGCAGGCCTGTTCGTGAGACTGATGAGATATATTGGCTCTTCTACAGTACGTGTACGCCATAGGCTAGCGCCTT